AGGCTACGGACAGTTCTGAACGGAATGCGTAGTAAATAACAACAGCAACTTAACTAGACAAACGCCCACGCATGAGTGAACTCATTCTGGATTCATTCTTTGTTTAGTCTATGTTTGCCTTGAAACTAAAACACTGCCAAAACCATTTGCGCTAGACTTGACAACTAGTTGAACTTCAATTGGTCAGCAATGATCTAACCAAAACATTTTATGTACTAACATGATCATATGTTGCCCATAGAGAAAGAGTCTGCTAGCTTCAAGGCAGCCCGACATGACTTTGAGCTTGTGAAGTGGATCCCTCCATACACATACCCAAATCAGCTTGTTCACTGTGAATTATCTCAAGCGAATGTTTAAGTAGATCCCTTCAAAGTCCCAAATGAACGTGGAATACTGTTCAAAAGGCACTACAGAAATCTGAACTGACTGCAAGGAAATCCCAAAAGTCAGTTTAGAAATCTGAACTGACTGCAAGGGATTCCCAAAAGTCAGTTTAGAAATCTGAACTGACTGCAAGGGGTTCCCAAAAGTCAGTTTAGAAATCTGAACTGACTGCAAAGAATTTCCAAAGTCAGTTTAGAAATCTGAACTGACTGCAAGGGATTCCCAAAAGTCAGTTTAGAAATCTGAACTGACTGCGCGGGTCTGCCAAAAGTCAGTTTAGAAAGCTGAATTGACAGCACGGGGCAGCTGCATACCAATTTGGAAAACTGAGCTGAACACGAGAAACTAACTGTAGTTATTTTGAAACAACTATACGACATGTCGCAACCTGTATAGGTTGAAACCACTGAATTCAGCATGAGTATGACATGTTCAAACCTATTTGTAGACATATCTGAATTGGCTGGCACAGATCATCAAAACATGATCTGGTAGTTCCCGCGTATTTCAAATTTTCAAAATGTCTCCAAGCCCGCCCCGTAGAATAGTTGAGTGTGCTGCACAACATCATCATTTGAGAATATCTGTATGCAACTGCATGTTGCACGAAGTTTCTTTATCTATTAGATTGATTTGTGATATCAAGAAAAACTTGCACGTATTAAAGCAAACATCTATTGCCAATTTATGGCAATTCTAAAAAAAGCTTCACACTCATTGATATATATAATTTAAAGCGCTTCCTGTCTTCCTGTGTTGGATTGTGCCCATATCCCAAGAATGCCATAGCCTGCGCTCTTGTGAACACAAGCTTGCGTGTTGCCTTCCTTTGCACCCTTCAGGAAGGAGAACGGGACAAACGCGCCAGCCTTGAAATCGCGTTTGGGTCTTCCAGAAGTTGGATGAGGCCACATGCAAGAAGCTTCAGCTCACCCTTTTGAAGGTCCGGTTGGCACACAGCTGGCCAGCAGTGGTGACCTTGAGATCTGGGTCGCCAATCCTCAGGATTCAGAACAAGAACGAAGCAATGAGTCTCCATGAAGGACCACCTTCTGAGCGGCCAGTTTGTCAAGCTCCAAGTGCAAAGAGCCCATTGTGACAGCCTTTCATGCTGTCAAGAAGGCTTTGCTCGACAAGAAACGGCTCTTTCGCGTTGGTGGCCTTCCATTGCTTCAAGCGGTCACGCTCAACTTCAAGCGCTTCTTGAGGCCCAAACAAAGGCTGGTGCACGAACTTGCCGGTGGAGCCCTTCATCTCCAAGAGCTTGAAGATCTTGCTATGCAAGCCCTTGTTCATGTACTGCTTGCCCGCTTCAACGTGGCGGTTCAGCTACTAAGGGCAATGCAAACAGCCTTGCTCGTGCCCTGTCAAGCTTTAATGAGAGCTCGCAAGCAAAGCCAGTTCCCTCATGAGCCTAGCCAGGCTGAGTGCTTGCCATCATAGAACAGTCTGTGATTCGCTTGTGTGTCTGCGGACACCAAGCACGAGCCTGTCAAGGCACTTTCTAAACTGAGAGTGCCAAGGCTACATGACCTCAATCACTTTGGGCAACGTGTCAAGACTGAAATCGTTGAAATTGCGAAAGCCGCCATTTCAAGCTCAAACCAAGCCAGTGGTGAATTTGATTGCTTGCTGCGCAGACAGGCCGATCACGCAGGGGTGGCTTTCCACAGCCAGGAGCTGTTGGACAGCAAGCACCCGAGCTCAAATGCCCGTTGGGGCAAGACTTCAACAGTTCTGGCTTTTGTGACCTGCAGCAATGCAACACCAACTTGCAAAACCAAGTATTTCTCTGCGCCTGTCACAGGGGCCAGCTTGCCCTGGCTCTGGGCAACCAAATTCATGTTGGCTTGCAACTGCTGGCTTCGCTGCTCGGCGTCTGCAGCAGTCTCACAGCAGATGCAGCTGTCGAGCTTTGATCTATTCCGGCCTTGAGCATCACGTTGCCCTTGCGGCCCTCGCGATGGACTTCTCCAAAGACAAGCATAGTGCCAGCTCTGTATTGAGGGCGCGCCAGCACCTGGTCGCAGCGCAGGTGCATCTGCTGCGCGAGGCCATGCTCTTGCAACAAGTCCATGATCAACTTTGACATTCAGTTCCAGCACCTCATCCTCTTTCAACTTCTTCAACTCAGAAGCAACTGAGCTGTCCATGGCTCGGACGAGGGCGTTTTAGCAAGGCTCGCTGCAAACTTTTGCGAAACATCTGCCTGTGCATGCGCACGGACTGCGTGGCATGCGTGGTTCCCAATGATCTCTTCTGAGTCGAGATACGAGGAGGGCGAGCAAAATCTTGCAGCCAGCCGGATGGTGTAATTGGACGTTGCAGCTTGTAACTTTTACATGAGACTACCCCGGGTGCGTTCGCACATGAGCCTATGCCAGGCTGGCAACTTGGAAGGCCAAATAATCGCGCGCATGTTTGTGGCTGACATGAACATGTGAGATGCTACCAAGACTTTGGAGTGAGAACACCGTGCAAAAAACACGACCTTCAAAGGCTATCAGTCTGTCTTAAGCCTGTGAGGCTAAAATCTAGAACCATGCAGAACGATTAGTGAGCAGACAACAGGCATCCAATAGCTTCAAAGAGCGCAGCCAGCCGAAATGCATGCGCACAGCCAGTCATGCTGACAAGATAAGTGTAGGCTGTTTGAAAGCCAGCTTGCCAATAAATTTCAAGCCACACTTGGCCACGGGCGCATGTCGAGACAAAGCTGCAAGCGGAACGAACATTTAGCCACGCGTGGCTTCTTTGCCCACATCGACTGAGGGAAAACTATGAAAAATGCTCCTGGCAGTAATGAGGCACGCTGTGCCGCTTTGGTGTCCAAGAAAATGTTTACTCCAAAGTGTTCATGGCCTGCCTCTACAAAATCTATGGTTTTCTTGCAGTGAAAATAAGCTAAAGTTCATGCGCTAGCGTGTGGTAAGCGGACTAGCGCACTTAGCTAACCATCTAGCTAGCCATCTGTAAGCCAACGTAAATCATTATGTTGTTTATCATAGTTAGCTAAATGTTAAGGAGACATTGTACGCTTGTGCAAGCCAGTACCCACAGTATAACTACTTAAGAGGAAGCTAGCAGATATGTAACATGCGTTTAGTAGCCGCCTTATAGTTCTACCTAAAACCCATACAGCCTAGCAACGCCACAGCCGATCCAAGTGCGGGTGCGGGTGCGGGTGCGGGTGCGGGTGCAGGTGCAGGTGCGTGTGCGTGTGCGTGTGCGTGTGCGTGTGCGTGTGCGTGTGCGCGTGCGCGTGCGCGTGCGCGTGCGCGTGCGCGTGCGCGTGCGCGTGCGCGTGCGCGTGCGCGTGCGCGTGCGCGTGAGCGTGCGCGTGCGCGTGTGCGTGCGCGTGCGCGTGGGTGGGTGGGTGGGTGGGTGGGTGTGTGTGTGTGTGTGTGGTTGTGCGTGCGCGTGCGCGTGCGCGTGCGCGTGCGTGCGTGCGTGCGTGGGTGCGTGGGTGCGTGGGTGGGTGGGTGGGTGGGTGGGTGGGGGTGTGGGTGTGGGTGTGGGTGTGGGTGGGTGTGGGTGGGAATGTGTGTGCGTGTGTCTGTGTGTGTCTGTGTGTGTGTGTCTGTGTGTGTCTGTGTGTCTGTGTGTGTGCGTGGGTGCGTGTGCGTGTGCGTGTGCGTGGGTGTGTGTGTGTGTGCGACGTGCGTGTGTGCGTGTGCGTGCGTGCGTGTTTGTGTGTTTGTGTGCGGGCGGGCGGGCGGGCGTGCAGGCGGGCGGGCGGGCGTGCGTGCGTGCGTGGGTGGGTGGGTGGGTGCGTGGGTGGGTGCGTGTGTGTGTGTGTGTCTGTGTGTATGTGTGCATGTGTGTATGTGTTGTGGTTTGTCAGAAGGCTGGAACTTTATCGGGTCAATGCCACCACTGGGGTAGCCACGTTTGAGTTTATCCCTTGCGTACAACTGCCGTGCTTTCCGAGCAGCCCTCAAGGACCTATGAAGAGCAGCCTTCTTTTCATCGTACTCCGCATCCATTCAGGCTCAAGAATGACTATGCTGGCTCTGCCCTGAAGCTGTGCCTACTGTGCCCAATCTTGGGCCGAAGCCAGAAAGAGCACGGCGTTCACACCCCCCGCTTGAGCAGGGATGCAAAGGCCACTTGCAGCCAGGAGCAAGTTTCCAGGACGCCGGTTACCGCTCCAGCTCGATTAAAGCTGAGCCGTTTGTCATTCTAACCCTTCCGGCAAGCTTGAATTCTACAATGGCATATGGCATGCAGCTGTCGCACCGGCATGCTGCGCGGACTACTCCACCTTCACCAGGGCTGACGCTTTTCCACTTTCTGCAGTTGTATTCGCAAGGCAGCAGAAGTGCCCCGACGGAGCAGACCTCATCTCCTCCTGCAGAGAGCCCAGCCCCGGTTGCATCCATCAAGCGCCACTGCGACGAAGCTAACGCAGCATCTTGCCCTGAGAAGGAGTCCACCCCCAGCAGTTGCGCCAGTGCGCGGGCGGCTGGCTCTACGGCTTCCTGGAGCAAATCAACTTCAATGACCAGTACTTCTGTCATGTTCGGAACCGTGGAGGTGTGAGCAACCTGCAGCTGTCCTGAGCTTGTCTAGCAGTTCTGGAAAGACGCTTCCGGACTTTGTCGAGGGCGCCCTCAGGCACACCTTGTACAAACGGTGTCTGCTCCCGCCGGAATTTCGGCCTCAGCTGCCTCTGCGTTCTCACGCAGCAGGTGCAGCTGTGTTTGCACATGCCTCCAAGCTCCAGACTTCACCTGCGCACCTCTGAAGACTGCCAAAGCCTCCGTGAGATTCTGGGCGCTGATGTTGATATGCATTAGCACGTGTGCGACAGCATTGGCTTCATCTCTCCGTCTCCTCCCCCCGGCTCCTTCAGGCGCACGTGAGCCCGCGGGGTTGCGAAGAGCCAGCTCAGACCAGTTGACTGCGGGCGCTTGGCCGCAGTCCTGCAAGGCAGGCCGCGCAGAGGACGAAGAGCTGCGGGCCACAGGGTCACCAGTCCAGCAGCTAGTGGCTTCTGCTGCAAGCCTGTCGTCAGATCCAACACTGAAGTACTCCGGCCGCGATGCCGAAACCTCGGCCAAAGCCCGAAACTCATCGCTGTTGCCTTTAACGATGCCCAGCCCCCCGCATCGCCTCCGCACTGCAGACTCTCTAGCCTTCAAGCGCCTGGCGACCGCTACGTCGTGGGTCGCACGGCGCTGCGCTTTGGCCCTTGCCTTCTCCTCAAGGCAGCTGTAGAGCCTGCGAGACTTCCTGAGCTGCTTGCCCCGCAAAGTCTGTACACCTTGTTCAATCATCGCTGCGCTCTGCTCAGCTGGCAGAGGCTCAAGGCTCTTAACCTGTGGTTTGTCAGAAGGCTGGAACTTTATCGGGTCCATGCCACCACTGGGGTAGCCACGTTTGAGTTTATCCCTTGCGTACAACTGCCGTGCTTTCCGAGCAGCCCTCAAGGACCTATGAAGAGCAGCCTTCTTTTCATCGTACTCCGCATCCATTCAGGCTCAAGAATGACTATGCTGGCTCTGCCCTGAAGCTGTGCCTACTGTGCCCAATCTTGGGCCGAAGCAGCAGCCAGAAAGAGCACGGCGTTCACATGTATGTATGTATGTATGTATGTATGCATGCATGCATGCATGCATGTCATATAGCGCAAATGCAATTGTGTACGTCATTCCTTGATAGGGAAAATGCAAAATCTCCTGACAAATTTGCCCATGGGGCAGGGCCAAGTCGGTCTGGTGCACCTCTTGACTTGGAGTTGTTTACACCCAGATGTGGAGCAAACTTTGGGTGCAGTTTCGTTTCTTGAGGGCAAGCCCGTCTACCCTCTTTGCCACATGTGTTTCTGGCGGCTTCAAGCTTGCTCCATGTTGCCCCGAACTCTGGCAAACAAAAAAACAAAAGAAGGCACCCGGAAGTGCAGGACAAACATATTTTCAAACCAACTCGAAGAAAAAACCGCACCTGGTAGTTCAGGGGTTTCTCTCGGGCCGTGGCAGGACTCGACAAACGGGTGCCGAAAGACCCCCCTGACCAGTCGCTTCTCGACGCCTCCATTCCTTCAGCTTGTCTGCCTGGCCCGTGATGGAGGCGTGGTAGCTGGTGAGGGTGTCCCCCTTGGCGAAGCTCTGCACCATGAAGTACCGAGACCTGATTTGGATCCGCACATTTTTACAACAGCTGAAAGCTCTGGGGTCTCTGCCCAATAAGCTCTGGGGGGGGTTCTCTTTAGAAGCCCCGAAAGCGCAGCGCATTGGGAAAAGGGGCCGGGAATTCGACACACTGCTCAATCCTAATCCATAATCCCAATAGGCCAGCCTCTACGAAGGGGACCGGTTCCCTTACCCAAGGTATGGATTACGATTCAGCCCAGTTTGTTGCAGGGCTTAAACCAGATCGAAACAAAACAAATAACGGCCATCATGGCCCAGGCTCATGGCTTCGCCTGCCTTCAAAACTCATGGCACGCGGCCTGGTCATCAAGACCTTGGGCACCTCGAAGGTCACTTGCTCAATGCCCAGCTGGCGCTTCAGCTCCGCGTTCTCTTGGAACTCCTTGATCACTGTGAGACCTGGCGTTGGAGAAATGGCGCGCCCGTTTTTGAGTTGGCTTGAGCGATGCAAAGGGCGATCCTTTTTTGAGGTTGCTTCCAGCTTTGAGCGAGACAAAACAAATCAAGAGAAATGGGGCTGAACATCTGGATGCCTTCACAACATAAAGCTCCCGGCTGACCTGTGGAGGTTTGTCCTGGGCATCAGGAGGTATTGGGCCCCCTCAAAATCAAAAATCGAGCAAAAATCATCCTTGCCCTGCTGTTTTCAGCGTTGGAGCGGGGTGGGGCGGGGGGGGGGGGGGTCCGCAGGTCGCACAACAGGCTCCCCAACGCCACGGTTTTGTTAGGGGTTCTGATTGAAGGGCTGGGAGACCCTCCCTGAAAAGGGTCCCCACTTTTATCTCGCACTCACTCCACACAAAACTTTGACGTTGCGTCTCTGGTGGCCTTTCTTGGCATTCAAGTCCTCCACGCGGAGGTCGAACTCATCCATCACCGCGCCCAAACCTACGGGTTCATCGATGCATGCGAATGCGACCAAACGCGTGAAGCCTGCACTGGACTGCTTGCAAGATGATTGGCTAAAAAGGATGGAGATGAAGCCATCCTTCTCTCAAACAAACGCATAATTCCACACAGACATCTACATACGTAGCAGTTTCTGTCCAAGAACGCCAAGCTTGAACCACCTCAAGAGCCCACAAGGACAAAGGCTCTCCTTAGGCAGGATGCTGGTGGGTGGCCCATTTGCTCGGTCAAACATTTGCCACTTGAAACCTTGGGTGCCGATGGCACGGAGATAGGAGACACCCAATCCCTACGTGGACCCCGGGGGGGGGGAACAGTTCGACCTTGGGCTTGGCCTCCTTGGGGTCAGGGCAACCACATGGACAGAGGGGGGGGTACAATGACACAAAAGTCTGAACCCCGAACGCCACATGGCATCACAAGCCACGTGTTCGGCATAGCGCCATTGTAACCTCCATGAAATGCTATGTGGTTGTCTGAGTCAGGCTGGGGAAAAAAGAAACAAAACAAAAAACGCCCAGGCTGAAAAAGGGGGTACCGGGCCTCAAGAACCACGGGAAAATTTTGAACCGCGCGGCCCCTCGCCTTGCCGCACCGCCTGCCAGGTGTCAGACCCAGCTGACACCCCGTGCCTGACGAAGGCAGAAAAACCGAAGATGGCGAATCTTTAGAGTCTGGCCCATGTTTAGTGAGCCGCAAAACACTATGGCACGAATCTTTAGAGCCTATGTTTAGTGAGCCGCAAATGCAACACACCATGGAACGAATCTTTAGAGCCTATGTTTACTGAGCCGCAAAATGCAAAAACAAGACGGCACGAATCTTTAGAGCCCATGCTTAGTCAGCCGCAAAATGCAACAACACTATGGCACGAATCTTTAGAGCCTATGTTTAGTGAGTCGCAAAATGAAAAAAACACTATGGCACGAATCTTCCGAGCCTATGTTTAGTAAGCCGCAAAATGCAAAAATAGTATGGCACGAATCTTTAGAGCCTATGTTTAGTGAGCCGCAAAATGCCAAAAAACACTATGGCACGAATCTTTAGAGCCCATGTTTAGTGAGCCGCAAAATGCAAAAACACTATGGCACAAATCTTTAGAGCCCATGTTTAGTTAGCCGCAAAATGCAACAACACTATGGCAGGAATCTTTCAAGCCTATGTTTAGTGAACCGCAAAATGCAAAAACACTATGGCCCGAATCTTTAGAGCCTATGTTTAGTAACCCGCAAAATGCAAAAACACAATGGCACGAATCTTTACAGCCCATGTTTAAGTAAGCCGCAAAATACAAAAAACACTTTGGCAAGAATCTTTACAGCCCATGTTTAGTGAGCCGCAAAATGCAAAAACACTTTGGCACGAATCCTTAGAGCCCATGTTTAGTAAGCCGCAAAATGCAAAAAAAAATGGCACGAATCTTTACAGCCCATGTTTAGTGAGCCGCAAAATGCAAAAAAAAACACTATGGCACGAATCTTTAGAGCCCATGTTTAGTGAGCCACAAAATGCAAAAACACTATGGAACAAATCTTTAGAGCCCATGTTTAGTTAGCCGCAAAATGCAACAACACTATGGCAGGAATCTTTAAAGCCTATGTTTAGTGAGCCGCAAAATGCAAAAACACTATGGCCCGAATCTTTAGAGCCTATGTTTAGTAACCCGCAAAATGCAAAAACACAATGGCACGAATCTTTACATCCCATGTTTAAGTAAGCCGCAAAATACAAAAAACACTTTGGCAAGAATCTTTACAGCCCATGTTTAGTGAGCCGCAAAATGCAAAAACACTATGGCACGAATCCTTAGAGCCCATGTTTAGTAAGCCGCAAAATGCCAAAAAAAAAAAACTTTGGCACGAATCTTTACAGCCCATGTTTAGTGAGCCGCAAAATGCAACAACACGATCGCACGAATCTTTAGAGCCTATGTTTAGTTAGCCGCAAAAAGAAAAAACACAATGGCACGAATCTTTACAGCCCATGTTTAAGTAAGCCGCAAAATGAAAAAACACTATGGCACGAATCTTCCGAGCCTATGTTTAGTAAGCCGCAAAATGCAAAAACACTATGGCACGAAATTTTACAGCCCATGTTTAGTGAGCCGCAAAATGAAAAAACGCAATGGCACGAATCTTCCGAGCCTATGTTTAGTAAGCCGCAAAATGCAAAAACACGATCGCACGAATCTTGAGAGCCTATGTGTAGTGAGCCGCAAAATGCAAAAACACTATGGCACGAATCTTTAGAGCCTATGTTCAGTGAGCCGCAAAATGCAAAAAACACTATGGCACGAATCTTTAGAGCCTATGTTTAGTGAGCCGCAAAATGCAAAAACTCTATGGCACAAGTCTTCAGAGCCTATGTTTAGTGAGCCGCAAAATGTGAAAACACTATGGCGCGAATCTTTAGAGCCTATGTTTAGTGAGCCGCAAAATGCAAAAACACTATGGCACGAATCTTTAGAGCCTATGTTTAGTGAGCCGCAAAATGCAAAAACACTATGGCACAATTTTTTAGAGCCTATGTTTAATGAGCGGCAAATCGCCCAAAAAAACACTATGGCACGAATCTTTAGAGCCTATGTTTAGTGAGCCGCAAAATGCAAAAACACCATGGCACGAATCCTTAGAGCCTATGTTTCGTAAGCTGAAAAATGCAAACACACTATGGCACGAATCTTTAGAGCCTATGTTTAGTGAGCCGCAAAATGCAAAAACTCTATGGCACGACTCTTTAGAGCCTGTGTTTAGTGAGCCGCAAAAAGCAAAAACACTTTGACACGAATCTGTGGAGCCTAGTGAGCCGCAAGATGCAAAAACACCATGGCACGAATCTTTAGAGCCTATGTTTAGTGAGCCGCAAATCGCCCAAAAAAAAACTATGGCACGAATCTTTAGAGCCTATGTTTAGTGAGCCGCAAAATGCAAAAACAAGACGGCACGAATCATTAGAGCCTATGCTTAATGAGCCGCAAAATGCGAAAACACTATGGCACGAATCTTTACAGCCTATGTTTAGTGAGCCGCAAAATGCAAAAACCCTATGTTTAGTGAGCCGCAAAATGCAAAAACAAGACGGCACGAATCTTTAGAGCCCGTGTTTAGTTATCCGAAAAATGCAAAAACACCATGGCACGAATCTTCCGAGCCTATGTTTAGTAAGCCGCAAAATGCAAAAACACTATGGCACGAATCTTTACAGCCCATGTTTAGTGAGCCGCAAAATGCAAAAACCCTATGTTTAGTGAGCCGCAAAATGCAAAAACAAGACGGCACGAATCTTTAGAGCCCGTGTTTAGTTATCCGAAAAATGCAAAAACACCATGGCAAGAATCTTCCGAGCCTATGTTTAGTAAGCCGCAAAATGCAAAAACACTATGGCACGAATCTTTACAGCCCATGTTTAGCGAGCCGCAAAATGCAAAAACACTATGGCACGAATCTTTACAGCCCATGTTTAGTGAGCCGCAAAATGCAAAAAGAAACACTTTGGCACGAATCTTTACAGCCCATGTTTAGTGAGCCGCAAAACGCAAAAACACTATCGCACGAATCTTTAGAGCCTATGTTTAGCGAGCCGCAAAATTCAAAAACACTATGGCACGAATCTTTAGAGCCCATGTTTAGTGAGCCGCAAAACTCCAAACCACTATGGCACGAATCTTTAGAGCCTACACTATGGCACGAATCTTTAGAGCCTATGCTTAGTGAGCCGCAAAATGCAAAAACAAGACGGCACCAATCTTTAGAGCCCATGTTTAGTGAGCCTTAAAATGGCAGAATGTATGTTAGACAGTCCCAGGCAACATGGCACCAAGTGAGAAACAGCGGCCAGCGGCCAGTTCGTTTTTGCGGTCTTGCCTTGAACAACCTCATCCCGAGAACTCCAAAGCTCAAATCAACCAGTGACAGTCACAGATGCGATGTTTCTTTTCGGCGCTGCCAGGCTGGCATCGGCAATGACATGTACATATTTGTCAGCAATCAGATGTCACAAACATATGCGAAACATGTGTGAAACGCGGCATGTATGCATGTCGAATTAATGGCATGCCAACGCCCCAATGCCTAAGCAAATGCAGCAGGGGACGCTGATGGGGAAGCGCGCAAAAATGCTACAGCCATGTTCCTCTGAAGGCATCTTTGTTTCCACCCTGTCGCCGAATTCCAATCTTACGGCTTTGAGGGATGGGATGGTTCAATGTCTTTGGTCGGGGGGCCAAACCTCGGAACAAGTGTCTCGGACCAGAACACAACCAGAGGTTTCCAGCATCTCGGGCGCCTACACCAAGGCCAGGAATGAATCAGCAGGGAAGTAGCAACAAACAAACTGAACAAAACTACGCAATGGCAAGTCAACTTCATCCTCTACGCATGACTCGGTATCAAGCACGGGGTCCACATTCAGATTCTGATACCTACCTCCAAAATCACTTCAGCCCTTTCTCCCCAAATGGCCCCCTGGCCTTAGCATTTCCAGCTTTTCAGGCTCGAGCTTCCAGGACAGCAACACGCCGCCCATGCCGCCACCTATAGCCCATGAACACAAGACCATTGCAGAGCGTGTGCGCTGCCGCAACCAAAAGGGGTCCTCCAGAAGTGTAGCAACCATTGGGTCCCTTAGCACCAAAAGCCAACCCCAGACTCCAAGCGGTTCGAGAAGTCAAGTTTGGACTAGAAGCCTCGATAGAATTTGGTATTAACCAGTTGGCCTTTAACAGTGGCCAAGCCTTGGTTCCTGAAAGTGAAGACGTCAAAGACTTGGTGGGCTCAGCAGGGCACCAGGGAGGCTGAAAGTCATGCAACTCAGCCAATGAGAGAAGGGAAACATCAGAGCTTGTTATATGTCCCTAAACGTCACCCTACCTAGATAACTCAACGAAACTTTGCCCAAAAGGCAATGTGTAAGCCGCCAAAAAATGACGGGCTGAGCATGGCCAAGCATTTTTAGATAGTGGATCGTAAGAGCAAACATGGACAAGCATGTGACAATCAACAGCTTGGGAAATCCAGACAGCGGAAGACAACGCGGCCGAATGCCGCTCGACTCAGATTTTGCTTAGTGACCAAGATTGCAACCCCGTCCCCCACAGGCTTGGGGTTCCTTTGCTTGCCTCTTTCGAGACCCAAGTTCTTGGCAGTCCAGTCCAAAGGCCATAAACCTTCTCTAGTTGCTGCTTGTTTGTTTACACTGAGGTACAAAGCAACCATCAAAGCAAAGCGGACAGACGGCCTTTCCCCCCATGTCAGCTTTGGACATAGGTGGCAAATGCGACCGTCGTGGCCATGTCCGCTCAAAAGCACTCAACATCTAGATAAGGCAGGGCAAATGGAAGTACAAAGCAGCACCGCAACTTCGGGATTTGTTACCGAGGCAGAATGAGCATAGTGCGTTCTTTGGAACTATCGATCACACTGAAATTGATGCTTTCAAAATGGGGGAACCTGCACAAAATCGGCGGTTTCCCGATGGATTCCCTCTTAAACCACCACAATGCGGGTACTATCAGAAAGGCCACATCGACTCGTGCCCTGCGCCAGGAAGCTCACTTGGTCGTGGATTAACTTGAGCAAGTCGTTTCCCAGGAATTGGATCGCTTCCCAATCGTCCTGCACACGGGTCAATTTTGAACCACCAGGATATTGACCGCAGGTCAAATCCTCCATGCTTCCGCTTACCAGGGTTCCACTTTGCGGTTACCCTATTCTTGACCCCCACCGCCACATGTTTGCTGAGAAAAGAGGCGGGAAAACATCAGTGCGGCATCGCTCAGACTCAAGCCAGCAGCCTATGAATCCTATGAATCGAAACCCTGCAAAAAGATCACGGCCGGCCACAAAGGACCGTCGTCACTGCATGCATGCGCAAAAACAAAAGAAAACATGCCTCCGTGCAAAACAACAACCATCAAAGCTCACAGCGCAGGCCGATGCAAGTTGCCCGTAGTGGATGGCTTGCTGCTTTTCATCTAGTGCTTTGGGGTTGAGGAAGTACTTGTGAAAAAAGGTGGCTGCAACTCGTCCACCCAAAGGCTTACCAGCAGATTTGGGTGGCCTCAGTTTTCCGAGCCAGTCAGGACAAGGCCCCTCCATGGGTGGGAGGAGGTAGGTAGGGTCCCCGAGTTTCTTTTCAAAGATTCCAGAGCCGTGAAAAAGCCCATGAAACCCACAAGAAGAGCTGCTCAAAAAAGTGCTTCCTCTACAAGACCTACAAATGGGATGCTTCGGGGTTGCACCTTGTTGCAGACTTGTGAGGGCCGACACAAGTCAAGTTGGACCCATTTTTGGGACCGCAGGCAGAAAGGGGAACAAACGAAACTCGGCATTTGGACGGGTCAGTTTTGACACACTCGCAGATCTGACATATATATGTAGCAACAGTTCCGAATCTGCACGGCATCCTCGAGTAAGAAGCCTTCATCAACGATCCCAGCATTTGCTAAAACTGCAAGATCTTTTTTTTACATTGTTCGCCTGAATAAAAAACCAAAAGCCATACCGAGGACCGAGGGGATTACGACCAAATCAAGCAACATCAAATCGGTGAATGTTTGGTTGACCTGCATGCTGACCTCCAACTTTCTGCCGGGTTCTGATCCCTCTTTCTTGGCGACGGGAAACTCCCTTGCTCGTTCGGGTCCAAATCCTGCTGAGCTACCCGAACTCCACCCCCAACCGCCCCCCCCCCCAACCCCAACCGCCACCCCCCCCACAACCGCCCCCCCCCAACTTACCCCACCACGGATTCTCCTTGTACTTTTTCTCGTTCTCGTCGAACACCACCTTCAGCACCACGTCGCAAGGCGGCGCCCCTGCGCCGAGCTCACAGAAACCAAAGCCCCCGCCCTCAACTTGCAGAAAAGACACGCCAACATCTGTTCATCTTTCCGGGAGCTCGGGGGCCTAATGTCATTCGAAGAAGTAGTAGCGGACAAGAATCCCTTACTGCTCACCTCCTCCGCCCACCCTTTTTTGGAATACCGCCTCCCTCCCCCTCCTCCCCCCCCGGCCTTCGCCACACAAAAAGTCCCTCACCTCCCCCCTGCTCTTCACCTTGGCCTGCAGCACCTGCGCCACGCTGCCCGTCGCCTCGCCGAACAAAAACGCCAGGTGCTCTCGGAGTCTCCGAGTCTCGAGCTCAGGGGGAGCCCGAGGATTCTTGTGGGCACCCTTCGGTGGACATCACGGATGTGGAAAAACAAAAACCTACAAGGCAACACTGCTTGATAGAGCCTGGGTTATCGAGACTGTTTCGCATTTCCTCCGTGGCATTCTGTAAATATTACACGCTCAGAAGGGCAAAAACGCCTGCACGCATGCAGGCCGCATCTACCAATGGGCGTGGCGGCATGCTCAAGCTGCACAATAGCCGTTTTCACCATGGGTGCCCTTTGGGTAAAATAGATGGCCCTGGTAAATGGTTGCAACCAATCTAACCAGTGCAACCCGTCTGTTTCTAGCCAAACAAGCCTAAAATTCAGGGCTGTGGCCGAGTGGCTAGTGTGCGCCCCAGATCCAGGTGTTCATCGATGCTGGAGATGACCTGCGCAGTGGGACTTCAGCCAGCCATGTGAGCTCAATTCAGCGGATCCCACAATCCCTAACCCCACTCCCAGTGGGTTCCTCCAACTAAAGAGAGGATTGGAATGCGATCAATCTCGATTGAAGAACTCTCAAACCTGACCGATTCTCCACTCAGACTCACAGCCAGCCACAACCACATCACCTAAAAAAGTCAGCCCCATGTGCGTACCTCGATTGTTCAATGCCGTAGTCAAAGCAACCAAACATATGTCACCGATTAGCCAAAGGGTACCTCCTCGGCAAGAAGGCAAAGGGTGCTCAATAGAAGAAACTTGTTGCCCCCGAACAAAAGGGTCCCCCAACAAATATCCAACCAGTACTAAACCAATACCAAGCCAACTCTGAATCAATACTCGCAAATACTTAGTTAGAGACTACTGAGGGTAGCTCTGACCCCCAAATGGTTTAGCGGTTTCCCCTATTGACTCCCCACTTGTATGGTGGGGGTCCGCTTTTGGTAATCAGTTACCCACAAAACAGTGCTTTGGGAACTGCGCGGCAAGTGAGCAAATGGCAACTAAATGGAACATGCCAATCTTGGAACATCCCCATGTGTTTTGTTCTCCGAGATACCCACCTGCAGATTGCCAGCATACAACCCTTCATTGGTGGCTTGGATTGGTGGCTTACGGGGTTGGAACGTATGTCCTTACTAAAGGTAGATGCGCAACCACCCCCAGCCGGCCCTTTCTGGAGGCTGACGACATGGGACCCAAGCAAAACACATTCCATGTTAAGGCTGTTAAGGGGTTCCGCTTTGGGCTTCTGTTGATTTCAGCAGCGGAGAAACCATTCCGTCCCACTCATCCCTTGTTGACTTCATGTGGGGTTGCCTCCAAGTGAAAACACCACCTAAACTGTGCGATTTCTGTTTGGCTTCCCTTCAAAACCAGCGGAAAGGAGGCAAGCCCCCCCCCCAAAAAAAAAGAGCCCCTTCCGACTCCGTGTCTTTCACGCGGAAGGAGCCGAGCTGAGGTCCCTGGCAAGGCCCTCGTTCACGCGCTCCTCCTGCTCAATGGCCTCCGAAAGCTTCCTGACGGGCGGCTGTGGGGTCCCAAGAGGACGATCATCTGTCCAGGTACCCTACAGGTGCCTTCGGTTAGTGGAAGGTAGACTAAAGCTTCCGAACCCCCCCACCCTACCTTGGGTGGGGGGGTCTCCCATTTCCAGTATCTGGGATCCCCTGTTAAAGGGAAAGTGGAACCATAAACGGATCTCCAAGAGTCACACTCCACTTTTCATATTTCCCCTTACAGGTTAGCCGGCAAGAAATGTCGGTTTAAGGGCCCAATAGGGTGACACCATCCACAAGGGGGGAGTATAGGCCTGTTTCCATCCGTCCGCCTCCATTGGAACACGTCAACCGTGGTTGAACAAACAAGCACTATGGGCTGACGTCAGAGGCTGATCTGATTGCAGGTTCATTTGCTCCCCGAGAACTGAAAGAAGCGACCTGGAAAACACCCCATCAAAGTAGACGAATCAGCTGTTGGGATGGAACCATTTTTCGGGATCTTTCTCTGCGCTCTCAGTGGTTTAGCCAATGGCGTCCGAGGTGTTGTCACACCGTACAATTTGAGCCCAAGGCTTCCGGTTTCTGGTCATTTGTTCCGGCCCATTGTCTGATGAGCATTTTGAAAATGGCACAGGAAGTGCCAAATGAGCAATCAAGGGGCGTGAATTTGCTCAAAATCAGACCCTCGCTCCAAACAGGCCCCGCCGCGCATTGACTCCGCGGGACTTCCTTCAGCGACCGGATGTCACCCTTGTCAGGCTGATAAGTGTTTGCCCACCCCTGGCCTCAAAACAAGAATGACCCCTCAACGAGAGTTCCTGCAATATCAATCAGCTTCCTTCCAATTGGTGCCAGTGGTTTGGTGGTGAAACGGGGTGGCTTCCCATTTGCCGTCAAGGACTAGGGCTTCAAATCCAAATCCAAACTAACCGAAACCACCAGTTCCCATCCCACCAATTAACATGGAACCTGACAAGGTCCCTTTAAAGCTTTGAAGAAAGATGGTCTTGCAGAACCCCCATCAGGTTCCATGAGAAACGTTGGGAGGGTAAGGGGGATCTGAACCAAGTTGTTTTATGAATTCCAAGGGTTCCATGCCAACTCCTGCAAGGACCCCAGTGCTTTCTTTTGCATCCAAAGCCAGTCCTGGCGATGTACTCGCGGACGTACTCATTGTCCTTCGCCGGGTTTTCTGTCTGGGTGGACTTCAAGGAGGATCGTACGAAGTCGTCCTGGCGCAGCGACGGCTCTTCAGTGTGGTGTAAAACGCTTACACGCACGTGCTATCATGGCTCATGCCAAAAACACACGCATACGCACCAGCACACACACACACAAACGCAAACACGTGCGCTGCATGCACAAACACAAACAAAGAAAACGGCTTTCCGAAACCCAATAAGCTTGCGATCCCAGATGTGGACATGTCCCAGCGTGTACGAACCGATGTGCACTCGCTTCTGGAATTCCAGGGTTCCCCAAGTTTCCCTTGCAAACGTCAACTCAAACTCACTGACATATCAGAATTGGCACGGAATGGTCACGACCATGTCCCATCCCAAAAGCGAACATCTAGGCACGGTGTGTTGGTTATTTGGGTGCGTCTTTTGGTTCATGGTACCCTTTCTCGCAGTGGTTAAAGGGACGCCAAAAGGGAAAAAAGCCCAGGCCATTTCGGAGGGAAGCTTCAAACAAACGAAGGTCCCATCTTTCCTTCGGACGGCTTCAGGCTGGCTTCGGGCGAAAAGGTGCCTTGACCACGTCCGGCTTCATGGCCAAGGTCTGGGACACCTTGGGCATAATGCCTCCGGCGGACTTGATCTCGTCCACCATCATCTCGGCGCACGCGTACTTCTCCCCTTCGGTCATGTTCATGCCGTCAGAAGACCTACAGAAATGAATGAACGCACTCGGCTGGTAGGCAAAAAAGCGGGCCGATTTTGGCGGGGTCGGCACTTCTTCGGGGTTCACCTTTTTTTGTTTTTTGCGTTCGCCATTTTAAGGGTGGTCCCAACTGCAATCAAACGAAAAGCAAATAGGGCCTGCTCTGCATAAACGGCCCGATCTGGGCTGCTAACGAGCATCTCGCTCCATACTGCGAAAAGAATTCAAAACCAATTCGACAGCTTGACTCAGCAAAATAAATCCGTGCTGAAACCCTGGGGTTCAACCCCATTGAAAGAATGGTTGACCCATTTTGGATGCTGAAAATCAAGAGCTAAAAAATGGTGGTAGGCTGAATAAAGCCAGCCAAAGGCCCAAGAGAACCCCGTGATTCAGGTCTCGCAGTGGACCCCATAGCCCATCTCTTTCGACCCGCCAGAATGTGGTTTCCACAACTTCACGCTCACGCCTGGAGGCAAAAGCATCTCATTGGACTCGCTCACACACTTTGTTTCCTATCTCATTTTGTCTGTCTGCCAATGGCAAAACAAGGTCTGGAACATGATGGAAACGCATCCAGGATGAAATGCTTCGCGCTTGTTTCGGCTGGGAATATCAAGCATGCACGGAACAAGCGTTTGATTCTGAAACTCACATACTTTCATTCGGTTCCGCTGGCCAAGCGTTCCAGAGTCATCTGCTGGGGCTCGCACACGCCATCCTGGATGTAATTGATGAGGGCAACAGCCTTCCGCACCCCCACCCTCCGCCGCTTCCAACGACAACCTGCCCCTGCATAACAGCAAGTTGCAAACCATATGGTCAAGCTTGCATCAGTCATTAGCTTCATGGCCCTAAAAGCCTACTCGCGATGCCGAACAAAGCGTCCTCTTGGCGCCACCTGGCCTGACCCAGGCTGCTTTACAACATGCAGTCATTGCCCAAGCCGTGACCAGGCAAGCCGTGCAAATTCCCAAAATAGCGGCCCAAAGCTCAGGCTTGCCTTCTCCACCTTCTCCCAGAGAGCCAGTGCCCGCCAAATAATGTCAGTGTAACTCCGGCCTGCCAGGCGGTACCATAAAGTCATGCAATAGAGGCCAATGTTGCTCACATGAAACAGTCTGCCTTGGTAAGGCTAAGCGTGCTGCTGTGAAAACCGCTGTCGTCGTCGCAGCTGCTGCCGCCGGCGCCGGCGCTGCCACAGGTGTTGCCCCGTTGCTGTTGCTAATGCCGTTGCTGTTGCTGTTGCTCTTGCCGTTGTCACTGCTGTGGTGCTACCATGGCTCTGTCTGGGTGGTTGTCGACCTCATCAAGACGGGATTGCCCAAGCATCCCAGGATTCACCAACTCTTTTGCTTTAGCAAGGATTCCCTTTGGTTGGACCCTGCATGTTCTGAGCAAGGCCTATGGAACCTTGGTGGTTGCGACTGAATGCGGCACGGTCCAATCAAAGACCATAATCACTAGAATGGTCCATCATATTAAGTGGACCTAGTGATGGATCTCAATGACCACTAAAGTGGCTGCCATTAGCACATGCCGCCCTCCGGCCAGAAAAAATCCCTAGCCTCACGTCACAGAGGTCTGGACGCACATGTTTGGCCCGACTGATGGAAGTGGATGGGGTAAAGATTTGACCCGGGCGTGCAATAACTCTGAAACCAGACACGGAAGAAGCAGGACATTCATCAAACACCCAAACACAAGGAAACAAGGTCTTGGCCAACGTCCTGTTTTCAACACGAGTCCAACACGTTGGGTCGCTGTGTCCGCCCTTTCGTAAAGATGCCCGGTAACGTTGCACCTGGTTTAATATCGGTAGTCTGAGTTATGAATTATGTCAAGCTTCCCGGGCTTAAACACAACCCCCCCACTGCTTCGGTACCATGATTTATGTCAAGTTCGAACCCCAAAAAATCCCATTGAACAAAAATCTGACTCAAAATTCGCAAAATGGGCAACTGATTTCTCCTCTCAGCTTCCTGGCTCAGTCCTAGTAGTGAAACTCTGCAGATCTTTGGTTGCTCAAATTCCTCACAATTCCGGATTCGATCCGAAGCCCCAACCATCAAAATTCTTTACTTAAATCCATCCATAAACAAGCTCCAAACAGTCGCAAAGGGGGTTGCCCACAAGGGGGCCTGATCCTCTTTAAGGGGAACTGTTTGGGTACCATGTTTAATGTCCAGTCTTAGGCGTGGGTGGGTTAGGGATCTCCAGGTCACATCTTAGCCTCTTGCTTTTAAAAGGGGCTCCAAATCTAAAAGCTTAGCAAGGGACCAGGCCAAGACCTGAGCCTAAGCATTCCTAATTTGATCCCAAGCCCCAACCATCAAAATTATTGACTTAAATCCATCCAAAAACAAGCCCCAAACAGTCCTGCAAAGGGGGTTGCCCACAAGGGGGCCTGACCCTCTTTAAGGGGCACTGTTTGGGTACCATGTTTAATGTCCAGTCTTAGGGTGGCAACCCGAAAGGAAGTGCTGGCAATACTAAACCAAGTAGTGGCAGCCCAAAAGGAAGTGCTGGCAATACTAAACTAAGTAGTGGCAACCCAACAGGAAGTGCTGGCAATACTAAACCAAGTAGTGGCAATCCAAAAGGAAGTGCTGGCAATACTAAACTAAGTAGTGGCAATACCAAAGCAATACACAAGTCACCCAAGCCCCCCGCCAAATCCGTATTCAGGATCCCCAGGACTGTTTTGACTGTTCCAAGGGGGGGGCCCCCCACAGTAAACAAGGTCCAACATTAATTACTTAGTATCGGCAAATGTCTGACAAATGGATTCCATCCCCTTATCTTGACTGGAAGGAGGGTGGGGGTGATGCAGTCCCGCATTCAATCAATCTTGCATTCCGCCCACAAAGGGAATAAATGGATTGAAAGAAATGAACCATCCCCCCGTCCCCTGTCAGCCATCTTTCAAAGGGGCGAGGCGATCCCGGTCAAAAAACAAAATGGTCCAAGGTCCACGAAAGCTGTGGACCTCTGCGACGCGTGTCCCACGTGGAGCCTGGTACCTCCATAGAGCAGGCTTCATTGCCATACCCCAACTAGAATGGGAAACGTAGGGGTCTGCATAAAAGGAACCCCTTGCTGGATGGCACTTGGGAAACACCCAGGGCCCCTGACATACACGGCAGGCCTATCCGCGCCTGAATGCCAGAAGAAGCCGCTGAACATGCCCCGTAACGTGGTCGCAAGAGAGAAGACCAGGGTTTTTTGGACGGCGCCCCCCTCATTCATCCAATGCACCTGCCAAAGTGGGATGTTGTTCCAGTTGGAAAACGTGGGTACGTTTGTTGGGAGGCCCCCTTTACTCCATGAGATGTGTTGAGTTGAGTATTGCGACGCTCATCTTTGCGCATGCTCATTGGCTCATTGGTTCTGCAATCAAACTAACCGGACAGCCAGGAACATGAAACGCAGCGTCTATTGCTCAACTTAGGGGTTTGCATATTGCCCATCCACAAGCCTTGCGGGCTCCGCATATTGGGCCAATGCTGCAATGCCTGGAGATGTTCAGACTGTCACGTTGTGGGAGATGGCATTTTGAACCTAAGCCTCCCCTGTGATGCAACTATCTTCCATCCCCAGAGCAAGTCTATCACTTTAGGTCTTCTTGAATTGGATCGCAGAAAGCGGCCATTGAACCCACTTTCCCGCGACCATGCAGAGGGTACCCTTGATCAGCTTCAGCAGCTCGCGCATCCCCTTTCGCATCAAGTTGGGGGGGCCCAACAAAAATGAAGTGGGCATCACCTTTGCTCTAACCTCAGAATTCTGACAATTCATCCGGACGCCTCCCCCTCCAGAAAAGCCCGGCTTGCTGTTCGCACATGGAGTTTGGGCATCCGAGAGCCCTGGGCTCATCTCCGGGGCTCATGACATACACTGCTTCGTGGCCAACCGCTCTGATGCATGTAATGGATGGAGCCGTTACAACTGCCTCTCCTGGAGCACGTGTAGCTAATTGGCACGCTAATTGTGTCGTTTTCCAATCTGGGTAGCCTGGGTGGTGTGTTTAAGACCTTGCACCAGCGTGATACGCCATCTGATGCACGTTTCTTGGAGGCACCCGGAAGATCAATTCCGCCTCCCTGTGTCCTGCCGAGGCACCCAGGCGAGCGTCTTGCTGTCGAGTGAAAGCTGACACCTTGGGTCACAAAAAGACATGGGGTACGATTTGGACAAATGTGCAAGTGAACAGCGATAACTTAACCGGGTGATTTACATACATGTGCCATGGTTCATGGTTGGAACCATGGAGGGGAATAAACTCCTAGCACGGAGGAGTGCAAAACAAAAGGCTCCCAACCACTTGCTGGTTTCATGGTGGTCTTGTCACAGAAACAGGCGAGTCTTGCTTGCTCGCCGGGACAAAAGCACACTTCTGGTCAAAACCCTTCCAACACGTGGAACAGGGATGGAGCCTTTTGTGATTTCCCAAGCCAGGGGCACAGGATATCAATGTCAAAAACTGGAAGAAAAAGCTGCACATCGCGACCTTGAACAGTGTTAAGCAGCCCCAAAAGATGGTTGGTTCCCTTTCGACAGCAAGCGCCATCTAAGGCGCCTCCTGTCCTTTCCGCTTCAATCCTCCTACCTTCAACCCCAACCTCCATGACCCGCCGCCCCCCGAGTGCTTGACTTCTCAGCCGCGTCGCTGGCTGGTCTGCAGCAGGAAATGCTTCTTGAGCTCTTCAGACTGGGCGGCGCTCACGCTAGTTCTTGTTCTGCTTGGGGGCTGGTAGCTCTATCAAACTCATAGAGTTCTACACTTTAGATACGAGCCTGCAAACAGTGTCCCTGGTCTGTTCAGCCTATCTTTGCATCCCGTTGTGCTGACATCACCTCCGCACCCAGGTTGACCTGATATGCTTGCCTCCTGGTCGCTGCCCCCGGAGCTCCTTGCCTATCAAGTGGCAAACTGGCCCACGATTACATATTGGTGAGTCAACTGCAGAACATGAAGCTGAAAGAGCCAGTTGGCTCCCCATTTCTTGCTTAGTCAGCCACCCAGCTCTGGCTGAAACTTTGAACAAATCACGGCAAGGTGATGCTTGCGCACGACCCACAAATCGATCGACCGGGCTCTCATTGGTGGCCTGGGTCGCATGAACCTTGCCCCGCACAAAGCAGCAACATTCCTGTTTCTTGGCTCACATCTGCGGTGCAGAAAATCATACTGTCTGATTCCAGTCCACTCCCAAAAAACTAATTGATTTGGAGAGACCACAATGTACATTGAAACAATACATCGATTTGAAGGAGACTTTGATATATATATATAAGCGATGTACCTTCAAACAACTAAATCGATTTGGAGAGACCCCAATGTACCTTCAAAACGCTAAATCGGTTTGGAGACACCACGATGTACCTTCAAAAAAACGAATCGATTTGGAGGAGACACCAATGTACCTTAAACAAATAAATCCATTTGGAGGAGACCACGGTGTACCTTCAAAACATAAACCGATTTGAAGGAACCCCCAAATATAAGTGTATACATATATACATATATATATATATATATCACAGATCCATGTTTTTTTTTTCTATATGTCGCATCTTCTTCGCTCGCTCTCTCTCTCTCTCTCTCCCGCCCCCTTCCCCGCCTGCTTCTTGCCCGCTGCGCAGCCCAGCACAGCCTGGCCCGGCTTCAAAGTCAGGCCCTCCACCTGCGGCATTGGAGCAAGCGAGCCGGGGGAGAGGGGTATCTATTTGGGTGGCTTGTCCTTTTGTAGGTTGGACCCCTAAAAGCTGGGTTGTCCTGTTGGCTTTAACAGAAAGCCGCCAAATATATGTATATATATATATATATTTATTTTATTTTTGTTAAAAAAAATAAAATAAAAATAACGGGGTGCACCCATATTGTAGCCTCTTTCATTTTGGGGCCGTGCGTTTTCCGGGGTTCTTGGCTGGGCACCAGGCGCCACAAGAACCCGCCGGCCGAGTCAACCAGCGGCGGGCCGAGTTTCTGGCGCCTCCACCGCGTCGCCGAACAAATTCCCCGGGCCAAGGGCCATGGCCGGCACCCGGGGGAAGCTGAGAGCCATCGGCTCACCCTGGCCAGGGCTGACCGATGGCTGACCGATGGCTGACCGGTGACCGGTGGTTTCCCATGGCAAGTCTTGTTTAAGGTTGGACCCTTCAGAATGCATTTCGGCCTTCCTTGGTTTCCCTTTAAAAGCACACAGGGGGACCCTCAACAAAAGACACACATTTTGTTTGCTCCCCTAGAAGGGCTTCAAATCCGAACCAATCCAAACCAAGAAGGTTGCCTGAGCATGCGGGAGACGATGAATACGGTATTGAAATAACATTCAGGATTCAGGTGCGTTGAGACACGTCAGAAAAACATTGTAAACATGGCTCGGCTGCTATGAGTCGAAACGTAACGTGCTACGCATATGCGAGGTTTTTCCTGAACTACACGCAACGTATATACAAACTAAACACCTAGGCAACGGATGCATGACACAAATCCGGCCCTTGTCAAGATTGGAAAGGCGGAAAAGGGTGGCTGGCCCGACCTCGGCCAGTGCTGTTTGCGATTTACACCCCTGAAAACTCGCCAGCAACCCAGCCAGAACAAATACGAAAAGTAAAGCGCCTTGCCGACAAGCCAACACCCAGACGCACAGACACACCCAGAGAGAAGACCGCCAAGAAGCACGGACACACAGAAACACAGAGACATGGGTGTTCGCCGAGAGCGGCTTGTTTTGGCTTCGGATTCTTCAAATTGTTGTAAGTCCCCAGGAAACAATGAGAAAATATGTCCAGTAGTGATACAAATCCCTTTTAAAATCACCAAGGGAAAATGTGACAAAAATACCCTCCCGCCAATTAACATGGAACCTGACGTTCCTGGGGGTCCTGGTGTGGACCATTGTCCTTTTAAAGGGACCGGGTTCCTGTCAGATTCCATGTGAGAAAGGTGGGAGGGTACACACAAAACACAATCTCCTGGATTGGAACTGTTCAGCATGGATATGTCCCGTAGCGCAAGCATTTCCATTAAAAACCACCAAGCGAAATGGTGCAAGACGCACTCCTTTCACCCGCCTCGTCGTGCGTCACCGCAAGGTCGAAGGGCAGCAAGGCGGTGCCCTCAGGCCTTGCGGGACCCATGGCTACCATGGGCCTGTGGTTTTAGGAGTTGGAACGCTTTTGGGGTCGGTTGAAGAGAAGATTAAGAAAAAACACGTGTAGTTCTTGTGGGGGGGTCCTTGGGCTCAAACAGGCTCCCTTGGTTTCACTTCGAAGGTGTCCCTGGTACAAAGACTAACCACAGTTGGTGCCTGGGGATCCTGAGCCAATGCATGGGCTCACCTGCCAAACCCACTCCACTGCCGTCTGCCCAGAGGGTATTGAACAGGGCCCACAGGAGCCCCCTCCCCAATACTAAACCAATTGGAAAATTGCCATTTATGAAAATTTGCATTCTTGCGAAAAAGATGTTATTGGACAGGTCCCCGCAGAAAAACCAAAAACTACAGAAGCCCCACCCCATGAAACAGTTCCATTCCATCGTGGTGATGCAGCTGCGGCCTTTTTGTCCATCCTCACAGTGCTGTACGGCTGTACCCTCCTCGTTTCAGTTGCTTTCCATTCACTTTGGAAGGCCAAAGTAAAGAACAAAAGCTGCCATCTTGCACAGCCATGAAGCAGTGCCACAAACATCAGCCAATATCAGCCCTGGAATCCCAAAAAGGTGGTTTTCCGAAAGTTCAACATTCCTTTCGAAAGTGATGGTTTGACAAGGTGAAATGAGGCACCCCACATGAGTGCCCAGCCCATGTTAATTATGTGGGCCTCACTTTTGAGCTCCAGCAATACTAAATCAAATGGAAACTCAAATCCAGCAATACTAAATCAAAAAACTTTGAAGTTCAAATCACATCCAAAAAGAAGCTCCAGCCATGCTAGATCAACATGGAAAGTCAAGTCCCAGCACTACTAAATCAAATGGAAACATGGACCGAAGCTCAGCTATTTTTTGGAATTGTTCTGGAGATCTGGAATCCTCATTCCCAATGCTAAAGTAGTATTTCCCACTTTAAATTAGTATTGTCCAATTCGAAGGTAGACCAGCCATTTTATTTCAGCTCCAGAATCTGAATTTTGAGCCTCAAACCTTCTCGACCTTCTCAGAAAGGGTGTTACTAATCCGATGTTCGCATTGTGGGTTGAAGAATGGCTTTTGGATGAGGAAATCTGCGATCCTCGGGTGGCCCCGCGCAAAAATTGACACAAGCCTACGCCGTAAACCACCAGTCTATCTCACGAAAACACCCTCAGCATACAGTGTCGAAATTGTCGACGCCTACCTTGCAACAATACTAAGCCGCAAACCTTCAGACACGGTGTCGAGCCGTTGGGCCATTGCACGGCGCTCACCCCTCAAGGCAAACAAGGCCGCGTCATTTGATTGTAGACGAAAATCAGGACCCAGGAAACCATTTTGAGCGTTCATTTTGAGACAAAGCCGTGTGGAAGCCAACGGCTCCTTCCCCCACCAAGCCGATGTGCAAATTGTTGGGAGGTGGACTCACTCCATTCAGCCGTTTCGGCCAGCGCGCCTCTGCAGCTTGGTGCCAATGCAGCCCTTGAAGTCGAAAAGCCCGTTCCCCATCACGAACTTCGCCTCACCGAAGGCTTTGTCTGAAACTGAAGAACCTGTTGGCAATGGGTTTCCCAACGGCGCCGGCACGAGAGACAAAGGTTGCCCTTGGTGTTAAGCGTCTTAGGCTACAACCCACATGTAGCCGAACAAAGGCGGCTAAGCAGGTCACAAAGTAGACCAGAACCTGCTACCCCTTAATTGGTGGTTGGATTGGTGGTTCGGGAACAGGGCCCCAGTTCCTTTTGAAACCACGTGGGGAAGGTACCGCCAAACCACGTGGGGAAGGTACCGCCCAACGTCCAAACCACCAAAACAAAGCACTAATTTGGTTGATAAGTTGACGGAAAGGTAAAACAAACAGACATTGGACCGAGTCACCTTGCCGATCCAGGACACGTTCTGCGCCTGCAAAAAGGTATCTTGAGAACTCCCTCCATCAAACCCCTCGTTTGGCAGCGGACGTGGCCCTCGTTGAACAACCCAAAACGGGTTCCCCTCAAAAGAAGACGTGCCACACCCATGTCTCAGGAATGGACACTCTGCCGTCTGCTTGGGCCGCATGGCTTCTTCCATGGGCCGTGGATGTGTTGAAGCTGCGTTTGGGCCGAGGTTGGATGCCTCCCGCTTCGCACCACCTGAGTCCCAGGACATTCGAGCTGCACCTAGACCCTCCGACACTTGCCAACGCGACCGGGATCGCTCATGTTCAAGGAACAGGGGATGGATCAACTGTTTATCTTGCCATACCACCTATTGACCCTTGCGTCCTGCGCTCGGAAGCCAGCCAAACCCTTGCCATTTGCATTACTCTGCACCCAGTCTTCCCACAATTGTTGAAAAATGGACTCCACTTTCGACGGCTGGAAAAGGCACAAACATCCACCACGGAAATTCAGTGCCATTGCAGGGATCTCCCAAATCCAGAAAAACGGAGGTGCCGTGCATGTGGTCAACATCAAATGTCAAAACCCCGAGCCATCTCTACGAAAGCCAAAACAAAGAGCCTCTGAAGCGAACCTCGGAGAAGTGGGTCAGGAAAAGCCAGCCCATTACATCCCCCCCGTTTACCCCCTGAAGGCTTCTAACCCGCTTCCATGACGGAATGCGGGTGGCCCCCCTTGCTGGAAGCGCAAAGGAAACCCAACGGCATTCTCACTAACCTGAAAGCATAGCTCATGAATACGTCGCAAGGTTCCTCAAAGAGTATTTGTCCAAAACACTCTTTACAACGGGGCTCTCTCAATCAATCAGGAGCTGCGCGCTGGCTGAAATGTATCTATCTCAACCTTGTTCGGAGCCTTCTCCTTAAGCATGTTCGGGTCATCCTTGTCCATGCAGTACCAGTCTCGCGTCAGCGTCTTGGCGCTGCCCTCTGCCTGCAAGGCAAACGCGCGGATCTCCATGGGTAAACCCTAAACCCTAAACCCCAAAGCCTTCATTTTGTTCCTTTAAAACCATCCCAAAAAAAAGTATCCTCAAAAAGACACACCCACCTTGTGAGGCATCTGTTTGAGAGTCTCAAGAACAATACTCGCTAGAACCTCTGGAACGCACTGAGGCCACCGCTGATGCGCACATGTAGAGGAACTTTTGGCTGTCCGTTCGCTGATAAACCGCCTCGAAGCCGTACTTGGCATATTCCCTTCCTTGGCCCACATCACATCTGCTGGCCCAGACTGATTTCCAAATGGGTTTAAAGTTTAAGGATGCTAGACGCACTAGCGCCGCTTAATGGCCCAACAGCTTCTGGGCTTTGGCCCGAACCGCCTGGACTCCATGTCATCAAACCCTCGATTTGTGATTTGGATCGGTGTGGAGCGGTTCCGGGCCAATTTCCCATTTCTCATCCCGCAAGGAGGGGGTTCACCTCATGTGAAATCGAGCTGGAAGCCAGCACCCTCACTCGGTCAACCTGAGCGGGTGCTAAAGGGGGAAACCACACCAGGGGCTGCCCCACCCTACGGCAACGGACCACACCGAGCCGCCGATGTAGCGGTACTCACCTGCGCATTCTGCGAAGGTACTGGCAAGGGCCGTCGATGAGGGCCTGATGTGCGAGCAAGGGCTGCAACCAAGCTGCCTGTGGACTGCGCGAACGCTTGTGGACAATGACCCTTGTCAAAGTGGGATTCCCATCACTGCTACTTGTCAGTACGAGATTCCTTGGCATCACAGAAAATAGGCCCAAAGCGGCCTAAAGCCACATGTCCCACACCCATAAAATGGGCGCTCGCAAGATGAAGCAAATGAATAGCACATGGGTGTGATCAAAACTTGCCACTACCCAACAAGACGTAGGGAAATGTGTGAGTCCCCCGTTTTCTCCAACCTGGTCCATAGACAGATCAGGACATTTTAACAAATGATCCCAGGTTGCAAGCAGCAGAACTTTTAAGCCTAAGGCCTTCGCCTCAAAAGCCAACAAGAGACCTACCCGGGGCAGCGAAAGCTGCAAATTGTGGAAGCTGAAACAGGCCTCCCTAGATTTCCCTTCTTTTCAACATCACCCCACCAAAAGGACACTCACTTTCAAGTGGCCCAAAAGGTGAACTTTCAAACCACCAAACAAGGGAACCTTGTGAAGTGGGCGGTCCAAAACCTGCTTCCACCCATTGGTTGCAAATGACATCCCGATTTCATCCCCGATTCGCTTCAGTCAACTGGGTTCGTTGTTTCGATTCTTTGCCCCCTTTAAACCTCACCCCACCAAACTCGCTTGTATTCTGTCCAGGTGATGGTGCAGACCATTTTTGTGTCGAAGTATGAAACCCTCTGCCTTGGTCGCCCGTCTGGTGCAAACGGGGGGCGAGGGCAAAAGCCCGAGGTATCGGTACTCGCAGTTGCAGTCCCTCTTCTCGAAGGTGAGCTTCTCCAAAGACTTGTCTTGATAGAAGTGCGACTTCTGCTCGAGGTCTCAGTTGGATTGTCACTTCTCGGCTTGGCTCAAGTGAAGAATTGAGAGTCAGTATTATTCGTCTGGTCCGGCCGTGACTTCCGGAAGTCAAAGCCCATGATCCTCAAAGCCAACTCGAAATATCCCACCTCCCAGGAAGATGGCAACCAGAAGGCTTCTTGAAGACAAACATTGTCGAGAAACCTCTCGGCAGGTTCCATGTTACTCCGGCACTGATGTTTCGAGCCGCCTCGCGAGGGCGAAGACGCCACCGGCTCTTTGTTCTTTGCATCGCTCCGTTGGTTTGTGATAATTTAAAAATAAATAAATAAATAAATAAATAAATAAATAAATAAAAACTCTCAACTTCTGGCTCGTTGGCTCATCGCATGCCATCCAGATTCACGGTACCAAAAAACATGTTTCAAATTGGCCCAAGATACGTTTCTATAGAACAGGTTAAACAACCGGGAAGGGTCACCAATGAACCCTGTCCACAGCGCGCTTTTTACTTGAGCCATACGCAGTCGTAATGATGAGACTGCGCAAGTGAGACATTCATGCATTGGGGTTTTACATGGTTGATAAATACATCACGTTGCAAACTACACCCCCCGTGCCCGAATGTGAAACAGGAGGACAAACGAAAGGGATGAAACAACCAACGAAACCCGATCGGCATGAAGTCCTTTTGCAGTACACAAGCACTTGGATTCGAGCAACTGGCAGTTAAGGTCTTCCGCCTCCACTGACCGTCGCTCTCGCGAGGCGTGCTCATGCACTGTACATTGATCCTCGGCCAACATGAATTGAGAAGTGTAATGAATATGGAATTTGAAATGTAAATGGATGTCAGCCGAAGATTGAAAAGATTGTTGAAGAGATCGCTCATTCATCGCCAATCCCAATTGCGGGAGCTCTTCCACGGGCGCTGATCATCAGACCACCACGAGTCCCAGGATTGGCCCCAGCTTCCCCAGTACGACTGGCTCCATTGACGATCTTGCCATTGGCCACCGGTCTCCCGGAGCTGCGGAATGGGCTTGCGCGTCACACCAACAACTGCAGGGAGCGGAGTGGCCCGTCCAGGGATTTGGATGCCGGGGATCTCCTCTTCGACGAAGCAAAGCAACTCAACCAATACCATTTCGGGGTCTCCCACAGACGAGAAATCCCGAGTCCAGCCCATCACGGGGTAGCGGTTGCTCTTGTCAAGGCTTCCATACAACGCGGCAAACTGTTCTGGTTCCAGAAATCTGCCACCATGCACCACATACACGTCTTTCGGATCAACCTCCTGCACGTCCTCGGTTGGCGGCACCAGCGTTAGCCGTGCGTGATATTTCGGCACAGCAATGCTTCCTTGGATCATTTCCTTCGTTCTTTCGAAACTCGGAATAATGCATCGTGCCACCTCCTCGATAAACTCGAGGGCGGACGGCGTCAGGTCTCCCCGCGCGGCAGTGTAGGCGTAGAAGGGGTCGTTGATCAGCCTCTCGTACAACGTGGTGTACTCCTTGTTGCGAAGAACTGCTTTCTTGGCGATGTCCTTCATGATCCCGAGGCCCCCTCTTGCGCTTCGATCCCCTCGCGCATCCTTCCGCTGCGTCAAGATCTGAGTCTCAACCTGGTCCATGGAAAGCGGCACGCCCAAGCTGTTGGCCATCTCCTGCAATCGGACGACCCTGGCTATTTTCTTGATATCGGGCATGCGCTCCATGAGATGGTCACACTGGTAACAGTTGATGGTGCCGACCGGGATGAGGATTTTGCAGCGCGGGCACTCAACGTCGGGGATGTGCATGACCTCCGCGAAGCGCCAATTGGTTGACTTCTGCCTGTTGGGATCCACGTGTGTAAGCTTATAGTGTTTCCGCCTGAATTGTTCCGCTAACCAAGCAAGATTAACACGTTGAGTCTTGTCGGTGTGGCGAAAGGCCGGAGATCTACCACTTTCAAGAATACGGATAGTGGCCTGGTTGTCCTCGAGGAAAATGCCTTCGAAAGAACCATTGTTGATAAGAGTCACACTCTCGCTACCAATACGTTCATCCCCAACATACTCAAAGTCAGTGAGATTGCCCCTGATTTCTTTGGCCTCGATCTCGAGATCTGCCTCGCCGGCCCCCCGCATGAAGAAATACGTCTTGCCCGTCCATGCGGAGTCGGTTTGGCTTTCTGGATCATTTGGGCAAATTCGGGAAACTTTGAGATTGATGTTGCCATCGCTGAAGAGTTGAACCGTGTATCTGGTGCTGGACAAGGCCTCGGTTCTAACCGGGCAGTCGTCGTTCGAAGGAACAAACAACTGAGTTCTTCTTTTGTTGTGAACTCTGACTATATATCCATTGACCGTGTCGTTGATCCAATAATCGGAAGTTCTTGATGGGGTGAGAGTGCATGTTGGGTTTTCTGTACCAGCCCCCGCCGACTGTATGATCTCCCAGAGGCAGGAAGACGGAAGTCCAACAGCACGCAATGCCACATTAGCTGCAATCACCTCGGCTTCCGTGGACGACATCGCAGTGGAAGTCTGCTTTTTGGAAAATGCAGTCAGAGGATAGAAGGTATTAGGGCCAATCAATGCAAGAAAACACCCTGATGTACTGCGGGAATCATGTTCGCCAGCATGATCTGAGTCCGCAAACAACCATAGTCGGGTTCGTGATGAGGGGTCACCAACGAAACCGTGCATCTTCCGATCGATTGTGGTATGAACATAGCACATTAACCGGAAGAGCGCCTGGTCGCAGTCGACGGACCACTTGGTAACGCGAGAAGCCAGTCCCTGGGTCGCTCTCAAGAGATCAAAACGGGCCATCCGCGCAGCAAACAGAACCTTCATGAGGATTTTGGAGGCGATGGGTTGAAGAATACCCTTCTTCTCCGTATCGTCTTTGGTGGGTCTTGCAATGCGGTCATCCTGAATTGGAGTGGAACCTTCTTGAACTGAACATTGCCCCCCGCAAGCTCGACATACCTGTCAAGGCATTGTTTAAGGAATCCGGTCATGTCGTAGGTAACCAGTGTTACGGGTTTGTCCATGCAAGGTTGGTGCTGAAAAAGTTCATCGATGTACGAAAAACCTTTGGCTCGATTGGCTTTCTTGGCGGACGTCTTGTCCCTGAGCTTCTTCACGGCCGCAGCCGCTAGGCGGGCATTTCCAACGTTTTCATGAAAGAAATACGTGGTCCCAACCCAAAGAAAAGGAACAGTCTGAATTTGATCATCGTCTTCATCGAAATGCCAATACTGTTGAGCAGCACCGTCTTTGTCAAAACATGGACTGCACTCTGTATATCGCGTCCCGCCCAACCCAATCTCTTTGGCAACACCGTTAGGCGTACGGCGAAATTTGCGCCTTGGCTGCTCGTGTTGACAAACAACCACGCCATGTTCTGGATAGTGTTCCCAATAATCCTGAGTTCGGCGAGCTGCGGCTGCAGTCTTGTCAGATGGATCCTCCAGGTCATGGTTGAAAACATGAGCGAAAGGATGATGTTCAGGCGAAAGTTGAACCTTCTCCGTGACAACATGCTCACATCCGAGGTACCTACCAACAGCCGAAGGTGGGTCCATGTCAATCTTGGAAGAAATGAGTTCCCAACCTTTTGCAACATTTTGAACCGGTCCCGACATCTTGAAGTTGTCGACGTACACTGCGAGCAGGAGTCGAAGTTTCGGATGCCAGAAAACTGAAGGCCAGGCTCCAGGGTAAACAAGACGGAAACCAAGGGACAAGAGAATGTCTTCACAGTGCTTCTCCCATAGACCCCCCGAATCCGGGTGGCCGTAAAGAGCAAGAATAAGCTGTACCACTGGATCGCTATACTTTGAGGCCCAACCTTTCGGCCAGCGATATTTTGGGAGGCGTACCCATGTCTTGATTCCCTTGTATAATGCCTGTGTATATGCCTGTCGCCCATCGGATTCTTAAGTGCAGTTACCAGGCATAGCTCCATAAGCATCGATGGCTTTAGCAGCTTCCATGGTGGAAGGGGCCGATCCAAGTTCAGCAAATAAAGCTTGCTCAGCATTTTCGTCTTTAGCGTTGTTCCCCTGAAATACAGTCCTTCCCTTAAACTTGCGAAGAGGGTCTCTCTTTTGAAGTTCACTCCCTTTCTCAACACAGATTTCAAAGATTTTGCCAACATGGACCTTTTCACTTCTCCCCTTAGCTTCTTTGACCACCTGCGACCACTCACGCACAGTGTTGTAATCCCATGCGCCCTTGCTCTCAAGGTTGTGCCACTCCACGTCAATAGACTTCTGAGCATCAGCATTGCTTTCAATCTCCTTCCGCCCCACCGGTCTAGCAACCATAGCATGAATAACAGGGTGCAGGTGAGCTTGAAGAACTTTGCAACGATGTTGACCAATTTCGGGATTCGCAGAAAGTGCAGGCAAAACTACAACATCCAGCGCGTCCTCAACAGTCTCCTCTTTAGAGTGGTTCCCAACGCAAGGTGCAACAGGCATGAGAGGAATGCTTGAAAATTCATCTTCCAATCCTGCAGTGGTCGCCGGCCTAGCTTTGGATGAAGAAGCTTCCGGGTCCTCGGAGACGGGCTCATCGAGGAAAGCCTTGCGAGCCTTCTCTCGTTCATCATTAATGATGGCGAGTCTCCTTTGCTTTGTTGACATAGTTTTCCAAAGAAAAGGTGGAATACTGTCGGGTTTGCTTGATCCTGAATACCTCCGTGCTTTCACACCCCCCGCATCGTAATGGGCACCTCCATCTTTGGGAACAAAGGTGTCCTTGCTGGTCTTCAAATCGATGACTTTAATCATTTCATCCGATGCGGGTCCCTTTCTGGGGGAAACTTTGATCAGCTTTCCGAGGTTTTCAGCGAGTTCCTGATCATCAATGTCATCCTGGCCTGGCATCTCTGCCGGCAAATCCTCCTCCAAGAGCGGCGCATCCAATGCAGCTGGATCAGGCGTTTCAGGAACGTATTCAAGCCCTGGCATTACGCCATTCATGTGCAATAAGTGCCGTTCGACCATTGGAAAAGAGAATTCACCATCCGGACACTTGATCTGATTTACTCTCAATGGAACAATAGGTTGATCATAGTCCTTCTCCATCAAATCTCGCAAGGGAACAACGAGAAATTCGTGACGCCAAAGAAAGTCAGGATGGATGGGATACCCCAGAAATATTCCAGCCCTGGAAGTAGGTTCAAACTTCAAAGGCTTGTTGGGTCGATTCCTCGGGCCAGTCCAAAAGTTGACTTGACATCCAAAAGGTAAATATGGTCCGGGAAAATCTTCTCCAAAACGTACCTTCCATGGTGAGTGATAATCTGGGTGGTCCGTGATGTTATGCGCCATGCAATAGTGTTTGGCCGCATGTGGCCAATACGAATGATGCAAACCAGCTTGTTCCAGGTTGGTCCTCGTGCCCTCGATAATCGCCCTGACGTTCCTCTCAGAAATAGCATTCGTTTTGGAAATGTAGTTTGTACTTTGAACATGCTTCCATTCCAATTGATCCGCCGCTTTCGCAAGTTCAGGAGCCCGATCACTGTAAAACACGTTCACGGTTTCCCCGGTGCGGACAAAGTGCTTGAATGCCATCACACACTGATGAGAGGTTTTCCGTGCTGCTGGGTAAACATAACGGAAATCAGTGGCAACATCTCGAACCACAAGTGCAACTCTAGATTGATCAATGCCGATTTCACGATCGTCTGAAGTGATGAGATGGTCCGCCGTAAGGTGATCACCAAACTTCTTGGCCTCGACTTGAGTGGAACCTCCCTTTTGTCTTGATGGATATTTGTACATCTTCGCCCTGCTACAAGTCTCGCAAACAGGGTTCTTGGGAGTGTGACACATCAAGTGCTGGAGTGAGGTCGCCTCATCACGCAAAGCTGCTTCACCGCGTTCGCGAGGAGCATCCTTCAAAATAGGCTTAGACACAAACTCGGAAGCAATGACCTTAGGCGAATCTTCAGAGGGAATGTCATGGCACTTCTCAATGGCCTCACCTTCCGGTTGGCTTATGGTATCTTCAAGAAAGAAATCATCGTTTCCCAATTCGTCCCCATCATCCTCATTGGTCACAAGCACCTCTTCAACAGCTTCCGGTTCTTCGTCAATGACTAGAACTTCATCCTCAATTTCAATGGGAGCTGATGGTAAAGATGTAACCTTTGGGATGCTTTGTGACAAAGCTGGAACAGCATTTTGAATCTCTGGAGGAATGAATGGTACATTGTCTTTGACCTCGAGCTTGATGCGTGAACCGTCCGGAAGTCGGAAATAAGGTCTGCTGTGCGCTCTCCAAACGAAGTCATATCCGTGTTTAAGGCGTCTCATACGCACGGACAACACGGATGGAGCCCTGTCAAGAACGTACGGCCGAACAACACTATCGGTCTGTTTGATCTTGACCCTGGCTTGCTCGGTACCGATAATATTTCCATTGGCTGTGGAAAATTTCAGAGGTTGAGACGATTCGTAAATACACCCCATCTCTGCATCGGTCCTCGACAGCAAATCCTGAGAAGCTCCTGTATCCGCGATCCACGGAATGTGAGAAGAATCCTTTGGTATACGAGCAACAGCAGCCTTCCCCTTTTTGGGGGAAGTCTCGGGCTTCTCTGGCTCGGCCGTTAGGCCTGCGGGGATGCAGAAATCGCAGCCGAAATCAGAGTCGCATTGAAATTTGCAAGAAGTCTTCGTGCCTTTGAGCAAATCCTTCAGCTTCATGCATAGCGCCGACGAGAGTTGCGTCTGAAACAGCTCTCTCATCGAACTTCGGAATGAAATCAACAGGAAACTCATGCGCAAACCTTCTCGACGAGGCAGTGTAGGGCCAAAGCTCGCCGTCAGTCTCATAGATCGAAATGGATGGGTAGTCTGAGAATTGCACACACTTCTTGATACATGGCATACCCTGGAAAACATCATGACTCACACTAGGCAGGCAAGGATACAAGGCGACCGAGTCGAGGGTCGCGGCGCACACCATCGCCTGGAGGAGGCACACCGTGGCATTGCTGCCTTTTGACGATCGCGGAGACTTGAGGGACTGAGAACCCTTTGAATCTTTCGAATCCTGAGAAGAAGGCCTGCTACCTTTCTTTTCCTTTTTCTTTTTCTTGTCTCTCGGCGATGTCTTGGGAGTGTCTCCACTAGTGTTCTTGTCGGCTTTTGGGGCTGGAGCTGCCTTGGAAGTTGCGGGGTGCTGCCATGGGCAATCTTTCCCCCTCTCGCATCTGTTCGCCTTGAAGAACTTGCATACCTGGGGCTTGGACCCAGGAGGACTCTGCGAACGATACTTCCTTGGCGTCTGGGATCTCGATCCGCCCTTCTTGCCTTTCCCCTTACCCTTCGGTGCCTTAACATGTTCGAATCGGCAGTCTGAACCATAGGTGCACTGGCCAGTTTGAAATTTCACACATACACCCTTGGGGATTCCAGGAACTGCAGGGTTGTTCGATGGAGTCCTGCCACGTCCCGTCGTGTTGCTCGACATAGCATCCCGCATGTGAACAAACCTCTTGCGCTCCAAATAATTCCTCGATGCGTCAATCAAGAATTTATAGGAGTGCTTTTCCGTCCCTTCCTCAGCCCGCTCATACTCATTGAGATCATGACTGAGAGGCCGAAACTTTCGAATCTGGCGGTGGAACAGCGCTTCAAGGGTTTTCTCATTCTGCTCATTGCCCATTCCAGCGATGACCGTGTCCCATCTCGTCATGAAGTTCTTGAGGTCCTCGTTAATGAGCTGGACAGAGAGCAAGTCCTCAAAGTCGTAAATTGCACCATGTTTGATGTTCGTCCTAAAGTGCTTGTGAATCATCAAAAGAATTTGGCGCCCCCTCGCGTAGCGTTTCTCCTTTGCTTCTTGTTCTTTGAAAATGTCGACTTGCCGCGCGAGGTCGCCCTCCAAGATGTTCGTCAACGCCGATGCCAGCTTTGCGTCAAGATGGACAAACATTCCTGAATCACGAAGGACTTCAACAGTTTGACCTGGGATCCAAGTTGCCTCAATCCACTCAAATGCCTTTCCGGGTTGATCGGAAGTAGCAACAACAGCATCCCTAACTTTGATCCTCCAATTACGGTACTGTTCGGGCTTCGGGAATCGGGGAATCTGAATTCTGTCACCCTCCTTTACACGAACGCGTTCCGCTGTCGGATCGCTCGAATTGCCTAAGTGCTTCAGTAGCTTTCGTCGAAAGGATTCATCCGATGCGGTCGAAGTTGATGATGAAAATGACGAGGGAGAAGATGACGGATCTCGTCGCCGGCGTCGGCTACGGTCCTTCTTCTTCTTCTTCTTTTTCTTTTTCTTGTCCTTGTCATTTCCACCATCACCATCATCGCCAGACCAACCCCGGCGGGAACGGATCCGTCTTTGCCGTCGACCTTCGTCCAACTGTGTGAGGAAGCATTCGAAAGTCCGGGTGGAGATGCAGCCAAAGGAATTGTCGGGATAGCCAAGGGGGTAGCTGGTGCTTGCTGAACGGGAGGCACAGGGGCCGGAGCAGGCTGAGCAGGCGGTTGCTGTTGATTCTGCATCATCTGCTCGACCATAGCCCTCAGCTCCCTGATCTGCCTCTCCTGCTCGCTGATCGTGTTCATGGCGCTTTGGTACTTCATCTCGGCTTCTCTTTCTGATTTCATGGTGTTCACACGCTGCTCCGCATTCATTTGAATCTCGCGTCTCATGGCCTCCGATTGGCTTTGAAGTCCGGCAATGATCTCACCATGCCTTGCCTCCGCCATCTGGGCGACCATGGGACCGGTGTCCTGATTCACGAACTGGTTGAATTGGGCATTGTTCTGAGTAGCGTTGACCTGCTGATAGTTCGTCACGTCCTGGTTGATCGTCATCGAAGGATCGAGGTGGACGTTTGCAACATGTTGATTGAACTGATTCATGGACTGTGGCATAGGGTTTCCCCTTGCGAGATCGGTCTGGGGGTCGTACATGACGATGTCACCATGCCGATGCCGATCTGATCCAACAGGTGAAGGAGATCGAGCACCAGACCGCCCAGTCCTCCCACGGTCACTTCGAGATCGAAGCGATTCGGGGCCCTGACTGCTCAGCGCCTGTCCCTTCTTGATGAGCTCCCTGGCCACTTGGGAATTCGCGCGACTAGTCGGTTCGTATTGCGAGGCGTCTTCATCGCCTGCAGGCTCATCAGATGTGGGACGCACCTCAGTATGGGGTAGTCCAGGATCGCCATCCATGGCGTACAACTCTGTACAAAGAGCCGCTTACGGCTGATAACCTATAGAACAGGTTAAACAACCGGGAAGGGTCACCAATGAACCCTGTCCACAGCGCGCTTTTTACTTGAGCCATACGCAGTCGTAATGATGAGACTGCGCAAGTGAGACATTCATGCATTGGGGTTTTACATGGTTGATAAATACATCACGTTGCAAACTACAGTTTCAAACCACCCCAAACATTGAATGGGGGGTTTCCCAAATTGATGCCCCAAGATGGGTGGTTTCCTTTTGGCTTCCCTTTAAAACCAACCAAAGGGGCTCCCATGAGGTTATTTGGGGTATTGCATTGTTTAATGGAAACTTGGCTGCACAAATGACCCTGGAATTGTGTCCACCCGTGTGGTCCAGGCCAAAATCCAAGCTGCTGAGGACCCGGAAGGGCATGTCCAAGTGCCCCGCCAACTTCCGGTTCTTGATCCTCGGGAGACCGGCCACTTTCCGGACAATGGCCCAAAGCGTCCATTGCCAAAAACCAGTTGAATTGGAGTTGTTAATTTTGTGCTGTGCCCTGATTGCACTGCAGGCCGCGGTCAACATGGTCTCATGGCCCAAGCTGCCAACCTCGCCGCAACGTGAGCCCAAACAACGCACCACTCAAACGCGCCCAACATCAGACCTATGAATTCCGAAATGCAAAGGAAGGAATCTCTCCGGCTCGCGCTCCGGATCCATTGAGACAACGCCCGCAAGCGACGCTTGCGATTTGTCACAGACAAAGGCTCTCATGGATCAGCTTGTACCGGTTCAGCTTGCCGGCCTCCAAAATCCAGCAGTCCCCCACGGACACGTCGTTGGGGACCTCCGGAAACCGGGCCCGGGCATAGCATTCCAGCATGGCATGGACATGGCGATGTGCTTTGGGCTAGTCAACGCAATCCTGGAGGTCTCCAATCTTAGGTCTCACCCAAAAACCGGCGAATGGACTGCGAGACATCAACGCCTTCTGTCTTCCACTTCCATTTTTCAGGGGGACTGGCCCTCCCACACACCGCTGCCGTTGAATTTCAGGGCTGATAGAAGGACTGCGACAATCGTACCTCAAAGGGGAAGGAGCCCCCAAATTCTATCATGTGTTTTGAAAGGGAATTGGGTCGGGAACCAACAATCCTTTTTCAATTTGGCCCCCAGAGATGTTGATACCCCATTCGCGGGAAATTTATATGCCCCCGAGCCAGTTTAGCACCTGTCCAAACCGGCCTCGACGCAGCAGCAAGCGCGAAACACCCCTCGAATTTTCTCGCACGATGTCGGTGGTCAAAGTAAAGTCAAGTAACAAAAGCAAGCGCAACAACAAGGAGGCGTGTTGATATTAGGCCGTGGTGTTTTGCAGGTTTTGGAGTTTTCTTGCGGCTGGGGTAGGGGGTGGGGGGGGGGGGGGGCGGGTGGTAGCGACATTGTTCACGAGCTGCATTGCCGCTGCCGTAACTGCTCAGCGGCATGGGCGTGCGCTGCTTTTGCTCTTGGTGCCCTCCGGCACTCGTTCTCGCTGCTTCGTGTTGCTTGGCTTGCTGACCCCTTTTACTTGCACTCCCACATTGACCTGCTGACTCTGACTGACGCGGACCCTGTGACTGCCTTTGCTCGTTCTGCCTCCTCCTTGTCCTGCCTGCCGGGGCCCGCTTGATTTCGATCTACAGGCAACAAGGTTGCCTTATCTCCTCAACGCTTGGTTCATGTATCTTTCTTCTCTACAAGGTCCTGCTCCGCTGCACGTCTGTGATGCTGCATTTGCGCTGTCTCGAAGACTCCTCCACTTACACGAGCATTCGGTAGATACCGCCATGGCATGGCATTCAGTTTTTTTTGGACAAGCACACTGAACCATGATTGTGATCTTATTCAGGAGTTGGCGCGCATCGCATGAAAGGTTGCAACTTTTCACAAACTATTTTTCAAAAGCCTTGTACCAACACGTGGCCAACAATAACAAGTCAAGGGTCACCGCTAAAACCCGATCGGTCAACCAAAACAGGGCTAGCACGTGGGAGCCTTGAAGAACATCACACGCGACACCAGGATTGCCCAATCTAGAGAGTGGGGTGGTGCAGGCTTCAGCACAACCGGAACTTTCATCAAGTTGAATTGTATATGATGTCAATAATAGCTGATGTCTATTTTTGTACAATCCCAAGAACATGTTCGCGCGATGTCGTTTCCGAAACGGCCGTTTCGAATCGAACCCGGCCTCCAGGAGCTTGGTCTGATCGCTTTGCGATGCGATCAGCGTGGCCGTGGTGCTGCCCAAGAATCCCACGTCGTCCGCGGCGCGGCGCACGAAGGCGATGCACTGAGGATTCCCATCGCACAGCGCCTGGGGGAAGCAGGGAGTTCCGAGCCCGAAGTAATCAACATGGACGAAATGGCGCGGTTCCTTTTGGTTGCCCTTTAAACACTTAAAGCAAAGGGGGTCCACATTTTGAATCACCCTTTTGATTGGGCTTGTTCCGTGAAGCCGCACTGTGTGTTGCTCTGGCAGGTGCACCCGACAAACGTGATTCTCTGTTCACGGACATTCGCCAAAAGCACCGGAGGCCCGGGTTCTTTGCATCATCACACCAACAAGACTTGCTGGTGCTCCGTAGGGTTTTTGGAACGAACCCAGGGTCCTCCTTAAAGCAAACCACAAGTGATGGTTTATAGGAATCAATCCCATATTCCCTACTGAGCACCAGCAAGAAGACGTTGCCACATGACGCTCGCAGCTTAAGGCCCCGGACCTTGCATTGCAGGAAGTCCTGGCGGACTGAATATGACCAGGCCGAATAAAGCCCTGCAGTTCAGGGACCCTCTAGCATTGTTCCCCGCCCCTCCCAAATAAAGGCCCCGCCCCGATGCTCTTAAGAGCTCAACACGTTTTGCTGAGGCAAGATCAGACTCAACGTTTGGGTCGGTCTTTGAATGGTGTTTGTAGCATCCCGGGGTACGCGCTGGTAAGGAGGGGGACGGGTGGCGCTCGATAAACTTCAAAGCCAATCTGCTAAGGCTACACTTGCTAGGCTTTCGTGGGCGGATGCCATGCTGCGCCGGCCAAGGCCACAGAGTTTGCAGAATCACCCTACTTTGTGAGCAAAAGCAATCCCAGTCACAGAACGTAGCACCCCCCCCCATTGTCCGTAACCATCAGCAGCCCAATCCTTACCAAGATTTCCAAGCAAATTCACCCACCAACATGGCTTGGTGAAAGGTTCTTGTTTGCGGGCCTTCAACCATTCCGAGACCAGTGCGTTGCTGCAACCCATCTTGGGTCGGATTGGGTCTTGCATCTGGGGGTCTTGCATCTGGGCAAACTTTTATCAGGATTAAACCATCTTCGGCATTGCGCGGATGTATCGGACAGAGGCAAGCCCACAAGTTCAACACGGCCGAGTCCTTGACTGGGTGGTGGATCACCGCCTTGCTCCAGTGCGAGCGCCTGTCAGTTCGTGACAGCCAGCCAATGTTTGACGGGTGAGGGATCAAAAAAAACTTGTTAGGCATCAAAAAAACCGATTTCTAAAGATCAAAAAAAACTTATTAGGGATCAAAAACAACTTATTCTCATTGATGTACTATTAAAAATGAAAAATCTGAGGATCAAAAAACAACTTTATAGGCATCAAAAAAGCTTATTTATTTCGTGGCAGGCGAAGCACTTTCGCAAGGTCAGGTACAGATTTCGTGGCACGCGCGGCACTTTCGCAAGGTAGGCGCAATGCTTTCCCAGGTCAGGTGCAGATTTCGCAGCAGGCGCAGCGCTTTCGCAAGGTGCGGTACAGATTTCACGGCAGGCGCAGCACTTTCGCAAGGTCAGGTACAGATTTCGTGGCAGGCGCAATACTTTCGGAAGGTCAGACAGATTTCGCAGCAGGCGCAGCACTTTTGCAAGGTCAGGGACAGATTCGCGGCAGGTGCAGGACTTTCGCAAGGTGCGGTCCAGATTTCGCGGCAGGCGCAGCACTTTCGCAAGAGGTACCAATTTCGCGGCAGGCGCAGCACTTTCGCAAGGTACGGTACAGAGTTTGACGCAGGCGCAGCATTAAATCAGCGGGGGGTTATGTTCGAAGAAGTGATGATTCAGCAAAGGGTGCGGTAATCTCTGTAAACATTCTGAAAATCAGCGGGGGGGTTGGGGGGGGCGGCAGCCCGCTCGAAGAAGTGATGATTCAACAAAGGGTGATGATGCTCGAAGAAGTGATGATTCAGCAAAGGGTGCGTTAATCACCGTCAACCTTCTACAAATCAGCGAGGTGAGGAAGGTCAGGTACAGATTTCGCAGCAGGCGCAGCATGTTAGCAAGGTCAGGTACAGATTCGCGGCAGGTGCAATACTTTCGCAAGGTGCGGTCCAGATTTCGCGGCAGGCGCAGCACTTTCGCAAGAGGTACCCATTTCGCGGCAGGCGCAGCACTTTCGCAAGGTACGGTACAGAGTTTGACGCAGGCGCAGCATTAAATCAGCGGGGGGTTATGTTCGAAGAAGTGATGATTCAACAAAGGGTGGTGATGATCGAAGAAGTGATGATTCAGCAAAGGGTGCTGTAATCTCTGTAAACATTCTGAAAATCAGCGGGGGGGTTGGGGGGGGCGGCAGCCCGCTCGAAGAAGTGATGATTCAACAAAGGGTGATGATGCTCGAAGAAGTGATGATTCAGCAAAGGGTGCGTTAATCACCGTCAACCTTCTACAAATCAGCGGGGTGAGGAAGGTCAGGTACAGATTTCGCAGCAGGCGCAGCACTTTAGCAAGGTCAGGTACAGATTCGCGGCAGGTGCAATACTTTCGCAAGGTGCGGTCCAGATTTCGCGGCAGGCGCAGCATTTTCGCAAGAGGTACCAATTTCGCGGCAGGCGCAGCACTTTCGCAAGCTACGGTACAGAGTTTGACGCAGGCGCAGCATTAAATCAGCGGGGGGGTTGGGGGGGCTGCCGCCCCCCCCATGATGTTCGAGGAAGTGAAGATTCAACAAGGGGTGCGCTAAGCTCTGTAAGCATTCTACAAATGAGCAGGGGTGTTGGGGGGGGCGGCAGCCCCCCCCCCATGATGTTCGAAGAAGTGATGATTCAACAAAGGGTGGTGATGATCGAAGAAGTGATGATTCAGCAAAGGGTGCGGTAATCTCTGCAAACATTCTGAAAATCAGCGGGGGAGCGGCAGCCCCCCCCCATGATGCTCGAAGAAGTGATGATTCAGCAAAGGGTGCGTTAATCACTGTCAACCTTCTACAAATCAGCGGGGTGGTTGGGGGGGTCCCTTCTTCCTTCCTTCCTTCCTTCCCTTCCCTTCCCTTCCCTTTCCTTTCCTTTCCTTTCCTTTCCTTCCTTCCTTCCTTCCTTCCTTCCCCCCATAGGAATGAGCATAAGTTGTTTTTTGATGTCTAATAAGTTTTTTCTTGATGCCTAATAAGTTTTTTTTGATGCCTAATAAGTTTTGTTTGATGCCTATCCCATGTTTGACCATCCAAATGGCAATCAGAGCTTTACCTTTTAGGACCCGGCAGAAAATCGACTACGCAAAATCCGAAAGGTTCACAGGGCCCCTGTTTGGGGAACTGTGCGTGTAAGAGCCCCGTTCAAGCAAACAGGCTTGGACCCATCTAGGAATATTCGCATGAACACAATGCAGAATGTCAAGCTGCGAAAATGGGGGATCCCAAAACCCATACGAGCAAAGATTCAGAGCCTTGCCAGAGCCATGGTTTGGACCAGCTTTCACATACTCTAATCCATGTAGCGGCCGTGGGAGATGGGCCTCTGGCACAGATCAATGGGAAAGTCCATCCCAGTCAACCCGGATCAAGAAAGAAGCTTTCCACAAGGCAAAAGAACCAACCAAGGCAAGAGAACCAACCAGCGGTTGGGGCAAGGGAGCTCTGCAAACACGTCTGGCTCCTGGCGAAAAGAAACACCTTCTGGGGCTGTTCTGAGAGATGGGGGCCGGCACACGTGCCTCCAGCCATCAGTTGGCTCGGGCCTGACGCAAACGCGAGCGACTGGAAAAGTTGAGTTCTGCAGGATCAATTAGCCATCCCTTAGAAAGTTCCTGTGCCTGTGCGCTCGTTGTGGTAAGCCCTCCATGCTTCCATTTGCTTGAGCCCCCTGGAAAAATATATGTCTACTAGTGATAGGTTCCCTTTAGAACCAACACGGAACATAAACTCATATTATTATATAAGCAGATGGAAACATGCATGCTGGCCCTTCTTCGCATGCAAGTACGGACTCAACGGTCTTTCTCCTAAGGCCCCTGTCCATGCACAGCTTCCATGCTCCCAACCTCCCCCCCGTTCGGCGAGAAGGCGCCTTCCCTTCATCACGGCGTATTGGCACCTGCCAAACATTGGTTTGCATCCGAGACCAAGGAAAGGGACGAAACCTTTTTTGGGCAAAAACCCAAAAAAAAACAAAGAAAGAGAAAACACAAATTGTATACCCCCGCCACACCAATTCACATGGAACCCGACAGGGGCTCCCTTTCAAAGGAAGATGGTCTTGCAGGACCTGTCAGGTTCTATGTCAATTAATTCGTGGGAGGGTAGTATTGCATGTTTAAAAAAAAGGAGGAAAAGAGCAAACCCGAAGAAAGCAAGTCCGTTGAGTGCGGCCGTGGCACGTGCTCTTGCCCTGCACCTCTTCGGTCGACTCCTCCGTCACCATATTGAGATTGCGCTCCCGTCGTATGGCTGTGGCCATGCCCGCCAGGCCAGCCGCCCACACCACGCGAAGCATGACCTTTCCAGGAGAAGCACAAGGCCCCCTCTCAGGGCGGGCTCGGCAGGAGCCTTGGGGTGAGAAGGATTTTGAGATCTGGTGGGTCTCTCCCCTAAACTTCAGTCAAAAACCTTGCAAGCCGTTGTCTTAGACTTGACAGCTGCTGAAGCGGAGTAACCGTTCGAAACCGCCCCAGAACATCGGCCTTGGTGAGGATCCACAAGTATCAACCCTGCTTGCCATAGCTCGTGGAGGCATGAACTTATGAACCCTGATTCCTGATGTAGGTGTATTGAAAAAAGAATGCCGCAGCAAACCCATTCTCATCGAAAGGCCACATCCATCCACTTCAATCACGCCCAGGTCTTTTGGGCCGGGGTAGAATGAAGAATCCCCAGCAACGGCCTAGATTCTGCCAATCGAAGGGTTCCGCAAAAGCCAGGGAGTGACCTCGGGATGAAATCCGCAACCAACAGCCACTCTTGGGAGACTCCGGGGAAAGGGCGGGGGCGGGGGGGGGATCGTTCCCCGGATGTACTAACAAATCACCTGGTCCACTTGGAGATCTTCAAGCAGGTCACCCGGTCGCCCTCTCCTGATTCCATGGTATCGCTGTTATTTTCTTTTTTGCGGGACCGCCCCCCACAAAAAACAAAAAGAAGAGAAAAGGCTTCTGTTGTAACTGTCCTTTTGGTCCCCCTTTGAAGCCACCCCCTCTTGTCAGTCCCCTACGTGCGCGACAAGCAAGGCCTATGAAAAAATGGGGGTACAGCGCCAGCCCTTCTGGGTAATCAGCTTCCCTCTGGTCGGTGGTTTGGATTGATAAGTTGGAGGCTACGGGTTTCTCATTTACCTCCTACCAGAACTAGGGGTTCAACTCACCAAACTGCCAATACAAACCACCAACTAAGGCTCATTGAAAAAGGGGTCTTCAAACAACGCAAAGTTCATCTCTTTTGTTGTCTATTCGGAAAATCACGAACTTGTTGGGGGGGGTGCTATTGATCGCATGCTTTAACCGGCATACGCACCGACTCTCCTGCACCACTGACTCCCAAATGACCCAAACGCATCGAGTCCGCACTCCGAGCCTGCATAAAATGTAATGATAGTTGGCAAGCTGCGTAAGTTTGAAATGGCTTAAGCCAAATGCTACAGTGCGGGGCGGGCGCGAGCTGCAAGCTCTTCATGCAGCAAGCCCTGGCTTGTGGACAAGCCTCGCACAAGGCAACATGACGACCGTGGCTGCAACAAGCATAGTCAAGGTCACGCGACATGCTTTGTTTCCTTGTGCAGAAATGCCCTCACTCACAGAACGCAGAATCAGTTTCGAGGGTCACCCCACGCACCAAGCGCGTCAGTGACCAGGCTGCGTTGCTTCCATCCGAACGACTTTGGGGGTTTGCGCTATCAGCTGGAAATGGCAGACTCCAACATATACCGGGTACCGTCCTTCATGTCCTGTTCACTTTTAGCACACGACCCCCCCCCCTTCAGGACACCTTGAGGCCATGGCTTGCGCCAGCTGCTGCAGGAAAGCGAAGACCTGCGAACCATTCGGTTTGCCAGTCTGAGTCGCCGCTCGATGAGGAGTCTTCCCCTAGGAGCTTGCCGCCATTGGGCAATGGCCACATGGGTTTTTGGAGCTGGCGCCCGTTTTGAGGTTTCAAAGGGAAAACCAGGGGGAAGCCATCCGACTTGGCGGGTTCCCCGAGATCACACCCAAATGCAGCTTCGTGGGGTGCTCCGGCTCAAGCCTTTGGGCGCCTGGTCCATCACCCGACCCGTCAGCTGACAGCCATGTCTGTCCGTTAGGGGAAGCAACAAGAATGGGTGGGGGTTCCTTTTGGCTTCCCTTTAAAACCAGCCAAAAAAGGTACCCTCAAAACAAGACACACCCATATGAACAAGTACAATGACCACGATCCTCATGCGCAAGCTCGTCTGGCTCGAAAGTCATTCGCAGCCAGTTCATCTTCGCATCCATCCACTTCCTGTGCTTGGACAACCGCTTGGCGGTTCCCAACCTGCCTGGAGCAAAGGTTCACTTGTGAGGGAATTAATCAACGTATCCCCCGCACCCTGACTTCCAAAAGAGCAAAAAAACGCCACGTCTCATGTGCGACCGCCTTGCGATCCCTCGCCTCCTGCTCCTGGCCCTTGGCCGTGCGCCCACTGGCGGCGCCCGAGGCGCCTGCGCCGAAACCAATGCAGTGCACCTGGCCGACCCCAGATCTCGGTGACATGGCATGACTATTACCCCCACCAATTACCCCGCGGAACTGTTCGACGTTCGGGGGGGGTCCTGGTGGAAGTCCCATTTTTCGGTTGAAAGGGACCGGGCCCCTGTCAGATTCCATGTTACTTGCTGGGAGGGCATCCCCTTGGGCACACGGCCAAGCCATGGGCGCATACAAAAACGATCAAGTCGATGGTCAACTGGGGACAAAGCAGTGTAGACAATATGCGCTTCCACAAACAAAGAGCAAGCCCCTTCACATCCTAGGTCTCACAATGTCATTGGGCCCTGCAAACGGCCACCCTCGCAGAGAGAACTGTCTGCCGTTGCGAAACTTACACAGTCCCATCACCAAGCGAACTGAGCCTTTCACGAGTCCAAGACAAACAATGAAGCCGCGAACTGCACTTTTCAAGTAATCCAGCTCAAAAGTCACAGTTAAGCAAAAGATCCAAAGCCTGACTCTCATTTTCCTCCTCCAAATCAGCTGGCATATGTGACATTGAATGCCGACTGTTGCGTTCACTGACAAGACAAACAGACTATGAATTTGGGGGTCTTGACTCAACCCTTCGTGTTTTTGACGCAAAATGCCAACTCAACAGGCACCTGTTGCTCGCAACATGTGGTTTGAAAAATCCACTTTGGCCAGCAGCTTGCAAGTGGGCTCATCCATTCTGACTTGGATGTCGTCCATCCGTGGCCGAGGTTCGCATGGCATCCCACCCCCTCAGCCATCCCTCCCATCCTAACCGCCCCACCCCGCCCACCCCCCAACCGCCCCACCCCCCCCAACCGCCCCACCCCAGCCCCAACCAACCCGCGGGCCGTGAGCTCGTTGTGCCGCGACCGCGCCGGCAGCAGCTCCATGCCCAGAGTCCCCAGCATCTCCTCCGGGTCGCTGGGCTCGCCTCGCTCAGCTCGAGCGAGCGGGTGGGGTGGTGGGTTGGGTGGGGTGGGATTCTGGTGGTTGGGGTCAGGGTGGGGTGGGGTTGAGGTTAGGCTGAAGGATGGGATATTGCATGGGAGTTGGTGGGATGCCACGTTTCCCTCTTCTTGGCTGATGACACCTTTACCCGCAACGGAATTTGGGACCACATTTCCCTCATTCTGGCTGACTGCATCCAAAATGAGCCCACAACGGAATTGTGCCATCTGCGTTCACCATGGTGCGGGTTGAAAAAAAATAGGAATCAACCCCTAGAATGGCGAACCCTGTCATGTTCTGCCAAATGGGAACGACAAACAGTAAGAATCCGGAATCGCGGAGATGGCTGTGGCCCCGTGCCGTCTCCAAATGGGATATGGGAACCCCCCAAAATGTGCCCTCGTGATTATTTAACAACCAAAGCTTTCCGGGTTGTGGGCAGGACAGTATATGTATACATATATGTAATATGTACACATATATTTTAAGCCTTGCCTGTAGCAGTAACTCTGTACCAACAATTTGCCTCAAATTTCCCCAACAAAATTGGGGGTAAACTACCCACAAATTGGGGGGTAAATTACCCACAAATTTGGGGGTAAAGAACCCACAAAATTGAGGGTAAATTACCCCCCAATTTCGTGGGTAATTTACCTCCAATTTTGGTGTAATTTACCCCCAATGCTGTTACCCCCAATTTTGTGGGTAATTGACCCAATTTTGAGGTACTTTACCCCAAGTTTGGGACTCGTTATTAACCCCCAATTTTGCAAAAATTGAGGGTAAATCCCAGGTTTCCCAACGGTATACGAAGATTTACCCCCCCCCCCATTTTTGGACTCGTTATTTACCTCTGAAAATTTGCGGTTAATAACGAGTCCCAAACTTGGGGTAAATTACCTCAAAATTTGGGGTAACTTACCCACAAATTGGGGGTAAATTACCCACAAAATTGGTGGTAAATTACCCACACGATTGGGGGTAAATTACCGACAATATTGGGAGTAGATAACCAACAAAATTGGGGGTAAACTACCCACAAAATTGGGGGTAAATTACTCCGAACATGTCTCCCAAATTACTCCCAATTTGCCAAATGTCCTCCTAATATTTCCCATGATATACATACAATGTCCCTGCTCACAATTTACCGCCAGTTTCGGGGTGAACGTTCCGCAACATTAGGGTAAATGTTGCCGAGTCGGTAAGCCTGTACAGCCCCTCCTCGCCCGCGTAAAGAAGGCATGCAATTTATTGATAGAGGCAAGCCCTAACATATATTTGTATAAGCGGTATATAAGTTATATAAGCTCCTACTTCCAAACTCCGTGCGCTTTGACCTAGGAAACAGCACCGCATTCTCGCGGGCACACTGCACTATCAGGTTCCTTTACCGTCTTGTTCTTGCCGTTGGTCGGTGACCTTGTTCTCGCTTGCTGCTGCTCGGGTGGTGCTTGTGACAGGGCGACGGAGAGTGGTGAATCTTGAATTTGTTGCGAGGACTGTGGCAGTTCTGGATGCCAGCATTCCTGTCCGTGCCACCGTTGCCGCAAGGCAACCAGCTGGCTTCCTTAAACGAAGGCCACGGCCATCAAAGTCACACCCTCGAATTTCACAAAGGCTTGAGGAATGCCAACTCCCCCAAATTTTGAGAAGCCCCCCAAAAAATAGTCAGTGACACGTACCACACCTCCCAACACTGGTCGGAAGTGCGAAAAGGAAACTAGAGGCCTTCAGGTTTTCGAAAAAGGTTACCTGGTGGAAAATGTGATTTGCTTACTTGGGTTTTCGGCCACTCAGGGGAACTTATGAGGATAGAATCTAGGTTACCAACAGCTCGCTAACTTGCCCGAACACCCAAGTAGGGATACGAACCCTCTCATCCGACAGAAGGCCGAGTCCGGATTTGGAGTCTAAGCGAGAATGTTGGCCCGACCCGAGAAGGGTTCGTTCCTAACATTCCCATCATGTGATGCTAGCTTCCAACCCCTTTCAATCCCAAAGAGGTTCTTGAAAGCAAAACTGAAGGCGAAGCTTTCCAGCTGGGCTGTTCAAAATGGGGGTTGGACAATCCCTATTCATAATCCCTATAGGGAAGCCACTACCAAGGTGATCGGTTCCTGGCGTAACCCACGGGAAGGATCTTACGGATTGCCTTTGAACAGCCCAGTCCAGGGCAAACCGCCTGAAGCCACCGCCGCTGAATCGACCCAGGGGCCGTCGGAGAGGAAGATCACGTCCACAGGCCGGCGCTGGGAGTCCTTTCGGGCGCACGCCGCCGCTGCGCGCAGACCTGAGTTGACGGGTGGAAGGGGGTGAAGGGCCAGGCCCCTTGAAAGGCGGTTAAAGACTTCCTTAACCTACTACCCCTAAAACCTGCCATTTTTATGAGAAAAACAGAAACATCCAGGCTTGTGGACAAAGGCGGAAACTGGGGCAGCAGGAAGGGGAAACAAGGAACGCCTTGAACCTCCCAAATGGGCCTCCTTAAGCGGAAATAAACTTGAAACCGGACTGGTCGCCAAGTTCGGGAAGGGGGCGTCTTGATTTTCCTGCAACCCTCTCAACGTGGGGAAGCAGGCAGCCTCTGTTCTTTTTTTTGGCGTAGCGGGGCCGCAAGGCGGCCTGCAAAACCCTCCTCTTGCGGCCACGGTCAACGATTCCACGTTGTCCAAACCAAAAGCAACGTAACGCTGCTAGGAAATCCTTGGAACTCGGGTAGTTTGTTGGCCCACCCCTCAAAACAGTCCGAAAAGAGGGCAAAGGTCTCCAAGTAAGTCCTCATCAAAACCTATTGAAGGAGCCCTCAAAGCCGCAGGGGGAGGCGTAAAGTCTGTTTGGGACGGAAGTCCCCCAACTTCATGTACCCGGGTCTCGATTGTTCATATGGACATCATCATGGGCCGTTTTACCTTGCTTGCATTTCACCCCAAAAGTAAACATCCTCCGAAAGCCACCCATACAGAAAGTCCCCTATTTTACGAAACGCTCAAACCACGCGGGGAGCCAGGTGCCGTCTCGCACCCCGCGAATTTTGTGTGGTTTGATGGCTCTAAAAAACTGACAGAGTTCAAACTGCTTCTTGCGACATGGTTCCCCATACTTATCCTTCAAGCATCAAGAAACGCCCTGGACATTGTAAAGGTTGTGCCTGAAACAAACGGGAGCTCTAGTAGATTCCCTTGCACTTTTTGAAACGGAAACGGCCCACTGACAGCCAAGATCTCATGCGCTTGGGATTCCTGTTTAAAGTTTGCTCAATTGAGCCAAAGGATGGCCTGGGGGTGGGGCCTTGCGTGAGGAGCCCTGCTATCCTTGTTGTACTTGAGACAGCTAGCTGACTAACGAAGCAGGTCGCCGTGCCGTGAAGGAAAAAAAACACTGAAACACGAAAGCGAACGGCAGCCGCAGGGTGCGGTTCAGATTTCTTAGACCTGAGAAATGGATATCTCGGATTGTTTGGTCCGCCAAAGGGTTCCAAGCCATTACGACGATGCAATCGAAGATGCAATATGACGGCCGTCACGGGCACAGCTAACACAACTGAACACACACACACACACACCAAGTCCATCAGATCCACGACCCGTATTATTGTAACATCGCAACACTAAAGGCAGCATATCGCAACACTAAAGGCAGCATAGCACAAGCAGAAAAAGAAGCATGTCAAGCTAACCGACAATCCATCCAGGAGGAAAATGAAGGCATATCTCCGTGGGAGCTCCTGAGCCCAAACGCAAACCCACTTCAAATGAACAAAGGCATCTTCTCTTTCTTCCGTAAGACTTTTCACCAGAGGGTAGTGAAACCAATGAACACATCGTGACTCCTAAGCCTAACCCGCGGTCAAACAGGAAAGCCGAAGCCCATTCTGTGGGCTCCATGTGCAGACAATCCCAACGCCCTAAACAAGCCGAAACATCACCCCTCCCAAGAGAAGCCCAACCATCATTGTAAACCCAAGGGAATACGCCCTAACCCCTGGATGACTAATAGACGGTTTCCCTTTCTTAGTTGGAGTCCGCACCACTTGTGTTTGTTTGTTCTTGCTTTTTGGGTTGTGTCTTCTTGTTCTGTTTTCCTTTCTTTTTTTGGGGGGGATCCCCCAATCTCAAAATCCACAAGGCTTATTGATCCGAGGTCGACACTGAGGCTAACTTCCAACGATTCTGTACCCAGGACCCTCCTAGTCCAGAAACTTAGGAAGTGATTATAGCGAGCACCTCAATACCCCCAAACCGCCCCGAACACTCCAATTCACATGGAAGCCGTCAGGGACCAGATACCTTCAACAGGAAAATGGGTCTTTCACCAGGACTCCCCCCCCCCCCCAACAGGTTCCATGTTAATTGGTGGGAGGGAAAATCCCCTTATTTCACGTCAAGGTTTTCTGCAGTTGCATACCCCATCAAAAATCCCCGTCCCCCGCAATTCCGTTTATCCACCCGTCCCCAAACGAAAATGGAACCACCCCCCTCCCCCAGCTCCATTTTTTAGGGACCCGGTGAGGATCCATCAAACCTCCGGCATCCCATCCCGACGCACCTTGCGCATAGAAGGTGCGCCCCTCCGGCGCAGGCCGCACCATGGTCTGCAGCGTTTTCCCCGCCGCGGGCAGGGACTTCTCCTGAAAACACGACTTGTTCCCGCAGGAAGCTTCCCGCTAGTTCGGCGGTTTGGTGGCCAAATGGGTGGGAAACCCCGAGTTTAACCTCCCACCAATTAACATGGAACCATTCAACGTTCGGGGCCCCATTTTCCCCTTCAAAGACACTCCCTGACAGCTTCCATGTTAATTGGCGTTCAAACCCCCAAACCACTCCAAACGAGCAATGAGGGCATCCTGAGCCAAGGAAGCGTTCAAAAGAAGCAAAGGGGCCGGACAAATCACACAGGTTCATCTCCGGATGGGACCCAAAGAGAGTTTTGAACAATGGGCCCATGCTAATTTGCAGCAAATGGTTTTGAGACCTGAAATAGAGCAGAAGGCAGGGTACCTGCCGCACATGGCCTAGTTGAAGGGGCAGTGTACTTGATAATTAAGTGGTTAGTAAGCCTGGTCATAACCCACAGACCATGTTTGCAAGTCTCCGAAGTGAGTACCTTTAAGCAGAACGCATATTGTCAGCCCCATTTGCAGAGCCTATGCCTAGTCAGCACCCTGGGAAGCACCAGTGAGACCTTTTCAGCCAGAAGAATCCGCCGAAGATGGATGCATTCACCAACTCTTCACTTGAAGCAAAAAAAAAAGGTGGTGCCATTAAAAGACGCCTTTAAACCAAATATGAGCATTCTGTGCCCCTGGCTCCCTCAAATTTACGAAAACACGCGCCTGAAAGTGAATCTTGGCGCCGTCGCTGAAGGTAATGAAGCTCATCTTGTCCTCGCAGCCAGCGCGGGCATTCTCCTCAGGCGGACTTCTCTTGCCCCAGAAGGCTTGAGTCATTTGTCGTTAGACATGGGAAAGCTGGCGCGCGTGTTACTCCCAGATTTCCTCAGGAAATGTGGCTGCCTCTTCCAGCTACAATTGGCGAGTCAAAACAAAGATGACTCATGCAGAATTCCGGGCGCAGGGTTCCCGAGAGCCGGCAAAAATGCGCATCCTTTTCTGTTGGGCGGTAAGAAACAATACGTCTGCAAGAGGTGTTGGATACTGCCTGCAGGTTTCCCGTCAACTTGAAACGCTGAAGGAACCCCAGAAACATTAAAAAGAAGGAAAACAAATACAGGCGCAACCCAAGACACCATGAATTCCAGCGCAACCGGCCAACGAGTTGGCCAAGAATGTCCCCCACCGGGACCCCTGAAAGTCTTGCCGCCATGGATCTGCGCTTACAAGCTGGCGCACCTCGCTGAACACCGCGTCTATGCGGGAAATCTTACCTGGGCGAAGGCGACGGGGTCCGCCGTTCTTGGACATGTTCAATCAGAAACATAGGTGCCCTTTGAGGGGAAATAGATGGATTTCCCTGGTAGATGATTAAACCACCAGGTAAACCAGGAATCGTCCTATATTTTACCAAAACAACCAAAAAGGACACCTATGATTCTATGATCATCAGACATTGACCCCCTTGGGCCATAAGTCATGGCCTACGACCCATGTTTCCTCTCGTCAAGGCCCCTCTTGAAAAATCAGGGGAAGGGGAATTAGAGGAGCCTGGGACAGGTTTGCCAATGAAAAAGCGGACACGTAGGCTGCAGGGTTCCTTACCCCAATGGCATCCACCCATGTCATCCCAGCGGCTGGTTGCACTCACCCACCCAAATTTGCCGAAGCCTAGTCACAGCTGCCTAGATTTGACATCTATGAGCACGGAAGGCCATTGCAAGAGAGCACCTCAAGCCAAGAGCCACTTTGGCACAAAGCAACCACAACTGCTCAGTTTCCTCTAGCATGGCAGATGCCCGCCGGATCGACCTGCGGCTCCGGACACAGATCCCCGTCATTCTTATTCTTTCAACCCCACTCCTCCCCACCCCAGTGAAGCATCTACACAAAAAGTCGGAACAAACTGACTGCCAGGCCGGCCGCGTCTTCAAAGTGACGGCCCCCAAAATGCTTGGTTCCCGCTTCCATCCTTTTCCCCACGTGCCCGATGGGATTGCCCCAAGCCTCATGGCCCAAGGGCGGACCTCACAACAGATGGCGACGGGTGTGAAAGGGATGGCCACAAAAGGAAACCCGCCCTCTGGCAACCAAAAGGGTTGAAACCACCAAGAGAAATATGTGTCTGGCCCGCCCTTTTCAGGCGCGGCCCCGGGTCAAAGAGCCTAGCCACGGGCCAAATCGAACTAGATCTTTTGCCGGTAGCTTCAACCTGGGAAATTCTTTGCACTGGCAAGGCTCCGGCCTTGCCTGAGCCCGTCTGCAGGCAGTCCAGCTCCTTGAGAAAACCACGGCGCAGTGGGCTCCGCAGGTCTCTTTTTAAAACCCCTCATAGCTCAAATCATACGGCGAGCAATTGCCAGTTCAATTCACCCATCGTGGTGTTTGGCGCTTGGAACAGCAAGCTCCGAATACTTCTGAAGGCCATGTCTCATTTGAAGAAAGCCTGGCATCAGCCAAGGCTCGCTCATGGAGCCGCTCACGTCTACCACCACAACGAAGTGGGTTGCCACTGGCACTCTCTTGCCAGGCCGTTCCTAAATTCGTCTCGAGGCGGAAGGGCCGTCTCTCATGTCAGCAGTCAGCCCCAAACAGAGAAAAGCAGCAAATGGCTGCGTGTCACAACCTGGGGCCACTCCAGTTTCCTGCTGTTTGCCTGTCAAACCTCCTTTTGGCACGTCCCCTCCCCCAAAATCAAATGTGGCGCGGCTTCCTCACGAGGAAAACCCTGAGTCACCGCTGCCTCCGAGACAGCTTTGTGGACCCCCGGCATATGGTGCGCTGTCAAAGCGCGGCCCCGATAATTAAGCTAGACGGACGTGCGGTGCGAAGGTGTCGGATAAACCATCCTAAATGCATTGAACCATCCCAGATCCCAGATAAATGAATGCCTGCCAGGAACAGTTCAGGCCACATGGCCTACCCGGCCCACCCCGCAGTCCCGTCAGCAGTTCGCCTGGCCTCGCTGCCACGACAGAGGCTGTCCACCAATGAGGACTGCGAGTGGACCGAAGTCACTGTTGATTCCTCGCCTGACGAAATCTCTTTCGAGTCACGGGCCACACCAACAAACGAACAAGTTGCCCACCTGGGGCATTGGGGGCATGGACCCGTGCGGCTTTCTGGAAACCCTCCGGCAAAAACAAACAAGAAACCAAAACAATAAAACAACCAACCGAGTAACCGGCCTGAAAAAAAACCAACCTGGGATCTATTCAAGTTTCTGTTTGGGAGGGTATGGGCCTGGATCATAGCACCCCCCCCCACCGCCTCCCAGCCCCACCGCACCGCCCTTCGGCACCTGGGCGAGGCTTTGCAAAGTTCATCTCGCTTTGCAGCGGCGCCAGCTGTATGGGTCCGAAGTCATCCTCGGAATCGTCATCCAGCGGCACCTGAAACTTGCTGGTTCTCAGTGGGGAATGAGAAATGGAATGACCCCAAAAAACCATCCCCCTATGGTTTTTTCCTGCAAGGGAATCCCCACAACAACCGGGGTCATTCCCTACTGAGCACCAGCAAGGAAAACCCAAGTTGAAAGCCTATGAGACATTCGGACGCATGCCCTGATGAAGGCTTCCTGAAAACACGCGGCAACCTGCATTCAGTGCTCCCGGAGTTGTACCGTCGCCGCGCCCTTCCATCCATGATGGTCTTTTCAGGAGTTGGCAAGGGCGAAACGCGTGGAGTTGGTGCCAATTCACGGCTTCACGACCTTGAAAGGTATGAAATTGATTGAGGTCTCGCCGTTTGAAACCCTCGCTCCGGAAAACCAATCCAAAACTGCTGAGCCCCTTTGTTGATGTAGCCAAACAAAACCAACTAAGAACTTGTCCTCCGGCTACCACGCTTGAACAGTTGGCATCTCCCAGGCCTCAATCTCATCATCGTCGTCATCGAAGGGTTGCTGAATCTCATCCAGATCTGCACATGGGATGTATGCGCCGCGGAGCTGATCGCAAGTTTCAAAACTTATGCACTCAGCCTTTCAGTGAGCAGTAAAGAGCTCAGCTGATAGCTCAGGCTCCGGTGGCTCGAGGCAGTGCCCCCCTGCCGATCCGAGCGCGAGCTACCGCCTGGCCTTCGTCACGTCCTTCCTCTGGCCTGGCATAGGCAAAGTCCACCTCGTCCCCCGAGGAATCATCGTAAGCCTCGATAGGGTTTGCTTCTTCTGCTTCACGCGGTGGTTTTTGCTAGCCGTCCTGTCTTTCAAGGGAATCGGAAAAGGAAACTGCCGCGAATGGCAATCCGAAGGTTAAGACTCCCAAGGCCGAGTTTGAGTTGGGGCGGAGGCTCCCCTGATGCCTGGCAAAACAGCACCTGCCAGGGGGCGTTGAAGAGATTTCGGTACTGGGACAAGCGGTCCTGTACCTCAGCTCGGGCATGACACCTGGGACCCTGGGGGCATGCCCCTTCCGAGCTGGAGATGCAATAGGCATGTCAGTGGTTTGGATGGATGCGGCCAGAATTCAGCAGAAACTAGGTTGATGGATTGACGGTGAAGCATTTGGAGCATGTGCGAACCCACGTGCTGCATGGGGTTTTGATACTGCACAGTCTTAAACATGCGAAGGCTCCTATCACCGGCGTTTGTTGGCGCACAAATCAGCAAGAACATCGACAATCTCGAGCACATCTTTGCATCAAGCTAAAAACCCTGTGACAAGAAATGATCAACAACCCCAAATCAGGGGCTCAAAGCGCATGCAAATGAACACACAAATCAACGTGGCGTCGATTTGGAGGTGGGGGCGGCAATTGCCAAGCTGCCCGGGGCGCGTTCATTCTCTTTCGGTTCTTGCCATAAGTGGAGGTCTCCTGAGGCCAAGGGCACATGGACGCACAGGCTGGTGTCTCTGTGTGTGTGTGTGTGCGACTGTCTGTGTGCGTGCGCGTCCGTGCGTCGGTGCGTCGGTGCGTTTGTGCGTTCGGGCGTCCGGGCGTCCGTGCGTCCGTGCGTCCGTCCGTCCGTTTCCGCGTGCGTGCGTGCGTGAATCCATCCTGTACAATAGCCGGCAGGTGGGGTTGTGGGCCACTCACTTGGTTGGCCAAGCCATGCTGCGGATGTACATATTTGACCAAAACATCAACGGCAGTACCTTCGCCTATACAGCGGCGAAGTCACCAGCCGAGAAATCATGCGATCGCAATCCCCCTCTACAGCCCCAGCTAACGGCCAAGAATGGTACAGACCCTCACAAACCTGAGGCGAGCAAATTCATCAAATGTTGCATGGTCCAGGATTAAAACAAGCCAAACATCGTATATACTAGTGCCGCGGCAGCAACATAAGCAGCGCAAGCCAGCTCCTGCATATGGAGCTTCGTGATTTCTCTCTCCAACAGCTCCAAGTCCTGCGGAAAAGCGTGCAACGCGTGAAAGCCCACTGAGAGCTCAAAAACGGACACAAGAGCCAAAGAAATCAATGAAACCAGGGCGTGCCTTGAACCACCCCCCACCCCACCCAAGAGAGAGAGTGCGCGTCATATACCATTTGGGAGCCCAACGCGCGCCCTCTCCACTCGGGGGCAGCACCGTGCTGCAAGAACATCCCGGAACAAAGCCCGTCATAGCCTGGCCCAACACCCTTCAACAGCACGCTGCGCAACATGCCCTGCTCAACAGCGCCCCGCAACAGCACCCTGCAACAGAGACCCCGCTACTTGCCATGAACAGGTGCAAAACATCGAAGTATCCGAACATGTAGCCAACAACCATACAAATAATTCATTTCTGGCTGCATGGAATCTTTGCTGGGTTCGTGGCTCAAGATCGCAGCCTTGTGAAAAGCGCACCCCAGAATCCTTGTATGCCCCCTAACATCATCGCAACAAGTGAGAGAAAACAAGGAAAGGACCCCTGACCCTGTCCGCCCGAAGAGACTGCCGTGTTGAGCACTTCAGTGTCTCAATCAACTCAGACTTGAATGCCCAAGAAACCAGAGGTGAGCAACGCGCATCAAACATATGTTCAATTGATTGGTGTCCTGAAAAGCCCCGGCGACCAACACAAACCAGAACCCGAGCTGTGCCAACTACAATGATAGAAGCAGCCAACAGGGTGTGGCAGGCCTTGAAGATGCTTAGCCAACCTTGGAAGTGCGCATTGGTAAATTGTAAATATGCTGAAGGCTCAAATTATGGCGTCTTGGAAACAACCGGGGGAAGCACCGTTACTGAGAGCATGCCGAATGTATGTTCCCCCGTTGCCGGGATATGATCCGCACGAATTCGTGCCCAAAGTTTACCACCCTCACCAGAAAATCTGGGATCCAAAGTAGGATGCAGGTAGTAATCTTCCTTTACCCCAGCGCATCGCCTGCTCGCGGCTGGGCTTGCGCTGCCACTGCTGCAGGAAGCTGAGGCCTGCAATCGGCACAGGCGACGCAGAAGGAGGTGGCAAGCTCCAGGAGCTTTCGTTTCAGGGAACCTTCTGCTGCTTTCAACATGGATCCTTATGCCAGATGGTAGTGGTTTCCCTTGTGGTGTCCCGCCGTGGGCTAGGGATTGGACTGGGTTCGAAGATGCATGACCCATTGCAAGCCCTTCTCCTTGCCCTTGATGTCCCAATGTAAGAACGCCAGGGAATTGGGAAATTCGGCTGGTTGCCTGCATCATGTTATGTCTCTGTGTGCCTGTGTGTTTGTGCATGCGTCTGTGTGCCTATGTGTGTGTGTGATACACAGCACGGGCCTTACCTCCAACAAAGGTGTCGAAATACTTTCCTTTTCGGGAACCTCTGTGTCCACTTCCTTGCTTTGAAAGAGAGTGCTTGGGATTCCAAGCGTCGAGCGACCCAACGTCCGATGCACTTGCAATGGCGCTTGGGCGCATCCTTTTCAGCTGGTGAACAAAACTGAAGCCAGTTTGAGCAATGAGACGCGAGCGGCCACTGTAACGTCAGCAACCCCTCATGCTGCGTCAGCGCGGCAAGGCACGCGCCTGTCTTTGGCCCGACTTGGTGCAGCTGCTGCTCGCTCTTCCGGCTCAGCCGGAAGCAGCGCGAAAAGGCTTCCACCTTAAAACAAAATTGAAATGGGTGTCTTTTTCTAGGGGGCCCCCAAACTGGCGGCCTTCCTTTTGTTTTGCTTTAAAACCACCAAAAACGGTACCCTCAAGACAGGCACGTCCAAATGCAGAGCTCACACTGCGCCAACAAACAAACAAATCACAGTCCATGTGCCAGATTTGTGGCCGAGGCACTTGACCTTTGTAGCCCCCCACCCTGTGGTCGGTCATGATCCTGCCTCAATCGCTCTGGCACACCATGCAATTCGAGGAACGGAGAAATTTAGATCCCTGCTATCCTGCGAGGTGGATTAACAGTGGAAAGTGAAAAAGAAGAGAAACACATGATACATTGAAAAGATACAGAGAAGAAGATAACGATCATTACTTGTCAAGATCCAACCATCAGATAATAAGTCGCCTACAGGAAATTGACCACCTATCCAAAAAAAAACAGAAAACCGCTTCGGAAACTAAAAGCGCCGATAAAACCACAGCTTCTAACATAGAATCTTGGCATAAGAAATAGGGAAAGGAGTTGGTAATGCACATATGCTTCTAATGCAGGAAGTGGATGCGAGAAAGAAGGGAACCCAAAGGTAATTTGCTCAGAATGCATGTGAGGAGCCCTGAGGTTCTATAAACCTTTGGGGTGCGGGCTTTGGCCTCCCTAGGAATCTAGCTTCTTCACCCTTGAAGCCGATGACTCCGCATTTCGGCGATTCTGACTGCGGATATGTTTGGTTTGCATCATTTACGTGCTTCAGGTCCCTGCGCTGATTTTGAAGCCTCCCCTGCCCCCCATCCGTGTTTTCTGGATGGGGAGCCCTTCCCCTCCTTGAAACACCGGAAGAAAGCCTGTGAGGGATTGCCCACTTCAAAAGACTGGGCTGCTCAAGATGGAGGGTTTACCAATCCCAGTCCATAATCCCTGTTGGGAAACCACTACAAGGGTGACCGCTTTCGTATTCTCGATCACTCGTGTGTTGCTTCAGTTTGCCGCGTCTACAACCATGGGAAAGCAACGAGGCCTCCCGGGTCATCGTCGAGCTAATCTCTGGCAAGCGGCAGGCGACTGCAATGGGGGCATTATAGCCACCTCAGGACTGCAATGCCAACATCCAAGCTAAGCCTTTACGGTTGGTTAAACACACTGCTGGTCGAAACGCACGCAGGTGAAGCTAGACATGGATAAATGTGTTCACCGGGCATGAGTGATGGGTAAAATTTGTCAAAAAGCCTTTACGGATGTCCACCCCCGCCCTTCCACATTTGGGGCGTCTGCCAGCCACGATTTCTGGCTGCCCGCTGATTGAGAACACCCCCCTAAGTTTGCATTATGAGGCACCCCTACCCAATGAATGCCACTTTCCAGGGAGGGACCCCAAGAGAAAAGTATGGGGTCTTTATGATTGGGCAGACAATCCTGGCTGCAGGCCTCAAACCGTTGCTTCGTGTAACTGCGGCTGTTGCAGCTTCTGGCTGAAGTGACACACGGGCTATTGGCGATGAAGCTGTCTTTGCCCATAGCCATTTGCTTAGAGATCGACTCCTCCGATGGTTTGTTTGCTGCCGGTTTCTCTTCAGGCCGTACCCAAAACGCCCCAAAACATTCCAAAAGACATTTGCTGGTCAACTGACGCGGCCCGTGTCAGCTTGCTCTGCTTCCATTTACGCATCGTTTCGGATCCCCACCAAGGACCCCCCGCACGAGAGGAGGCTGCGAATCCAAGGCACCCTGTCGGCACTTGTTTGCATAGTTGGTCTGTGACATCAGGTGCTCCACTTCTGACTTGTCGAAGCCAGCGCTGATCACTGCAAAGAGCTCCTAAGCTCGAGCTCGGCGAAGTTGCCCGGGCAGGCGTCCCTATGGCGACCCAAATTTCAACGAACGCGCACCAAGGGCACTGCTCTTGCCCGCCAAACCGGGCAAGAGTACCGAAAACATGCCTTTAAATACTAAAAATACAGGTGGGGTGCTGTATATCGGGCCATTTGCTGCCTGCTGCCCCCCTCGGAACAAGAAATACCAACAGCCAGGGACATCGCATTGGCCTGCCTGCCAAATGGGTTCGTTCTCCAAGGGCTCAACTACCCCGGCGTTGCTGCCATCTTGGTCGGTCAAACATGTTTTTACCTGGTCAATGGGAGCAAAAGTGTGCGAAGCTCCAGCAAAATAAACCCCAACTGAGAATGCAGTGTTAGATTCTGGCAACCACATTTGGAAAAGTTGTGAGCCTCAAAATGGTAAAAACAGATCGTGCGCCTTAGTCTTCAAGAGACGACAACTGGTTTACACACCATTGTTTAAACAGCGTCCCTCAAATGGCTGTTTCTCATCATATGGGTGTACCCGGAATATCCCACACGGAACCCTGATAAACGGAAACAAGGACAAGATACCTTCTGCCCATATCCTGGTGGTTTCGTTCTGGCCCACATTTCAACTTCCGCTGTCCCTTCGATTCAACCAGCCCAGCCCCCCCCCCACCAGCCAACCGGCTCCACCCACCTCCCCACCTCGGCTCGCGCGCGTTTCGGGGCCCCCGGGGCTCCGGGCGTTGCGGTCCACGTCCCGCAGCTGCAGCGAGGCGATCCAGTCCGAGAGCTTTCGGCTCTGGCGCTCGTCCAGGCGCCTCAACGCTGAGGCCTTCGGCAAACGCGCGGGCCAAAACGAGGGGCCAGGGGAGCTGCAGGCAACAATTGGCCTCGGGCCTTCCAGCTCAGGTGGTGTCTTGCAGAAACAAGGTGTAGTACGTGTATTGAGCTTGTGGCTTGCTTCTCCAAATCCACCTTGTTTCTACTTGTTCTCGCTTCCCCAGTGGATGGCCTAAAAACTTAAAACAGTAACCAAACAATTGGTTGCTCGCTACCAAAATGGCGACCAATCCTAAAAAGTGACTAAAGTCCGAGTTCCGGAACTCAGGAAGTGAATTGTTTACGAACGACCCTTAAAAACTATCCTACAAATTGTTGGGGCGTTCTTTTTCGGCCCCCCCCCCCCCCGCGAAAATCGCCAAACGCGGCCGCGGAGCTCCGGCGGAGCGCTTCAGCGCCAAGAGAGCGCGCAGGTCCACCGAGGGGTTGGTCTGGGGCAGGCCGTGGGACATTCCGAATTTGCCGCCCTTCCAAAGGTGGATGGTTATGTTGTGTTTGTTTGCCTTTGTGTTTGTTTTTGATGTTGTTTTTGTTTTTGTGTTTTTTGCTTGTTTGCTCTCTTCTTCATTTTTTTTGCGGGGGGGGGGGGGGGGCGGGGCACACTTAAAACTTGGTGGTTTCTTGATGTTTTGTTGTTTTGTTTTTTAGGGGACACCTAAAAGGTGGGTACCTGGGTCTTTCCAAACTGATGTTTTGTTTGCTTGATCATGACAGATGACAGGTTTCAGGGTGGAAGGGGAGAACAAATGGTGCCTGGCCCCAAGGGTGGAAACAGTTGGCTGGGAAGAAACGGGGTCCACCAATAGGTCCCCAAAGAACATTCATACACGTGGACAAGGTACGGGGCAAACCACCCTACACGGGAAACATGGCCCCACCGGTACGTGGCTTCAAGACATGGGATTGTGTAAAACATGTCAGTGCCATGTTCAGGTATGGTGCTTACATGCCATCAATTTTCATGAAACCAGACAGGGGGTCCCTTTAGACGCCTGTCAGGTTCCATGCTAATTGGTGGGAGGTTGCTGCCAGTTTATGTTGTTTGTTCCTAATGGTTAATGGAGTCTGCATCACTCACAGGGTGGAGCAAACCATTTGCGAATCCCTGGGCAAATGACTGTACCTCACACACTTACAATAAGAAACGCCCGAGTAAGTCACCCTCAGTACGGGTGAGTTCGCACCCCTTCTTGAGATCGCTCAATTTGCCCAGCTTGCGACACAGATCTTCACATGTGTACGTGCAAAACAGTGAATGGCCACATCAAATGATGAATGAGGACACGAATGCATATGCAAATAGAGATGCATATATATATATATATATGATATATGTATATATATGTTTTATATACAGATGCACACGCGTGTTTTTTGTCTTTCGTCCCTTGGATGATGTGCATGAAAAGATGCAAGGCGCAAGGCGATAGTGATTCCCCAGCTGAGCTTGGCAAGTTGCGATCCCCAGAGCCATGCAAGTGGTCAGTCACTAGGCGGCAGTCCGTTTCTTAGGTGATCTTCATTGCGCCAACTAGGTCCCTGCTAGAGAGCCACCGGCTGATTCCCTTGCAATACTAAATGTGCGTACCCCGAGAACAGAACCGTCATCACAGGCGAGATATCCACAAGGTGAGGTTGCGATACTCAATCTGCTCCCTGCAAATTGTGAGGTGAAGCAATGCCGCAGCCTGTGAGTCTGACAGACTTACATGTAGGGGGATCAGGCACAAATGAGACAAGCTCACTGCAAGGTTCCAGGCAGCCTTTAGTTCTGGTTTTTGGTTTTTTTTGGACCAGACGTTTCCCTGGGTGTTTTGATTTCTGAAAAGCAGGGTCACTGGAAAGAGTGGTTGGAAATTACAGTTGGTTTGTGGTTTGGTCAAAGGTTTGGCTGAAGCAGCGGGCCCAAGAATGATGTTGCCCGCTTCAAGGGCTCTGACGCTACACCGCTAGAGTCGGCTCAACTGGTTGACTAAGCCCACCTCGATGGCGTGAGAGAGGGCTGCAAGGACGGCCCCCACCTGGCGACGTCAGGCACCTCCTGCTTTGGTAAAAGCCACCAGCTGAGTTGACTGGCCAGAAAAAGCTCACCCTGGGGCCTTCACTAGAAGTGATGAGGAAACTTGCCAACCAAAAGTGTGAAGTTTGCCCACTCAACAGGTGAGACCGGTCCTTACATAGTGAAATGACATGCGTAAGTGGCTTCTGCGCCCATGGCCTCCTGAGGCGGGATGGCAAGAAGCTCAGCTCCTTAGCTTCAGGAGTGTTTCCGTGCCATGTGCCTTACTGGAGGTGCCAGCCTGTGGATGGTGTTTACCCGGGGGGGGGGAGGGTACCAGCCTATGGTTGCAAACACCCCCCAAAGAGCAAATGCTGTTGTACCTTAATACCTGCCCTACAACATGAAAGTAGACTCATGTCCAATGTGCAACTCGTTTGTGCGTTCAAAAGCTTGCCAGGTAGCCCCCTTTCGCGAACCGTGACCGCAGTGTTAGGACAGGGGCCTGCTCCGGGGAATAATTAAAGGGCCAAAAAGTGACGTAGAGCCACCCTTGGTTGCCTCTCCATAGCGGGTGGTCAATGTTCCTGTCCCCCAAATGGCCATGGGAAACTTTGCCGTGGTTTTCCCCAATGGTCATCCCATGTAAAGAACCTTTGGATCAACTCCGCGGCGCCGGCCACTTGCATTGCCCAAGCGGCTCACCCATTTGGCCAGCTCGCGACGCTGGCAAAAGGCGTCCACCAGAGCAGATGCCTCGTTCTCCGTCTTCTCCCTCTCCTCCGGAGTGAAGTTCCCTCGGCGCCTGCCGGCGAGGAAAACGTGTCTCCAAATTGGATACGCCGTGCCACGCAAAACGGACATATTTGGAAGTGTGTCCACGAACCCCCTATGCACAAAAAAAGCACTTCGGTGTCCTTTTCAGTGGATCCGGGTCAACATCAGACCCCTTGCCCGCCCCCCCCCCCCAAGGAGCCCACGAGTTGCAACCGCCTCGTTTTCGTTTTTGTCGCCACGGTCTGCCAGTCCTCGGGTCGGCACGTCCATCACCCGCCGTCACCCGCTGCCAACCGCGGGCTGGGGGAATGGTAAAATTATCTTTACGTGGGCAGGTAAATGGAATGACCAAGCCAAACACCATGGAAGTGTGCCATGTACTTTCACCCCTTGAAACTGTAGTTGACATGTTTGGACTATCGGACTAAGAACAGAGACTTCGTCAATCTTCGTCACTTTGGTGGGGACCCCTCATGTCCATCTTGCATTGGTTTTGCATTCGAGCCGACCCCCGGACCCCCTCAGTCTAGCCTTAACGCAAGGACACACTCAAGCTAGCCTCTTATTAAGGCTACCTTTCGTGACAACTCAGAGGCTTCTGGCCTTTTGAAAAAGTGATGTGTGTGTTTCTTACAGCGCTCCAGTTGTTTGAGGCCCAGGCTTCTTGTAGAAAGAATAGCTTCCACATGTCGTTTTTACGGGATGGCTGGCGATCGCATGCAAAGCGCGGAGCGGGGTGAGGATGCAATCTGTTGCAGGGTCGCTGCGCAATCCGAGCCGTGAACACAACTCTCCAGCCCTCCCTGTCACTAACACTGACGCGCTTGTCATACATGAGAGAAAACCTGCATTTCGCCTCGCATGCGTTCGTACTTTCGCGTGGTACAGCTACCCAGGCCAAGTTGTCTACAGCCCAGACTCGCCTGCAACATAGCGGCCATTTATTCATTCTGCATGCCGTTGGGGGCAGACAAATCTTGTTTGACCAAACCGAGCATGAAGCAACTTGCCAACGCTAACCCTAGGCCATTTTTTGCTTTTCGGGTTCATCCTTTCGAAGCCCAGAGTCACAATAATCAATCCCTGGTAGAGGGCGTCAAGACGCTGCAGAATTTCCCTTGCCTTCACTTGCCGGGGCTTGACCATGCGAATCCTCAAAAATCCGAGGAGGTTGCCTTGTCTCCTTTCAAACCCAAAATCACCCGACAAAAACAGTTTTTCCACAAGCACCTAGATCTCGTCAAATTGGAAAGACCTTGCGGGCCGAGCAACGTTCACCTCGGGTTCGGGCACGTCGCCAAGTTCTTCGCACATCTTCCGCAGGCTGGACAAACACGCCAGGCAGTAGACAACTTTGCAGTTGTCGCACCTCAGCTTACCAGAGTTGGGATCCATTATAAAACTTACACACAACAACCATTGTTCAAACAATCTCTTGTTGCGCTTCGACAAACATCCGCGGTAGCTCCCCGAGTCATCAGACTAATCATACCTACTGTAGTTCAGAAATCCCGAACGAACCTTCACCGTGAGGGCCCCAAAGGGAGCCAAGCACGTTTTACCGCAAGCTCGCCATGATTTCGACACAAGTAACCCCAGCCCGCGCCGGCCCAGGCTCACCTAATGTCGACCAAGAAACATCGCGGACTAATCCGGATTCCGTCTACAGTACGATACGGAACGCACCCATATTAACCAACAGGGGTCTATTGATGAACCTGGTTCTGCTGCGGTACGGAAATGCAAACCAGAGGGTTAGTGTGCGAACTGAGAAGCCATCGGTATCGGTGCTTCTGCCCAACTGAAAGTTGCATGTTAGATTGCAGCACATACAGCAGACCCTTACACGTAAAGTGATGTCATTTGAGCGGTTCCAAGAGCACCCGTTCCAGACGAGGATGGGGCAATCAGCGGTCAAAAGTCAGATTTGTGCTTGGAAGAAAAACCGGGTCGCCGCTCCGTGCCATGCTGCCATGGACACTTTGGGGGCCATATTGCAGCCAAGAACCCCCCAAAAAAACGGAGAAAGAAACAAAAGAGGAGGTTCCAAATCATAGACCCGCGCCGAGTGTCCATTGTACCTCCCCCCCTTCTTTCAAATTCGATGCGGGTGGCCACCAGGCATGGCTGGAGGGGATGACGCAGGAGCCCCCAACCGCCTCTGAGTTGGTGCACCTCCGTCCTTTGTGATGCGTCCAAAGCATGTGGCGCCTGCGGCGAAAATCGAGCACCGCCCTCTATGATGGGTCCCGTCCTGGGGAAATCTTAGGATTGTGATTCCTTTCCTTTTTGTTTTTGGGCGTTCTTTTCAAAAGCCATTGGCAAACATGGGTTGGGTGGCGATTTCTGGAAGGGTGCGGCCCCCAAGCACGGTTTAGTCCACCTATCTTCTGGATGCTGAGGGGGTAGCTGTCAAGCTCTCTATGAAAGTCTTGTAAAGCTTATCCTTGGCTTTTAAGGCTTTTCCAGCTCGGCGGATTTGCTGTGTGCAGCTTCAGCAGCATCCATGACGGCAAACAATCCATGCATTTCTTGGGGAACCTCCAAGCAACTGAAACAAATCCTAGTCAGAGAGGTCGGGACCTCAAAACGAATGCGCCGATATTTTCGAAAGGCAATGCAAGCACCGTCAAGCACCGAACCACAGATACATCCCTCCAGTTGCTTAAGGCCCCTGGGAAGATTAAACATATGTCCAGTAGCGATCGGTTCCCTTTAAAACCAACAGGGGGAAATCAAAACATCTAAAGCAAAAAGCATCCCTGCACACCCGTCTTGGACAAGCTGGGGTCTTTTTCGCAGACCCCTAGAGTCAACCCACTTGGAGGCTTAGGCCCTGTGATCAGGTAATAGGAACCCTTGATCTAGGTAGCATTGTGGCACTTGTGTTTCAATGAATCCGTTCCGAACCGGAAGCCTCGAACCGCACGAATGGCTGAAACGACACTGAGCTTTTCGGGTGCAACGCAGCTCTCCTCGAAGCACTCAACGCGCCACGCGCTTTGCCCAACAACCGTGAAGGAAAGCAACTCGAGCATCCGTCTTTGCCACTGCCTTTCGGGAATGTCCAGTAGAACAACCCAAACATGAACTTGAAATTCAGCATTCGGAAGGCTTCTTCACATTGACATATTGCTTCTTCAAATTGACACATCTGGCAGGTGCTTGGCAAGCTCATCATTGGCTAGTGGTAAAATTGCCGCTCTTCTCCATTATCCCGCTTGTTTGCCTCATCCCGGCTTGCCAGCCAGATTGAAAGGGTCTTCCTTCTTTCGCTGCAAGCCCGCCCCAAACCCCAACGTCCCCCGCCAACACTGGTTCGCTCGTGCCACGTTCCCTCCCGTCCCCCGTCCCCCGCGCCAGCAATGCGGGCAGGGCGAGGCGGAGCCCTGGGCAAGACCCGGCAGAGCCACCCCATGGGAAAGCGAAGGAGTGCCAAAAGACGACCAGTTGGGAGAAGGACAAATGGAATCCACAAAAAGCGCATCCCGACCGATTTACAGACTGGTGAGCAGTGTGGTTCCGGAAGCGGTGCCAGTTGGGAAACGACACCTACGCCATAGAATGCAACAGGGGCTCTGCCAACCACTTTTTGTTCTATTGACAATACTGGTTCCACGGAAGAGGTGGCACAAAGAACCCCTTTCCACACACGCCATGGGCGTAGGGCCTAGCAAATGTGACATCCTACGCTTCCCGCCCTCAAAAGAAACGGCTTCAGGAAGCATACTTTCGAAGGAGACATATTGAAGAGCATGCGTCTCATTCTTGAAACAGGAGGCGTCACAAAATTCCGTTTTGCACACAAGCCCCGTGCTCTCACCAGCTGATGGCATTTGTTCCCTTGTACGTATACACATTACGCATAAATATGTAGATATATCGCTCTCTCTATCTCTCCCTCTCTCTTGAGTCAATGAACCAGCAGCACGGAGCAAAGCAATGAAGTGTCCTTGTCCCAAACCCCACCACGGTTGGGACCTGGTGACACTATGCACTGCCGTTCAAAGCAAGAAGACCAGGACGCAAGGCCTGCCATGTCAGTTCCTCCGAAGGCATCGGCAGTTTTTGTTTGGGGGACCGACCGCAGGTGCCACTGAACAAGCAAAAAAAGAAGCAAAAAAAGCAGCTATACAAAGGTGGGTATGTGTCGAAATGGTGGGGGGGGGGGGGCTGCGAAAATTAGAGGTTGCCCTGTTGGCTTCCTTTAAACCAAGGAGACAAGTGCACCCTCTTTTCAATCATGTAAGTGGACAGGGGGGTTCCCCGAAAAGGGAAGTAGTCTTCCAAAGCCATCCTGTCAGCGTCCATTGTTGGAGAGCGGGCATCGCCGCCTTCGACTGGCTCTTGTCCCCGTTCTCCGTCTCATCTGTCGAAGCCTCCGCCGCCGCCTTCCTCACGCAAATCTCGCGCGCGCAGGGGGCTCAGGGGGAAATGACCCAAGGGAAAAACAAACGCGGAGGTTGTTAGGTTGCCAACCAAGGGGAGCGAAGTCATGACCCAAGTTTCAGGCATGCAGGTGGAACTCGCCCCTCCCGCAGCAAGTTGCAGCCAAGCCCAAAGTCCGTCTGAGGCGCTTGATGCACAGGGGTTCCTCCATTCTTGGAACCTCCAAAAGCGGCCAGCGTTGATGAACACCAGCACACTGCAACTTGGGGAATCGCAGTGACAACCGGGTGAAGCAAGTCCTCGCCGGTTCGTGTCTCATGCGTAAAATTTGGTTGGGTTTGGAGGAGGCCCCCCTACCAACCACCCAGCCGGGTCTTGGTAACATACACGCCTCAGAGGCCAGACGCCAAAGTGTTTTCTCCTTCTTTTCTCGTACCAAATGGGGATGCCCAAGCAATTAGACTTTGCCGAATCCCTTTGGGCCAAATCCATGGAGTCCCACAGGGTGCTTTGGACATACCCAAGTACGGTAAGACTGGGGTACACCGTCAGGATAGGCATTAGGAACTCCCAACCCCTCAAACAGTTCGATCACAGGTTCCCAATTCACCCCATGAGGTCCTCTTTCTTCTTTTGTCTTCGGCAACTCTCCCCTTGTGGCTTTTCCCCTTCGTATTGCTTGCAATCGGTCGCAGAAGTGTCAGCATTCTCAACCCGACTGCGGCCAGAGCCGCTTCCATTGTCGTGACCCATCTGTAGTAAACGATATGTGTTTTTTGCCGCGCGGCTCGCTGTCTTCGTCGGAGTCCCCCGACAAGCGCGCGAAGAATGCCGGCATGGCAACAGAAAAAGAGACCCAAAACTGCGGACGGAGATTGCCTTTCTTTGTGGGTTCTTTGTGGGTTCTTGATGGTTTCGGCTGGGATTTCAGTAAATGGTCTGGCTGGAAGGCTTGTTTCTGAGTGCTGTTTCCAGAGCTACTTTCATTGGTCGCAGTGCACCCGCTCACGTCGAGATTTGGTCCTGGAGCCGGCTTGCATAGGCTGCGAGGGCGGAGAGCGTGCTCACCAAACCGGCCGGATTCAAAAGAACCCGACGAGTGGCCCCATGGCTATTCTATCAGGAGCCTTGCCTGCACAGTTCAAAGTTCAAAGTGGAGCTACGTTACGGGTGCATATTGATGTTCCCCTGAGATGACTTCTTGGGTACGGTCTTCCAGACCGAAAAGTGGACATTAGTTAATTTATAATGGCTTTTGACCCTTGTGAATTCGCTTTTTCCGATGCTTCCCAGGTACACGTTTGACCTCCCCTCTTCAAGCTCAAGATGGCCTCGGCTAAGGAAAGGGTATGTCCTATAGAGGCTATGCTGGCTATGTGGTCCATGTGGTGCCCTTGAGCGGATGCCACATATCTACGTCTGTTCGGTATGGAACGGTTGTGTACCGAAAGCAAGTCCAGGCACTCATTTTGTTCAACTTCAGGCCCTCCACGCAAAGCTGGCGTGGCACCACTAGCCTGCTGAGTTGACTGGCGGAAAAGTTCAAACTACTTGGGCCTTGGGCAAAATAATGAAGACGCCTGCCAACAGGTTGAAGTTGGCAAGCTCAAACGGCAGGCACGTCAGCCTTCAACTTCCAAAATTCAAGGGAACCAGTTTGGTTTTCCTTTCATGCTAAACCCAGAAGGGATGTTGCCCAAAAAGATGCCGCGCTACAAGGAAAGCTGACTTTGCGACTGCCCAGCCGTAGGCGTGCGGGGCTCGCCCAACGCCCAAAGATGGGCGAGAAGCCGAGGCGCCTAGGGCTTGCGTTTTTGGGAGTGCGGTTGTCAGGCTGTTAGGGAAACCGAAAGGAAACTTGCCATTTTCCGCACCCCTTTGACATTTCCTGCACTGCCGAGGGCCGCATAGCAGGCCTAGGACGTAAGGTCTGTAGGACCCCATTGGGGGCCCTAACGTAGAAACAAAGGCCAACCCTTTCCATCGTTTTCTATTCAGGGATCCGATTCTCAAAATGCCCCAAAACACAGAAAGGCGTCCCTGGAACGGAAAGAATGCGGCACAGCGGCTAGTCACCTGAGGTGAAAAAAATCACCCCAAGTTCTATCGTCGACTCTGGCACTTGGCCAGCTTGAACAATCACCAAGAATTCCCAAGGCTCCAAAGCACCTCCCCCCCTCCCCGCGGGGCGCTGCCTGAGGTTTGACCCAGGCCTGGGATCTTGGCTCGCCGCACTGAGGTTGTGAGGGTTTCTACACCTAAAGGGAACCCGTTCTTTTTCCCAATTCCCCATGTTCACTGTTCAACCATCGCGCCGTTTAGACAACAACAGCTCCTCTGGGCATTCTGCTTGTTTGTTCCGGAAAGATTCGGATCCTTGGGCGAACGGCTGGAAGTTACCCCTAGAGAACAGAGGGTCTAAGTCTCAAAGCGCAACCTCCCAATTTGGGGGCCCGAGTCCTCTAAGATCCGAAGCCAAAAAGCCCCCACAGAGGAAGCTCCTTCTGGTGTCATGCTTTGGGTTTCCAAGCTCATGCTCACGGAAGTAGACGCGCGTCCGCCATTTTGCCGATCGATCTTCGGGCGCCTGCTTCGCAGCGCGCCACAATTGAGCAGAGTTCGATGGACCTAAAGTGGCAAGTGCCTTCTCCGTTGACCCAAATTTTAGGCCCGGCCAGTATGGCTGCAGGTTAAACCTAGGAGCTAAACTCTACAGCGCGAGACATCCCCAGCTGAAAACCAGTTCCCACACAGGCTGCATTATCCCCGCTATCATCACTAGGCAGTTGGGCTGCAAAATGGCTCACCGCAAAAAAGGAGGGGGGGAGGGCGTATCGCATGGGTGCAGCGAACCAAGGGTTCAACTCTGATACAGCACATGGACTGTCAAACAAAATTGCTTTGACCCTGTCATTTTTGATCTGGCTGGTACTTAATTAAAACCAGCCCGACTTGCTCATTTCCTTGTTGCTGCGTGGTAAAAATGACATGCAAACTCATGTTTCGCCGTGGGCGTTCTTCACCTTCTCCGATTCGAGGTGTCTTCTGTCGCGGAGGGGGGGGGGGGTGTGCTGGCCACCTGGAAGGCGACAGGCCGCCAGACCTCCGCTCTCGCCTCTGGGACTCTGCCGTCCTTCTTTTCATTGGGGTGAGGGGCTGTTTGTGGTGGGCTTAAAGCGCTGGCAAGGGATTAGGGCGCTTCTTGAGGGATCAGTTTAAATGGCAAAACTGGGCGTCTTGGGCGGCGAATTGTTGAGGGTTGCCGAGGGGGTTGATACGTCGGTTCGGTGGGTTCATTTGCTTCAGAGTTGGGGACGGCTTTGTCTTTGTCTTCTGCTGGCTTTATTGGCTGAACGGCCCGGTTCGCATGGACGTGTTTGGGAAACCTTCGGAAAGCTCAAGTTTCGGCCCAAGGTTGTAGGGCTCGGAACCCTCTTTTGGCCGGTTTTAAGGGGAAAGCAACAGGGCAACCCATTTGGGGGACCCCCCACCCATTTTGGGGGGTCCAATTGACACACCCAGCTCAAACGCGCGGCAAAGATGTCGGACATCGGCCTTCGTTGGCTTGGATCGGTTACGCGGCGCTGTACTGAGGCTTAGGCATGAGAGGCATGAGGGTTGACACCTGTTCCCGGTCTCCCTTCAACCCCTGAGACTGGCTGGAGACTTTGAGTTTCGGTTTGTTTTCGATTTGTTTTTTTTGGTGCACCCCCCTGTTTTTCCTGCTGGCTTTCCCTTGGCCACCAAACAAGGGGGATACCCTCAAACAATGATTCTTAGTGGATGGCTTTCCCTTTAAAGCCACCAAACAGGGGGGGTACCCTCAAGAAAGACAAACCCGTTTGCCTGCCCCCCGGCATTTCTTTGAGAACGCCTCGCGCCCGCCAAAAATAACAAGCAGCAGCAGGCGCGCCGACCCCGCTCAGGCCGAAACTGGAGCTTTGACCTCGCAGGCTGCCCGATTAAAAAAGAAAAACGGATTGAGCTCAATCCTCTAAAAAGGGGTTGGCTTTTGTCGGGTTCCATGCCAAGCTGTCGGGGGAATAATCCATAGGACACCACCCCTCACCCCCCCCAAAGAAAACAAAAGCAAAAGAGAACTGGCGAACCACCCATGGTGTTGCCCAAGTGAGACCATGGAAGCTCCAAAGCCACTGCATGCCTTCACAAAGGATCCTGGGAATTCCGTGGATATTTAGGAGGACCATCCCGGGGAAGAACCCCCTTCATCGCCACAAAGGGAGCAGCTGGGGAGTTGATGACCCTCCAAATGAGTCAATGTCAATCTGCCCTCCAACAGGCACCTCCAGCAAATCCAGCAAAAAGTGGGAGGCCAATCCAAGGACTCTAGACGTTCACTGCCCACCGCTATCCAAACCCAACCCCCGGAAAGGAATCCACAAGGCCTCCCTGATCCGGACGATTTTTGGGGCTTACCATTTTCAGGGGACCAATCAAACAAAAGGGATTTAGAGGGTGCCACGTTCCCCTTGGTCGGATTAAGGCTCGGGGCACAGAAGTCCCTCGGCTATAAAACAATCATGCCATGGCCCACTAAACGTTGATATCCTTTGGTTTTCAGGCGGAAAGAAGAAGCTCAACGTTTGACCAGCTGTGCAGAGTTACCCTTGGCTAGAACCGAGGCCTCACTTTGGTCCAGCTCAGGGTCGCTGCGACGACGCCTGAGAGGCAGATCGTCAACCACCAAAAACGACGCGCTTCTGGCAACCCAAAAGTGTGATGGGTCAATAAAAGCGGAATGCAGCGGGGTGTGGAAGGGTCGGGTGCCTGACTGCGCCAACCTAATGGAGAGAATCGAGTCACAAACTAAGTGAATTAGGTGGTCATCGTAAGGGAACCCTGACCCTCCAAGTTTTTGCAGTGTTTTCGCAGGTGTTTTTACCCCCCCCAAGACGAACATGGAACCTCAGCCAAGAGAAGCTCTTTGTCCGGCGCCCTGCTTTTTGGTCCCATGTCGAAGGACCTTCAGCTGAAGAGATCTCTGGGGCATCGTTTTTTTGGTCTGGCATCCGCATCACGTACCTGGAAATCATGAACCCAGAAAAGGTTTTTAAAAACATGTAACGCATGTAGTTCCTCAATTGCTGAATGCAATGCCCAGAAACAGGATCTTCTGGTACCCCTAGTTTATGGGTTCACTCTCCCACAGTGCTGGCTTAATTCTGGGACATCAGCGCCCAGGGTCCCTAAATGGCCATGGCTTCATATGCGGACCTGTTGACTAGCTAGGGCCTGTAACAGGAGCTCGACTTCCATAAAACTCACTGCCATATGTCTCCACACAACCAGCCTTTGATCCTTAGCACGCACCAAATGTTGACCCAATACGCATCCTATCACCGAGTCTTTTCAGCTTCCCTCTAATTGCTGAGTTGGATTCGTGGTTCGGAGGTTCAGTGTGACTTCCCAAGTGCCCTCTGCGAAAGGATAGGGTTCAACTCCACATCCTTGAAATCACATATCCATCCAACCAAGTTGCCTGACCTCTCACAAACCGAGCTAAACAAACCAAAACCAACCAACAAAAAAAACCAAGCCAACCAACCAAGCCAGTAATCCTACCACCCAAGCAACCAAACCAAACCAACCACCACCAGCAGCGCGACGCGCGCTGCGAGGCGAGGCTGGCACCAGCTGTCCGGCTGCTCTCGCACCTTGCGCTCGGTGGACAGGACCTCGGGCTCCATGTCCCTCCCCATGAGATTTGCCAAAAAAAATGAGAGCCTTCCATTGACTTGGCTGGTGACATTGAAACTGCTTCTCCAGGAAGCTGAGCAAACAAATAAGGTTGTCAGTCTGTGGGGCATGGCAAGAAGCACCACATGAACATCGAACCGAATGGTTCAAATGGCAGAAGGTTGAAAGACGGGTCAAATAGGAGCCAAAGTGGCTTTGCGCTTTTCAAAATGGAGGCTTGGCCAATCCGATTTTCCATAATCCTTGTACGGAAGCCAATGCAAAGGGGACGACATTCTTGAGTAACCCAAGGTAAGGATCTAGCGGATTTCCTTTAAACAGCCCGACTTCGAGCCTCCACCATGCTTTCCAGACCTGGCAACTTCTTTGCGATTGCAAGGGCCAAGGTAGAGATCGCGGTTCCCCCTCCCGGCCCAGCTGCGAAGTGTCTTCCTGGTGGGACAAGAATTGAAACCATGTTTAGAGTGAGGTCATATTTAGTGGGTCCTGCACCCAAACAAAACGGGATGGAGGAGGAATCCATTGAACTGGGTTGGAAGGGTGGAACACTTGCATGGGTGCATTCTCCCATGAACCCCACAGGTGGCTGAGAAAACACTCGTTGAGATAGCTCTTGATCAAAACGGCCCGGCTGTGCTAGCTGGCACTTGGGCTTGGACATGAACCTAGAAACCTTTGGTGCCTCTCTGTTTGAGATGCTGAAAAGGACAGCCAGCAGGACACAACAGACATGTTGGGTACCCCATGTTCGAGACACATTCATTTTGTTGTCTCAAAAAAATAGGGGACCGAACAAAGTGGTAGTTCTTCTGATGGTCCCCCAAAGGAACCCATCCCAACAAGGGTACCCTCCAAAAACAAGGTACATGCCCATATTCAGATTGCTTTCAAGATGCGTTAAGTGATTTCTTCAACCCCCTTTTTCTGCCAATTTGGGAGGTGTCTCAAGAGTAAAGCACCCCTACGAACGTAGACGTTCTGATGGTCTCCCTTTGAAAATGAGCCCAAGAAGGGTACCCTCCAAAAACGGCACATGCCCAAAACACGCCACGGGGCGTTTGGGCTGCTCCGCCAGGCGTGGATGGTGGGCGCGAGTCCCACATCTCGGCCCTTGCCCGGCGAATCCCGCTCCTGGAGCTGCCAAATCCCCACACAGTGCCGGCCTTCCTGTTGGCTTCGCCGCAAAACCCACCCCCCCCAAAAAAAGGGTAGTCTCGAAAAAGACACACTCAACTGGTAGTGCCTTCTGGCACCCCTCGAAGGAGGGTTGATTCAAAGAGGAACAACCCTCAAAACAGCAATTTATCTTAATGCCCCAATTTCATGTAGCGTTTTCCCCGGGCGTCATGCGCTTGCGCGCCGCAAGCCAAAACTTCTAAAGCTGGGCTCAAGAAAGCCGTGGGCATCCACTTCATTGCCTTCGCGTGGCAAAGGCATGGCCATGGGAAACAAATCATTTAACCGGAGATGCAAGACTTCCCAACCCTTGGCACGGTAGCAAAAAACCGTGATTGGTTGCAGCCCCCCTGCTAATAATGAACAGAACCAAGTCAAAACAAAAACAAAAACCTTGTCAAGGACTGTGAAGAAAAGGAGCTTGCTCATAACGTTGATTCGTGGCAAGCTGATGGGCAATGTGCGTTTCAATGGCCCCCAGAACTTGATTGGTGGGAGGGACTTTAGCTTGCTACGGCAGATGTGTTCAACCTTAAAGGCAAACTGGCCTTTGACCAGATGTACCTTCCAGTGGTGCTTGCAACCGAGCACCCGCCTACTGGGAACTTCAGACTCGGCATTGTGTGAGACGAATCTCCTTTTTAGCCTTTTAAGCATCTTTCTGAGGTACGTCCGCTTGCCCGTCTTAGCATGGGTCAAGTACCTCTTTCAGATGGGAAATGACTCTTCCAAGGGTGGATTCCTCGTGCAGTTCTCGAGAAAGTCCCAGATGGGCATTTTCGTTGGACATGTGCCACCCGAGTAAGTCCGCCATGACGAGGAACCTCAAGGACCCCCGTCAGGACAGCAGAATGACTAGAATCCTCGGAGAAAAGCCACAATTGACCAACATATGTTGACATTGAGGTTGAGAATCCCAAAAGCACCCCTGACATCTCTTCCATAGGGTCCACCGTTCTTCCATCCCTCTGCCTCACCCTCTCTCCCCCCCCCTCCCATTCCTGGGCAGGCGCGGAGGGTGCCCTTGGGATGGACGCCGGAATTCTGGGCGCAGGAGGCGCCTGCATACGGAGGCCCCAAAGAGAAGTCTCTCAAAATGAAGGCGCTTTGGGCTCCATGCGGCTTGAATCTTCTCCAAACTTGCTGGCTCAATAGCCAGGGAATGAGACGTGGAAGGACCCCGATTAAATAAAAGAAGAATAAACACATCCAACTGCTGGCGTCCTTTAAGGGAATCCCAAAATGGTTCATTCCCAACACCCGGACTCGGTCATTCCCTACGATACCGGGATCCCGCGATGCTAGATAAACACGGCCGGCTCTCCACGGCATTTGCGCCACCATGACAGGCCTCGGGCAAAATGGATTGTTTGGGCGCCTCATGCCCGCAGGGGTTGGGCAAGACGGGCCGGCAAGCCGCATCACCCCAAATGTTTGAAACCTGCTTGATCATGCATCCTTTTGGATAGTTGCGTATACTGCATTCGCGGTTGCTTGGGGTGCGCAAATGCCTAGGCATGGACTCATGCATCTGTGTGTAAATATTCACATACGTATACATATATATATATATATATGTATGTATGTGTGTGTATGTGTGTATATACATTCATATGCACAGTGATTTTTTACATGCATGTAATTGGAACTAAATACTCAAAGTACAGGTTGAAGACGATGTCGAAGAAGTTGGCAGGGTCGACATGTTCCATTGACAGAAGTCTCATTTTGTTCCGGCGCTTCCGCAAGGATACAGCCTGCAGGGAGTCGGGCGCAGGATGGGAGCAAACACTGCTCAGACCCTGAGCCTCTGTGGCAACCGAAAGATCGTGCTTCAAATCTTGCCTCAGATGCTGTGGGGACAGGCTGGCTCATGTGAAGGCGCTGAGAGGGAAAAAACAGTTTTCTAAAGAGAGAGCAAGGTTCGAGGCTGCCCAGCCCCCATAAGCCTGTCCAGCAAAACCAACCGCCGTGCAAACCGTCCGCCTGCCTCGTCACCCTCTCGGATGCTGCCCAGGTCCTCCGGAAAACGGGCGCGCGGTTTAAGCACTACACGTGATAAACCCTTAAGGCCTTAAGAAGCTAATAAGAAATAGCCCCATGGCTCCCCGAGGGGTCCATGAACACCTGACACCTCCTCTAAACATGTGTCACTCACCGCCCTGAGTGAAAGCAGTGCTAATCTGCGCTGCCATCAAACATCATTCCTGTGAGCCCATGGCAAATGCCTTGATTCATTGGCGAAAGGACAACGAAACGCATTCCGCGGAGTGAGCTCAACCATCAAACACCTGGAAGCCCAACGTATCAAGCTATCACCTTGCCCTGAGGCATCATCTTTGGGAAAGCAAGTTGACACGCCGAGTAGCACACTGCCAGACAAAACATATGAGAGCTTGTGTCAAAAGCGGGATGGCTTCACAATGAACCAGAAGGACACCAACCAGTCGAAGGGGTCGACTACACTCCCTGGAATTAAACAGGAAGTCCGTGCTCTCAGAAGTCCCTCTAACATGGAAGTCCCTTCACCGTATTTTCCTGGGGAAATGCCTGTCTTTTTTTGTTCTGGGAACGTACGACCATCTCCTAACATAGAATCTGTGCCAGGTGCCCCTCGCCACGGCAATCCTGGGGTTTCCCAACACAACCCTAGATTCTTCGGGGGGCCGGTTTCGAGCCTGCACTTCCATGTAAACGAAAAAACGTGAGTGAACACACACGTTCTGACCGACGAAAGTGTCCTAGCATAGAACCTGAAAATGGGCCCTGCACTTCCATGTAAAGGAGCACACGTGTGCTTAACAAGGAAGTGCAAGCTCGTCGTTTGCCCTACTGTTTTTCGGGGGTCACTAGGGAAACTATGATTATGTTAGGAGCAGTTTCGCATATCCCTGAGAAAAGTCGTGAAGCGACAGTTCCCCGGTACGCTTAAAATTACGGTCTGTGTCCGCCAGCTAATGCTAAAAATTGCTATTTCCGAGCCAATCTCACCCCCACATGCCCAGTCGTACGTCGTACCTAGGTGGGGTTCTGGGCCAGTTCTGGAAGGGGTGTGGGGGGGAGTTCGGTTTGTGTTAGGGGGGGGGGGGTAGGGTTTTTGAGGGTTTGAGGGAGCCACTGCCCAAACCATCGTCGGAAGTTTGCTGCGTGTTCTGAAATGCGGAAGCCGGCCAAAAAACCCCAGGGACTTCTATGTTAGCATTTATCAAAAGCCTGGTTTTTTCGACTAACCTGCAAAAAAGATAAAAATAAAATAGAAGCTTCGGAGCTTCCAATTCCAGGGAGTCTACTAGTTTTGACGCACCGCAAGAAACCGGCAAGGATGCATGTAGACACTCATTTGCCTATCTCTATTCAAACAATCGATCAGCATACGCATCATACGCAGGTGTAAACAGGCGCGCACACACACAACTGGCAAACGCATCTCCATATAATCTATGCGCGCAGTCGCACGAGCAAAAGAAACGTGCAAATGCGAACGTAATGTGAATATGGACATGTAAGGATACCACCAACCACCTCCAACCTCAGCCCCCCCAAGGTCCGCAACTGGCGTGGTGTTGGCTGCCTTGACCCGGGGCTCCACAGGAGCGCCAAGGCACTCTTGCAAGCTGATGCCATCCTGCCAAAGACGGGGGGGGGGAAGCAGATGAGGCTTACCCTAAAAGAGGGACTCAAGGCGAGGCTGCTTCCATGCAGCATGCTCCACAGCTTGGGGTTCTTCCAGTGGTACGCGCCGGGTCCGATTTTGGGTCCGCTCCAATGCACCCGCGCGGCTTGGGCGAAAGCTGCTGCCCAAGTTCTGGAAGCGCATTTTGACAGCGCGAGGTGCGTGCAATGCCGATGTTTCGGAGCTGGGCACCCTCCGCAATCGTTGGGTTCAATCGATCTTGTTGTGGCGCGGGTGCTTGCTATCAGGATTGGAAGTGAAAATATGTTCTGACCGTGCAGGGCGCAGCTTGCGAATCGCAACGAGAGCCTGCGCAAGCATGTTGCGAAGAAATTGGCACAGCCGGTTGCTACGGTCCTCGAAAAAGATGTTGCGCAAAGAACTTTCATAGAGCCTCTAGGAGTCTTGGTCAGAGACTGGAGACCTTGCAGGGAGCCTCTGAAAGAGATCTTGCACAAAGAAGTTCCCGATATTTTCTTGAAGAGATGATGCAAGGAGACAATGCAGGAATCCTGCAAAGCGTGACTGCGCACAGGTCGCATACGTGTTCCAGTCCCTTGGCGGAATGTGTTTTAGGGTCAGAGTTTACAGGAAGCATGGGCACTCCCAGAAAATGTCGACCTATTGGCTTTTTCAAGGACCTGAGGGACGCCAAAGATTTGTGTGGTCACCTCGGTTTTTGGAAATATCCAAGGCTTACGTCTTTCAGGGTTCGGGCAGAATGTTTGGGCAAGGGGATCCATGCTTCATGTTTCTTTCGGTACCCCGGGTTGAAACCAGACCAGGCAAGGGGCGTAATCAACTGAATTGTACCCAGTCCAAGTCAGGATTCCTTGCATGTCTCCTTCCAACATCACCCTACCAAAGGGAAGCGCAAACAACAAGCCACCCAAAAAAGGAAGCCACCCAAAACAGGGGACAGCTTTTGGACCCCCGCAGGTTGCTTGGCCCCGCCCCGGTGCCGACAGCATCGACTGGCAGCGATCGCAAGATCGTGTATGGACAGCTGGGTCTCTGAGTCGCGTTTCCGGAAAAATCTTTCTCCAGCACAGATTTGAGATTTTACAATCAGAGGCAAGGACAGCTTTGAGTGCCAGGCCACGAGGGCCCCATGAGCGTTGGGCGAAGCCGCGGCGGATTCCCGCGCGCGCCTCGAGGCACCAGCCAGCCAGAATCGAGGCCAGAAGGCTCTTCAGCAGCGGCTCCAGTAGAGCGGACAGGAGCACCTGAGCTGCGAGGAGAAGTTCCCTGGGAACTGGACTGAATGAAGGTGTCAATTGCCCGAGTCCAACCTTGACGGCGTTTTGTGCCCACCCATTTCGAGAGTGTGCAAGAAGCTTCAACCATTGAGTATCAAGTGGGAATGTGCGCCTAAAAAGTTCACCTCTATCCACCGCAAACCCCACCCCTCCCCCCGCCTAGAAAAAAGGAAGCCCGGATTGCTTGAGCAACCGCGAGGCAGCGTAAATTGCGGCTGATACCAGGGTTTTGGACCACCCAGGAAATCATGGAGCTAGGGGAGCCATGGGATTCACATGTTTCAATAGCTTCGATCTCTCTGGACACTCGCGGAATCTCAAGGCCTGGCCAGTCGATGCTACACGTGTTGATGCTGGATATGTCAGCACGCCTCCAGGAACAGAAGGAAGCACAGCGAAACTCGCCGGAGAAAGCAGAAGGTGCCGCACAAAAGAAGCAATGAAAGGCCTTTTCAGGCCCTAAATAGCTAAATAGCTAAATAGATGTTCACCCCAGCCGACTTCACCCAGGACCCTATGTCAGCCACAGTGCTACGGTCGCCAAGCTCACCAGCCAGCGCTGTCCGTCCTGGAGTCCAATTGACATTTCCCACCTCGGAGAGTACGAACCCATACGAACCTTTTTTCCATCCGGTACATAGCCAACAAAGGGCATACCCCACCCCACCCCACCCGCCCGGGTTTCCCAGCAAATTCGGTACCCTCCCCAAGGAAAAGGTATCAGGCTAAGCCCTCCCCCCCCAAACAACAAAAACACATTGGGCGCAATGAAAGCTTGCAAGGCCGTAACGTTTTGCCAAAGAATCATGCCCCACCGGGCAGCTGGAAAATGGCCAAGGTCCGAATCCTTAACCTGTCTTCTTGAAAGGTCGGACCCCTTGCGAGAAAAGCCGGTAAAAAAGAGCAAATGGCAACAACGCACTCACTTCTGCACAAAATGTCTAACTCTGAGACTCTGAAGCCTTAGGCGCCAAGAAAGCTGGACGCACCTACTCAATATAGGCCAAAAGAGACTTCCCTGGATGTGAAAGAAGGCTTTTCTGTGGGTATATCAGGGGGACCCCACAGGGGTCCAAGACTGGGGGTCAACGAACAGCCGCTTCCTGATCCAATGCAACTGGGCGCACTTGGGCCGCGTGTCACCACTCAGGGTTGAGAGTCCTTGACGGACTCAACCCGCTGCCACAAAAGAAACCGCAATCTTCTGGACATGAATCCAGGCTTCCCCATCCCTGACAGCTCCGTTCTCACCAGCGCGGGACGCCGGCTGAGCGCAAGCAACCCTTTGCCCACACAATCATACTGCACCGCGGGCGTCGAGCTCCACACAGGGCTTCCAGGCGAGCAGCCACTTCTGGACGAAAGGGGGATCCAGTTTTCTCTTTGGGCGTTCTGCCCAAAGTTTCTGCTCGAAGGATCCTCCACATTCTCATAGCATGCTCAAGGCCACGGATCGAGTTCCCACCGTCTGGATCGACCACGATCGCCATCCTGCAAGTTGATGAGGCAAAAGATTGCCCGCTTGGGCCAATCACTTTCTCCGCCCATGCCAAGCTCAGAAATGACCTCCGTTTTGGCAACAAATCCTGAAGCGCGCGGTCGCCGCCTGATCCCGGCACCGCTTTGGCTTTCTCTGCCAGATCTCCCACTTCGGCCTTGAGTGCTGTGGAAGTCATCTCATCTGCAAGGACGCTATATATCTCTGACGCCCCTAAATTAGTGCACATCCCCATGATACGGGTGCAAGGTCTGATTGGTGTGAGCTTCCCCATCAACAATCATGGCATGGCGCGACAGTGCTTGGTGCCTGGGGACAAACAAGGCGTCAAAGACGGCGAAAGCATTTCATCAGACTTCGACCCCTGGCAACACAGCTCAGAAAATGCTTGGTTGCTGTTGACCCCTCTGCAACAAGTGTCACTTTTTCGGGGTCCAATGGAAAATCCACTGTTTCCCAAAAAGCTAAAGTCCAACCAAATAGCCGTAAAGACTGTGCCCCTCTCCGCGAGTTGCCCTGACAGCTTGGGGGTTACGCCGCCTCAAACCGACAAACACAATATTCCGCACAAGGCCAACCAAGGTACAACTCTTCACGCCGGGCTTTGGGAGGGAAATCCCCAAGGGCACCGGCGGTTTCTGTTCGGTGCCCACGTCCTCGTCGGAGGAGCTGGCAATGTAGGCCGCGCCCAAGGTGGCGCAGCTTGCGGCGTAGAGGACCACCAGGCCCGCAAAGGCCTCGGGTCAACAGAACCAGAGCTCAACCCACAAAAAAAATCGTGGGGGGAGGGGGGGGGGGTGTTTCAGAAAAAAAAGAAGAGTCTCAACAAGGTCGATCCATCGAGATTCACTCTCTCCCCATCCTTTTCGAAAGCTTGCAAACTTACTAGGGTACCACAAACGGCAACCAAAAAGGGTATGATCGAAAAAGACACACCCGGAGATGGGGCGGGCTTGGTTGAGCGGCGCATATTTTTTGTTTGTGTCAAGCGCCAATGGCAATGGACAACATCAAATCTTGACTCAAGTTCGGCAAATCATCGGCGACAAGGGAAATCAAATTGGGCCTGCTGTGTAAAGCCACAAAGGTCGTTCTTTGATAGCATTGGGCCTTTAGAACCAAAAGTTGAAAACCCAAATCCAGCTTTAAGGGCCTAAAAAAAGACATTCATCAGAACTCCGTTCGGCCCCTAAATCTTGAAGGGCAACTTTTTCCATGTGGGAAATATCACTTGTGTTTTAGTTGCTTTCTCTGACCAATAGTCATCTTTTGATCAACCCCCACATGAATCCGCCTCCAAATCCCGCGATCCGACCGAAATATGTCCCTTACGTCCGCGTCCGGGTGCCCGGCCATGTCCTGCAGCCACCACCGCCACAGCTGCCGCTGCCGTGAGGCCGCGTCCCACTCGTCCTGCTTGAACTCCCGGCCTTTCCGAAAATCCGCGGCCGCGGCGCGATGCTCAAAAGTGCTCTGACATGGCGAGGGAAAAGGCAAAGGGAAGAGCCGAAAAGGCGAGAGTTGGGACGTCTGCAAGGGATTCCACTCGAAACCAAAAATGGGACTGCCGAGAGATTTCAAGGGGCTGCCGGTTTGAGTGTGTAGCACGGCAACCAGCTACCCTTTCATTGGGAGTGCCATCATGAAACATAGGTATCAACCCATTTTGGGACCTGTGTTCCTGTAAGGCCGTCCAAGAAGGGTCCATTAGCCGGACACCCACCCATAGTCAGTCTCATGCACACAGACATACACAGGTAGATCTGTACGTGTGCCTGCGCATGTGTACTAAAACTATTGCCTAAATTCCAGTGCATCACCCCTCCCCCCCCTGGGGCTGCGCAGGAAAAGGGTTAGGTTGATGAGTCAGGGTGGGTAGGAAATGAGGTGGGTGAGCATGTAAGAGGCAGCCACAGAGGCAGCCGGCCGCTTAAAGAGAAAAGCCTGATGGGCTATACGGCAATATGGCACTTGCCCAGAAGAAACCCAGTTGAGTAATCAAAGTGGGGTCTTATTTTAGTAGATGACTCTCACCCCTGTCTGATGGGGCCAAAAATTCGGACTTCCCAGTACAAGCCCTGCGTAAGAAGCCAAGACCTCTACACAAATCATGACACGCAACGGCACCTAAGGTAAATGGAACTAGCGACGCCGGGGATGTGCCTTGACCATATGTTCCCTTCAACAGCGGGCGCCAACCATAATGTGCATTCCAGTCGCGTCGAAATGCACAGCTCCGATAAAGAGAAAGCAGAAAAAAACACAGGAATGTTTGGGGGTTGACCGTTTTTGGGAAACCTCACAGACAAGAGGGAGCAAGTTGCCACTAGTGGCACGTACGCCAGGGACACGCAATTATTCTCATTTAGATAGGGCCTATGTTCACTCCAGTGGCTAAAAGAGTCAACGATTTGCGCATTCGGTTCCTCAAGATTATCTATTGCCCCCCCACCCCCGCCCCGGACTGTTCCACCAAGCCAAAGTTGCCCCCTGTACTTTCCAAACATTGCCCCACAACAGATGGTGCTTGAACCCACTAAAGATACCCAAGGCGGAACTCTAGGGAACCCTGCCCGCAAGCCAGAAGCAAACAAATCATCTGCTGAGAGCCCAGCTGTGGCAAAGTAACAGCACCGCAGTCCACAGCAGCTGCAGCATCCTGCAAGGGGCCAGGCGAAAAACAGCAGCTGTGGAAAAGAAAGAAAAGTAATCAAAGAGCGAAAGAAGGAAAGACAGAAAGACGGAAAGACACGAGGACAGAAAAACGGAAAGACAGAAAGAAAGAAAGAAAGAAAGAAAGAAAGAAGGAAAGACCGAAAGCAAGAAAGCAAGAAAGCAAGAAAGCATGAAAGCATGAAAGCAAGAAAGCAAGAAAGAGTGCTTGAACAAAAACAACCAAGCAGGAAAGAAGCCTGAAATAAAGAAATACATCATGAAAGAAAAGAAAGACAGAAAGACAGAAAGCAGAAAGACAGAAGGACAGAAAGACAGAAAGACAGAAAGACAGAAAGACAGAAAGACAGAAAGACAGAAAGAAAGAACGAAAGAACGAAAGAACGAAAGAACGAAAGAACGAAAGAACGAAAGAACGAAAGAACGAAAGAGCGAAAGAGCGAAAGAACGAAAGACAGAAAGAAAGACAGAAAGAAAGAAAGAAAGAAAGAAAGAAAGAAGGAAAGAAGGAAATCGCAAAAGCAAGAAAGCAAGAAAGCAAGCAAGAAAGCTTGCGTAAAAAAGCCAAGCAGGAAAGAAAGCCTGAAAAAAAGACATACATCATGAAAGAATGAAAGAAAGAAAAGAAAGACAGACAGACAGGAAGAACCAAAGAAAGACTGACACAGAATGCAAGAAATCAAACAAAAAAAAGAACGACGGAAAGGAAAAGAAAGTAAGAAAGCAAGACATAAAGAAATACATCGTGAGAGAATAAAAGAAAGAAAAGAAAGGAAAGAAAGCTAGAAACAAAAATGAAACAAAGAACAAATACTAATAATAAAAAACAACAAGCAAGCCAGAAGAAATAGAAGAAGGCAGCAAGAAAGGAACGCTGGAAAGTTGCGTTCCTTCAGGATCCAGGATGCATTCAAAGGCAATAACAAAGCATACCTTGCATCATGTAACAAATCACAAGATTCCATCCCGATTGACACACGGCAAAAAGTGACCTGCCCTCCCCCCCCCCACCCCCCATCCACCAAATGTGCCATGCTCCAAAGTACCTCCAACCGACAAGCGATCGATGGATCAAGTCCTGGAGACGCAGGAGAAGAGCAGCTGCACTCCGATGCCGCTTACAATGCCGTTGACGTGCCTACCAATCGACAACCGAAAACAACCGAAAACAACCGGCAAGGTCGACCCACCCGCTGCGGGGCGCAAGGGCGCAAGGGCGCATTCAGAATCACCCCCGCGAAAATGAATCACCAGCCTGAATTGAGGAAGGGGTCTTTATCATGGGTAAGCCCATTTGACAGCCAATTAGCGCAAATGGATGCAACAGCTGCAAGCACCCAAGTTTGCCACGGGCAAACTGCGGGTGTAGGGCGCAGCCAGAAGCAAACGTTTTTTCTGGCTTCCCCTTCCGCCCACCCACACCCACTAGCCTAACAGCAACAACCCAACAGCCAGCCCAACGGCCCAACAGCCCAACAGCCCAACAGCCTAGCAGCCCAGCAAAGCAGCAGTTCATGGGGCGGAGTCCCGGTTGGCAACCAAAAGGCAATGCGAGGAATTCACTCAACGAGCGAATTCCTCACTTTCATGGATTGGTCACCTGAATTTGCCGTGCACCACTAAGATGATCTTCCAAACAGGTTCAGACCACTAAGTGCAGAGGAGGCAGGGAGACTCTCTGGCCTTCAACCGTTAGGCGCAAAAAGGCCCCAAAGTGCAGTTGCTAGTGGAAGCCAAACCCATCAACGGAGCGGACTTGATGGGCCCAACTTTCATGCGTGATCATTGGGCGCTGGATCCCGAAGGCAAACTTTTGCTGAACCCCTGCATGCTTGAAAAGCGTTGTCCTCCTTGATTGGACATCTGGCTTGGGGCCTAGGCTTTCCCAACCGCTAGCCGACGCTGCCTCAATTCAATGTCCTTTTCCGCGCCTCCACTCAGAGGCACAAGCGTGGTCGCGAGGCTGGGTGTCTTGAAGCACCAGGAAGAACACCACCTGAGTCTGCGTGCCCTGTGTTTCTTAGGGCCCTGCCTACCCCTGGAACATGGCCTCTTGTGACATCCGTAATGAACAAAAAATGGCGGCACCAACAAAGTGCGCATAAGCATCTGCTTGATGTGTGTTTGTTCAAATTTGTGGTTTTCCCTTTGGTTTCCCTTCAAAAAACAAAGGTAAACCCCAATTTCTGTACAATGGACAAGGACATTTTACCAGCGGCACCGTTCGAAGCTCAATTCATCGATGAATGGGGGACCCTTCCTTTTTGAGGCCCAACCTTTTGTTCCTTTGTTTTTGTTTTTGCTTTTTCTTCTTTTTCTTTTCTTTTTTTTGGGGGGAGGGCTCATCAAACCAGAAGGGAAAATGGAAGCTCGCTTTCGGGTTGGACAAGCGGGGTCCTATGAATGTGACTCGAACACCGCCTATCAACGGGTCACATGAGGATGTTTGAGGAGAGCAGCCTCTCAGAACCGGAATCGTGGAGCCATTTGCAGCTGCATGCTCAAAACAATCTCCTGTGGGTCTCTCCCTCTCTTCTCTTTGTGTCCAACGCTCGCTCAACCATGAGAGGAGTTCCACGCTATGAACTACGAACATGCCTGCATTCAAACAAGTAACGGAACACTTCTCTATGTCTGTATATCTCTATATATATATATACATGCACATAGGTAGTACATATCTATAAATACATATATAGATATGTCTGTGTGTGTGCAACTCACCCCACCTGCTACCCCTACCCCGCCCAATGTCAAGTCGGCCATCGCCGAGCCACTGACATGGCCACTCGGCCAGAAACGTTTGCAACCACCACGCAGGCGCGCATCAAGCAGCGTGTTACCAGGGAATAGCTCCTCGGCGATTTGCTAAGGGCAAAATTGGGTATGGGTCAAAAGGCAATTGCGATTTTCCAGCTGCCTTTATTTGGGTATGGGTCAAAATTGAATGGAAGGGGGAGGGGAACGTGCCGAGGGCCGACCGACCATAAGCTCTTATGGGGTATCGCACACACAGAATCAGGCCAAATGGGGCACCTTCTTCCTGCGCAAGTGGTCATGCTGTCCGTATCTTTGAGCACTGCATTCAATGTAGATGGCCAGCTCCGTTCTCTATGTCTAGGTTGCTGAGTTGAATGAGCGCGATGCGTGTAGCCGAAGTCAAAAGCAGAAACTGGCTGCCATCGAACCACGACCTCGACACCTTGCGATGCCTCACTGGCCCTGCATCACACGAGGCTTCCTAACTGCCCAGAAGCTCCCATCGCCCCGTCAACGCATGCTGGCCATGGCTGACAAGCTCTCCCCAGAACAGGACTGAATGCCGTTCCAGTAGACCGCACTCGCCATAGATGAAACCCAAAGCTGACCAGTCAAGAAGGTTGGGTGTACCTTACTTGTATGTGCATCTGGCAAATAAAGTGATGAATCCTGCGCAACCAGTCACAATCAGATGGCCCCAAAACGAATGGGTTCTGAACAATGGGGGAAAAAGGGCTTGCAACTTTCAGGTGGTCGATTGTGAAGCTGGAAAGGCTAGGTTGTTAGCTGGAAAGGCTAGGCCCGAATCAACCAACCACTCGTTATGAGCTTAGTGAACCTGGAATTTATCCACCTCGCAAAACAGTTGTAATGGCAGTCGCCCCAGTGTCTTCTTTCAGGGGTCCCTGAAAGGATCTCAATGGCGCCCCTCACCAGCTCTTTTCGGTCCCCGGGCCCCACAATAAGGATCCCATCGCTTCAGCGACAGCTAAATTCAAACTAACCCCGCCTCCCCCGGTTGAGGTACTTGCTCTACCAACCCTGACTTCCCTCCCTTCCCTTCCTTCCTCCCCCAAAAGCAAAAACAGTTCTTTCGGAGTTTTGGATGCCATTGACTTAGGGGACATGTGCACTGCTTGAACCGGGGGGCTGCACCGCGCAATGGGGCTGAAGCTGAACCAGGAATACCCAGAAGCGGCTGCAAAGGCTCGGCCTCAGATGCCACTCACTGAAACGTTGGGATGTTCCAAAAATCCCTGTGCAGGATCCCGAGTTTAGCCAAGTGCTCATGGCAGAGCACTTCTCAAGGAACAGAACTCCAAAACACTGGGGGGGGGGGGGGGGTTGGGTTGGGCCACCTAGTAGGGGGGGGGGGGGTTGGGCCAACTGCCACAAAAAGCTGACCTGCCCGCCGCAATAGGCAAGGCTTGACGTACCCTTGGCTGAACTATAGTCTCCCTCCCTGAGTTCCTGGACTTTGAACCCTTTTGGGAAGACCATTTTAGTGGCAGACAGAAAGTTTGTACTTTCTTGGCCAATCCACTCAGGCAGTGAGAAATTGGGGAGCGTGCCATTTAAGAGGTGAAGAGGGAATCCTCCACTTTTGGCGGGGGACCCTCCCTGGCAATCCACCTAGCTTCCAGGTTTTTGTGAAGGCCTTGCCGCTAGCAGATGGCTCTGTTTCGGCTTGCTTCATGTGCGGTGGCTTTCTTCCGTTGCCCAGTGGCTTCATATTCAAAGCCCCTGCAAAGTGAACCTCAAGAGTAGATTTCTCTGGCATGGAGAACCTGACAAATCCGGCAAGCGTCGATGCGCTCTGGGGTTTGGATCGGGCGTGAAGGGAACCCGGCAAATGTGTGTCTCCATTTGGTTTGTCTTTGAATCCCACTTCAGGTACCCCTTAATTCATGATTTGGATTGGTGGGTTGGGGTTTTGAAGCCCTACTTGTCTTGGGTAAATGGGGAAACCCCTCCTGAATCACCAAGCCACCGATTCGGCTCCGCACTTTGGTGGGTCTTTGTTCCTGGCGTCACCCCTCAAACAAAGCCAAAGTGGTACCCTTTTGCTCTGAAAGCCGGCACCGCAAGGAGCACCGGAAATGGGAAAGCCCCGCTGCCAAGGCACTTGGACACGAAATCCTGATATGCCACGGTGACAGCCTGTCCCGTTTTAACATGAGGGTGCTTGGAGAGGCATCCTGCGTGCACCAGAGCAACAACGCACCCACAAACAGGGAGAAACAAGCATCAAACAATATCATCAATATCCACCCCAAACCAAACCAAACCCACCAACCAGCAATTAGTCGATTTATTCATCCGTTCATCCATCCACCCATTCATCCATTCACCCACCCACCCACCCACCCACCCACCCACCCACCCAACCAACCAACCAACCAACCAACCAACCAACCGAGCAATCAAACCGATCATTCAAACCAACTCCGACCAACCCCAATCCAATCCCACTCAACCGTTCACCAAACCAATCCACTGAATCATCCCATCAACCAATGAACTCATGCTGAAGCGGAGTTGTCGAATGGCACAGGTTCAAACTCTGGGTTGTTGGTTTACTTGGACATGCCATTCTGAGGGGACATGAACAAGCAGGCAGGCAGCCAGGCACACAAACAAACAAGCAAACAAATAAAGAAACACGCAAACTGAGAAAAGTCACCTCTCCCGTGAGGTCCTTTTGGACGCCGAACTGAAACCGGCCAGCGGTTCCCATCAATCTTCCTTCTTCCCAAAGTCTTGTGTAGTATGACCTATATAGACTGCTGGGATTTCCAACATCAAGGGTTGGTCAACTTGTGGCGTAACCTTACCCTCTATGGCACACCCTTAGCCTTTTCGCCTTTTCCACCTTTGCTTGATGGGTTGCCCACTCCAGACTTACTTCCGACCCCCAAACTCCTAAGACCAAAAAACCTGTTCCCTCTTTTCAAGTGGGCTCACTCCACACATGGGAACCCCAAACGCACATCTTCTCTTCACGACCTCAAACCCCCCCTCCCCCGGCCGCCTGCTGCACCTTGAGTTGCAGCGCCAGGAAGTCCGCGTTCCGCTTCCGCGTCCAGGCCGACTCCTCGCTGCTGAAGGTCACCTGATACCTCGCTTCTGGGAAGCCCTCCACGTGCGGGTTTGGGCGGGTCGGAAGGAAAACAGGAAAACACATGGCAAGCCGGAAGTGAGGGCCAGAACTATGCCCCAAATGCAAGGAAGCCCGGTTGCTTGAACACATGTTGGGACGCTATTCAATGCGTCATGGCATGTGCACCTAAGCAGGGGGCCGGCCCGTGGCCGGAGAAGGGACCACTCTCTAGGTGTGGGTGTGGGTGTGGGTGTGGGCGGGCGGGCGAGCAGGCGGGCGCGCGGGCTGGTGGGTGCGTGCGAGCGTGCATGTCAAAGTGGGGGCCCTCAACCATTCGACCACTCCAAAGAGGGCGCCCTCGAAAACACAAGCAAAAACGGGCGGCATGTGCAAGAGCATGAACTCCACGTCCAGCTCCGCGAGCTGCAACTTGCTCGCCGCGCTGGCCCTGGCAACTTCGGTGCTGGTTTGATGGGGCTTGAGTTGGATTCGAACTGGAGCATCTGGAAGGTGTTGTTGGTAGATAGATTCGTTTGGTACACTCGACTATTTGGGGAGGACCCTTTGTCAATGTACCAACAGACACTGAACATTCTACAAGACCTGCAATGAGGCATCCCCAGAACCTACATTATGGTGAGCTCGTTTTGACCCTAGCTGTACAATGGGCAGAGCCGCCTGGTAGCTTCATTTAAGGGAGTCTCGAGGTTCTTCCCGAAACTCTTGAAAAGCCTGTCCGAGAACCAAGAGGGTGAAAGTGCGTTAGGTCGAGCTCTGCACCTGCCACCCTACGTGGGACGTTGGGTGGCAGGGGCCGAGAAGTCGAACCAACACGGCCTAGTTTACAGGCCCGTGCGCAAAAGCCTGAAGCTAGGGTTGTCCAGGCCGGTTGCGACGTACATCCATGAGCCAGCAAGCTTGCTGCTCCTTTGACGCAACGATCTGCTAGCCCTGTTCTGATTCAATTCAGACTTGGAAAGGAAGGGAAGGAAAGGAGCCTCACTTCCTGAGCGGGTTTTGCCCCAAAATCAGTCCCAAACTTTTGGTTTGCCAGGGGCGCAAGGCGATCCTTTCTCTGGCCGGCACGTGGACACCACCAAAATGGCACAGCCAAGCCCCAGAAAAATCCTCTCAAGTCCCGAACCTCCTCCACTCCACGCACCCCTCCGCCTCACGCAGAAGGCGGCCAGGCGCCGCTGGAGCCACCCACCAAAGCCCTCCGAGCGCAGCGCCCGGCAGGCGCCGCAGGCGGCGCTCTGAAGCCGCGCCGCAGGGCTCAGCTTCAGCACCTCTCGTGGCTCGCTGCGAGATCGGCAGGGAATGATAAATGGAATGACCCCTCAAAAAGCCATCCCAGTGGTTTCCTTTCAGGGGACCCCCGGGTTCCTTCCAGCACCAGCAAGGTGAGTCATAATCAAAACCCGGTACTAAAATGGCCTACCTAGAAACATGCAAAAGATTGACATGGCGGCCGCACTCATCTATAGCTGGGATTGTTTGTTACTACCCTCCAATTTCCGGGGTCTTGATTGTGACTCTCGTAGCGTTTTCACGTGTCCCAAAGCGAAACCCAACTTGAGCCTATCGCCGGCTCGTCAGAATGGAATGAATTTGACCGAAAGGGGATTCCCTTAAAGGAAGACACAGGGGATGGATTTTTAGGGGTCATTCCCTCATTCCCTGCTGAGAACCAGCCAGAAGACAGGGTGTTGCATGGAAGTTGGCCGGGGGTTAAATAAGGGGTCTGGAGAATTGAGCCAGTGAAAAAACTATTGGGCAGCTTGTGGAGAAGTCGGATCTGAATCATGGCAGGGTCTTAAAGGCCTAGGTTGCCGCTCTTGGCGGTACTTCCCTTTGGGGAAATCCACTGTGTCATTGTGATGCATAAAATAAGGATGCACACTTGCATAGCCTTTCAACACCACTCTTACACCTGCAAGCATGGAACCTCCTGGAATGTACAATAAACATCCTGTCAGCATTTAATCAGGTTTCCCTTCATTGGTGGTTTGGATTGGTGGTTTGGGGATTTGAACCCTGCTTAATGCCAATGGATGGGAAACCACTCCCGAACCACCAAACCAGTGGGCTCCAAACCACCAAGAGCTCTGAGACCAAGTGTTGAGCCACTCTCTTTCCCAGTTGGGCAGGAGTAGCACAGACGTGAGCAGACTTGCAAGACAAGCGCTTCCCGCTTCACTTCGCCAACACAACACTTTCCGCCATTCCAAAGCACCCCCAACGTAAAATCGCTGCTTTTCATTTCAGGCGTTTCCAATTCCCCTTCGACCAGGCCGCAAATTTGCTTCCTACATTTAAGCACCTTCAAGCTGGGCAGCATAGCACTGAAGTTTCACTCGACCTTTGCCGCGGGCGGCCCACGACAATTCCCCCCTTCCCGCGCTTTGCAACGCTTCCCTTTTTCTCGCGATTTCTTCAAAGCGATGCGGACTGCGCTTGCTCGCGCAGTTCCTCAGGCAGCTCGCTCTTCTCGAGCCACTGCAAGAACTTGGTGAAATTCTCGTAAAAGGGCTGCCTGCGGAATCCGTATCCGAACGAGGCGAGGGGGCAGATTGGGTTTGGCCCGTTGGCGCCTGGTTCCGCCCGAAAACAGGAAAATAAAGAATCGTGGCAAACAAATGCCGGCTATCTTGCAAAGAGGCATCAACCAGGGGAGCGGGGGTAGGGGACTTGACATGACCCACAACCAGATGCCCAAAATGCTTCTCCGAGCACGCTGAACTCAACTGGCTGCCAGTCTTCCCAGCAAGGCAAGTCGAGGCAAGAAGCATCCGGTGGCTTCCACTCCAATTCTACTCTCACTATGCCCACAAATCCCTATCCAAATCTTAGCACCATGGTGCCATTTGGAAAGATGGGCGTGGGATTGATGAGGCAGCTTGCATCTCATCAAAACCCGACGGCACGTGTATCCCCACCTCGCGATCACCTCCAGGTTGTTGTGACCTCCATTCTCCACCATGTAAGGCGGATAGGCCACCCCTTCCTGGGCCCATGGTTTTGTGGCGACGGGATCGGCTGCTAACAAAACCGAAAGGACGCTGGCTTGCTGACATGAAAACCACACCATAAGAGAGGCGAAGTGACGAACCTTTGGAAAGCTTGCAATCCTAACAGGCAAGCTTCCTTGCAGTTGCGGACCAGGTCCTCTGCGTGGGAGAAGGGTATGATCTCGTCACTAGTGCCGTGCACAATGTACACGGGACACTTCACCTGCCCTATCCGGTCCACGTTCGGAAACATGTCGCCCGGAAGAGTGAAACTTGATGAGAACCTCGGTGCCGAACAAAGGTCATGTCTGTTGAGGCTCAAAATGGCCAGGTCAAAAACAGAAGGTAAGCGCAGAGCATACGCAACACTTCAGCGTGTTACCCCGCGTTTAGGGCCGAGCAGACAACAGCCCCACAGATGAACGAAGCCTTGCCGTGCCAAGCAACGCCACCCGATAGATGGAGAGCAAGGGACTCTGCAGCACCATGGCGCGCACTGCCGTGCGGACCGCCAAATGGATGGAGGGTCCGGACCCGATGGACCTGCCGTAGAGGACGATCTCGTGCCAGGGGATGCCCACGATATCCTTGCAGCACGGGACCATGTCTAGACTCTAGACCATACACCCCGTGCTTGTATGAGTGTACGCGTTTGTCTCTAAATGAGAAACCCTGAAATGGATTTGGCTTCTCCTGAGAACAAAGCACGGGCATCATTGAGAAAAGATACACACACACACACACACATTGAATATAGTTATTTCATCTGCCAGGGGATGTCAACTTATGCCGATCAGCATTCCTCAGCGCACCGATGGACGGATGTGAAGCCATGCGGGCCCAGGAACCCATTAACCAAGGCCCACGATGGCTCGGCCAGCGATGGTGCCCGGCCGGCCTTCAAAAGCCAAACATCGAGTTACGCTACCCTCTGTCCAGCAACCATGAAAGTCAACGCAGGGCCATTTCGAGAGGCGCGCAGTCTTCAGAGCTCAAAAGGTTGACGAAATCCGTTGTGTCCCTCCCTGAACTACGGCATGCAGGACAAGCATCTCGAAGGTACTTAAAAGCCGCCTCGATATCCGCATACAACGCCTGCTCCGAGGGCTGGCCCGTGCTGATGCCGTAGCCCGTGTAGTCGTAGGCGAAGATGTTCACGTCCAGGATGTGGCTGACCTCGCGGAAGTACTGGATGATCATGCCCAGATCCTCCAGAAACACCGAGGTCTGAGCAAACACCACACGTGGCAAGGGAAACGGCCATTGATGCCACCAACAGGTAGCCCACATCACACAACAAGGAAGCTTGCTTCGGTTGGCGACCCACCAGCGACACCTAAAATCACGGAAGGGGGAACTTCGGGGCCCGGTTCTGCTCAGCTGACTTCCGATGCTCCTGGGCAGGAAGAACTATTCTGCATTCCCCTGCCTCTGCGTTGCCATGACTGAAGAGAAGGGTGAAGCGGGCATCCCGGTCAATGAAGAATGCGGGGATCACCTCAGCCAGATTCAAACCTTCCCATTCCTAAGGCCATGCGGAATCTCATGTCGTGCGACCACCACACCTATGTTGTTTGCCGGGCCGCGCCGCCTTGTAAAGCAGCAGTTCGGGTTTTGACGCGACACACAAGAAACGAGAGGCCAAGAAACATGCTGCCCCCTTCCCCCCCAAGTCATTTCGCTGTTGGTCGTTGCATGTGTGTATGTGTTGCCTGGGGCCGGCCTCATGCTCAGAGGTGTTGAGCCAAATGAGGTTGGGATCTTTGGAGTAGTTGGGCGGGTCCGGCGGCTGGAACACGACCTTCGTGAGCATCGCCCCCATCAGCGGATGGCGGATGCGGGCGCACGGGCGCCGCGCGGATTGGGTGAGACGAGGGCCGGCACTGCAAGTGGCGCTTCCCCTCCTAAAGTGGCAAATAGTGACTCAATGGCTAAAATCGCTGAAAGGATTTCAAGAGATGTGTTGGAGAAGACAAAAGCAACACTCGGCAGGACATGGTGTTTGTGGCCTACTCTGTTCTGCAACTGCTCTCGGCTCCTAGTCCAGCCGTTCTAGAGCCGCTTGGACATCAAAGCAGGCTGACTCCAGAGCAGGTGGGGGTTAGCAAAGCCAACATGACGTGGGGCCCCCCGTTCCTGAGGTGTATCATGAGAAAGGCAACAAGCCTCTAGGGGCAAGGTCTCACATTTGCACGCTTGCACAAGCAGGAAACTCACACCCGGAGTAGCTCCTCCCGCCCCCTGAAAGCGGAGACCCATTCCAAAAAGCCAAGGATGCACTCCAAAGTGAACCGGGAGCTTGCTTGATTGGGGGGTAGCGGTTAACAAAAAACAAACTTACATGACTCCAACTGTTTTGCAACATTCACTGGAGTTTTGGACATCCCAAAGCTAATCAATGGGTCCGGTTCGCTTTTTTCCGTGCCAACCACGTACACCTGAAGCTCCCCTCAAATCGAACTGCCCGAACATCTTGCCTGGGCATGGGCGGCATCCCGGGTAAGGAAGTACTCCTCCTTCCACCAGCCCTGGCGAATGCAACCCTCTGGAAAACGGTTTGGATGTGGCTCTTGTGGATCCACCCTTAGCCTTGTAGGATATTAGAAGGGTACCAAAAGATCACAAAAAACAAGGACCAGGGGGAAGCCCGGTGAAAAAGACAAGGAGCGCATCCAGACTGTTTTCTAAACACCGATTAAAAACAGAACAAAAACACACATCAACTTCCGCAGCCCGCTTGGAACCCCCTCATGGCTTGGGATCGAAAGTGGAACTTGTGGCCTGCTTTCGCATCTGCACATCTTGGCGAGCTGCGGCAGCCAGAAAAAGCACATGGAAGAGAATCACCACCTGGGCTCTTAGCAACCGCGATGCCATCGAGGCCGGAAAAATGAGCGCCATGCGAAAGCAATGTGGAGAATGGTCCAAAATACAGTTTCCGACGATTGTCCCACCTGAAACCGAGAGGGGACCCAAACCGAAACCCCAATGTCTGTTGCTTACATGGCCAGGAGGCTGCGGCCCATCGTTTCCCAGGCAAGAAACAGGCCAGTTCTAAAGCGGGGAACTTGCAACCCGACAAATCAAAGAGCACTTCCCCTCTGGCTGGCAGTGACAAAGGAACGAATTTCTGTCGACACGCGTGACACTCATGCCCAGGTGGACAGCTCGAGGCTTGTTGGGCAGAATTAAGCAGGGCAATAGCAAACGCTTCTGGAAGAACTCCCGGCATGGACAACCTGAGTGGTGATTGAAATATTCCCTTCAAACTTCTCGCAGCGAGGTGAGGAACCGGCGTGCCCTCTGCCAAGGGGAGAGCCCTTTCCACAGGTCGCTCCAGTTGCTGATCCGTGAAAAATGCAGGCCTCGGCTCAAATTCAAAAAACCGAGCACCAAACAGTCGTGTAGTTTGCCAACTCAACAGTGTTCCAGAAAAAGGAGTAAATCCACCAAACTTGCCGGTTCTCAGCAGGGTATGAGAAATGGAATGACTCTGCAAAAGCCATCCATCCTACGTATGTCTTCCGTTACCGAAATCCCCTTCCAGTTCATTCCCAAACCCGGAAGAAGGTCCTTCCCTACCTGTCGCAGCCAACCCCAAAAAAAAAAAAAAACGCCCCACAGTCGCCGGGACCAGCCTCTGGCTCCTTCTTTTGGAGGGTTTCCCATGGAACTCCAAGGCCCCTTAACCCTCCATTTGCTTAAGTCCCCTGGAAAAAAATAACATATTTCCAGTAGTGATCCATTCCCCTTAAAAACCAACAGGGGAAAATACAAAATCGTCTTGACCAAATGGAAGTAAGGGGACCCACCAAGTTACACCCTCGGCCCCGAAGCCGCGGCGCCCACAGCGCTACAGCCGCTGCCGAGGACCACCAGGCACTCTCCTCAACGGCGCGAGCCGCTCGAAGCGGGCAGCGGTGCTACATGGCTGGTTGGTTGGGTGGTTGGTTCATTGGGTGGTTGGGTGGGTGGGTGGGTTGGGTTGGGTTGGGTTGGTTGGTTTTGTGTGTCTGTTTGATGGCTGATCAAACCGTTTCGGACCAAACTTGGACGGAATTGGGAAATCGCAGTGTCAGATCTGCGTTTTGTTTGGCCAACGTGCAACCTTTGTCGGAGGTTAGGTGTTTACTTGATGTAAGCCAGGCGGATGGCGCTGGAAGCGCTTTGGCCCCCAAAAAGCCTAACCTTCCAAAGCTCTACACGCCTAAAGCCCTAAATCCTTCAAGCCCGCAACCCTGAACCTGATGCCCCTGGCACCTGGGCTCAAGTCCTAGCAAAAGCCCCAACCGACCGGGAGAGACATACGTTTCTCCTTCTCGGTGCTTGCCACGTGACTTGCTGGTTCTCAAAAGAGCCCGGGTTTTGGGAATGAACCGAAAGGGGAATCCCTTAAATGAAAATCACAAGGGATGGTCTGTAAAGGGGTCATTCCATTTCTTGATGCATTCTGGATTGTCACGCTTTTTGTTTATCCTCCTGGGTCTTCAAAGATCCTATTGGGTGCTTCGGCCAGTTGGCTAGAAAATGTTGAGGTTGATTCCCCGTCCTGTTGCACCATCGTTGTTTTCAAACGCCAGTATTCTTCATGCCTTGGCGGTTTTGAGCAAAGGATCCCTGGAAACCATGGGAAGCTTAAGCCTCGAGTTTATCCATGGCGTACCCAGGCCTCCAATTTCCCCCTTTGAACGCCAAAGGACGGCCGTTTAATTCCAGACCCGAAAGCAGGGAAACTTAGGGAGCCCTCTGCGGGGCAGAGTCACGAAATCCTGGGTTTCAAGCACATCTGTGCTGAATTCAAGACTCCCAAGGTCCCGAAAGAGGAAGTATAAATGGCAACCCCACGGGAAACCCCGTAAGAAACACATACTTCAGCAACCTCATGGGAAACCAACCTCAATTTGGGGTGAGCCCACCCAGAACTCAAACTCGCCTCGCGCAGGCTGAGCGCGGAGGCCCCCAAAGCCTCGCACATCACGCCATTGGCTCGAGAAAAGCGGGGACCCGCAGGTCCCAAGGCCGGAGGAACTTCTGCGGAAAGGACGCACGGGTTTCTCTTCAGCAGAGCCAAAACCAAAAAAAAAAAAACAATCCGCTGACTGAACTACTCCTTGGGGGCTGTCCCCCTTTGGGGTTCCACGTCATAAATATAAGGCTCGAACCTGGAACGTGCATCTGTCCGTGCCGACGGAATGAGCTTCGGATCTTTGCGCGTGCCAATTTCTCTGCTGGTGAACTTCCATCCACGGATTCTTGAGCCCATCCAACACTGCCCTGTGATTGGTGGCTGATGCCACTCTGCGCATCTCTGTGTCCTGGGCCGCCTTCCCCTCGCCTCGCCCTTTGAGCTATGGCGGCTACGGCCCGAGCGTCACAGCCTTCAAAGCGAGCCCCATTCAAGATCCCCGAAGGGTACTGCATCGCCAAAGGCACACCCCATTTCCTGTGTTGGATCTGGCCACTGCATCCAGCCGAACACACGGCCAGGGCTGACCTTCTTAAACTGCTTCTACCGCTTAGCCAGTAGGGCACAATGAACACGACATCGCGCATAGATGGCAAAACCAGCCAACACATCTCAACCGCAGCACCACTTCAGCGCAAACTCAGGGTAGGGTTTGAAGCTTAGAGTCTTGCCCGCCTAGACGAAGCCCCAACGCCAAAGGCCAACCAGGCGCTGCTTTCACGCCCGACGGACATGAGGACAAGAACAAATTTGACAATGAATTGCCCTCAAAAGGGGATTGCGGCGAGGAAAGCAAAGGAACAAGTAAGTGGCATTCTGTGTTTGCATGTGGGCACATCGTGCAGGTCTTCAGTGATTATTGTGCCTGTCTGTCTAGAAACTACAAAGCATTAGGTACAGTACAAGTACGCATGAGCACCCCGGATCTGCCAAACGAAGTCCAAAAAACTGAGATGCGGTGGATGGACAAAATCCCGCACCAGTTGGTAGGTGGTTTATCCCGATGGTACAGGATTTCGTCCACCTATCATTCCAAATAAATCCTCATTGTACCTCCAGCCAAAAACCTGGTAACCCGATCCGCAATCCATTTACGCACCCCAAGAGCTGCCTCCGGCAGTGTTTGTTGGAAGAGGTCTGGGCCCAGTGCTCATACAAAAAGGAATCCCGAAACCCAAGATTTCTTGTTTTGTGTGGGGGTCTTAGGACAACCCTGCTTGTCCTTCACCGGTTTCTGAAACGAAACGCAACCCCCGCAGTTTGCTGAGGGCCGTCGCCTCACGCCCGCTCCGTGGTCCGTGCGCGCGTCGCGTGGACGCGTGGACCGAGGCGAGCCGGAACGGCTTGAGCCAAGCGGCGTGACTCGGCTCTGTGCCAAAGGCCTATGAACCGAGTGGGCAGCTCATCTTTTTTTAGAACTCGGACCCCCCCCCCGCCCAAATGGCTTCGGTTTGCGGCCTTTTGGTTTCCCTTTGAAACCGACCAGAAAGCAGAAAGGGAACCCTCAAAAGACACCTGAATCATTTCACAGATGCCAGGGTTGTACTCTGCCTTTGGGAAGCTCGGGTTCCATGGCTGAAAAAGTCCGTCACAATCAAAGCTTTAGCTTAGATAATCTCGTCCCCAAAGAACCCCAGATATCATTTCAATGCCTTTTGCTGTGCTGGGGAAGGCCTGCCCTGACATTCCAGAACCCTTCACTTGGCGCAAACGGCGACACAGCTGATACCCCAACCTCCTGTAGATCCCCGGTTGGATCTGTTTGACCTTGAAAAAGGTGCAAAACCTGCAAGAAAGCGTCAGTACAACTACATGGCAACTGCTCTTCGAGATGATCCCCCGAAAGCTTGCGACGATCGCACGACCTCAAACGGGCTTCTGCGGCCCGCCGCCCGCTGCTCGCTGTGGCGTATGCCAAAGCCCGTCGCGTGGCACTTTTCACCGGCACGTCGGGCACCCACTTGGAAGCGCCGACAGCGCAAACCGCCCGCTTCTCACGCCGAAACCGGAAAAGGGGAAGCGGACGGGAGGACCCGCCCCACATCTCCTTGGAAGATGAGGGGCAGGAGAACGGCTAAAGCTAAGCTTTTATGCCCCGCCATGCTGGCCGAATCAACTGCTGACTTTGAGCTGGCCATTGCTTTGCGCAGGAACCTACCCACAACCAAATCTCCACAGATCTTTGGATGACTTCACAACTTTGTCGAGGCCTTCTACCTCTGACATGTTTAGATTCTGGTGCCCTGCACCTAATTCCTTCGGTGCAAGGCACGCCGACGGCGCTACAGGCGCAAATGGGTGCAAGAGCGGCTGGGTCTTTTGTCTGGGTCAGTCGACGGACTTGCCACAAGCCGCTTAAGAGGCCACTCCCCTCCACAAGCTTAGCTAAGCGAAGGCGAGCATCTTGGAATGGGTCCCGGCCAGATCAACAAATCGTTTATGAACCTGTATAACCTGTGAAAAAATACCTTCCTTGTTGGTGTCTGTGTTGTGACATGGTCGTGGCCAATGGACACTACTTACCTCTGGTCGAAAGTTGAAACCAGCGTCGGAATTCTCCGTGCAATTTGTCGGAAGCGTGCATGAAAAATCCTTCAGTTGAAGCGAGAGCCTAGCGGCGAACACAAAGGCGACAGAGGCTTCATCATGGTAAGGTTCGGTGACTGGCGCGGGAGCACCTCCGGTGGCAGGTCCTGGCCAAGACAGGAAGACCATAAAAACCCAGCCCACCCCGGTGTTTTTTTGGGGTTGGTCTAGGTGGCGTTGTCACTTGAAAAAGGTAAATGTTAACTGATTGATTGATTGATTGATTGATTGATTGATTGATTGATTGATTGATTGATTGATTGATTGATTGATTGATTGATTGATTGATGTTTGATTTATGTACTTATGTATGTATCCATTCATTCCTTAATTGATTGATTCATTGATTGATTAAATGGGTGAATGAATGAATGAATGAATGAATGAATGAATGAATGAATGAATGAATGAATGAATGAATGAATGAATGAATGAATGAATGAATGAATGAATGAATGAATGAAAGGAAAATAAACGAAAGGAACAGAATTGAACAGACAACTAAATAAATGAAGTGAATGAATGAAATGACACGAAATGGCACGAAATGAAATGAAATGAAATAACACGAAATAAAATGAATTGAAATGAACTGAAATGGAATAACACGAAATATAATGAATTGAAATGAACGGAACTGAAATGACATGAAATGAATGGAAATGGAACGGAAATGGAATGAATGAAAGAATGAATGAAAGAATGAACGAATGAATGAATGAATAAACTAAGACATTAATATATATATATATACATATGTAGCAGGGGACGCCATGGGGGCTGAGTTTTTCAGATTCCTGGGGGTTGCGTTTCATCAAAAGCCAACCCAAAAAAAACAAAAAACAAGAAAAGGCTCATCATCTTCATCTGCTCATTCAAGGCCTGGGGGTGGTTGAAAAGGAAAAGGAAAATGGTTGGGGAGCCAAAAAAAAAAAAACGCCCGTCATCTTCATCTGCTCATTCGAGACCTGAGGGTTGTTGTTGTGAAATTTGTGTTTGTTCTTTTGGCTTTTTTGTTGGGTTGTTTGGTGTGTTTTGGTTTTCGTGGTTTGCTTGTTTTTTTTTTTGGATTTTAGGGTTGGGGAAGCTAAAAAACAAAAAACAATCAAGTAAAGTTACAAACTAAGAAAAACAAAAACACACCCACCATCTTAGAATCTTCATCTGCGCGTTCGAGACAAGGGGTTGGTTAGAATCATCATTTTTAACAGAATCAGTCCAATTCAAGTTCTGTTTAGACAAACAAGTTGTGATTGGATTCATTCCTTATCAAATTATGCGTCTTAAGCTCTGATTGAATTGTAAAGTTATCTTGGGAAAGGAACTCCGTCTCGAGTCTATATGCAAGATGCAATTTGCAGTAGGGTTCTCATGAAGCATTTCCGTATTGAGTCCCAATCAAATCCTATTGAAATTCAAAGTGAATTTTAAAGAGCGGCTGTTGGTGGAGATGTGAATTGAGTAATAAAACCGCTACGAAAGGCTGTTTTACGGTTTTTCCTGACCATGGTAGTGCTGGGGCTAGTAAGCCAACAAAAGCACTAGCAGTCCTTATGACTTAATAGCTTTACCAAAGTCTACTCATTTTCTGACTGAAATTAAATAGAAATTCCTAAGGACAAAGTCCAATCAGACTTGCAATGTTATGCAGGAACATGTATTCAACTTTTGCGGGACCGCTGAGTTCTTTCCCTATGAATGCTACTGACAATATTTATCAAGTTCTACCTAACGTCTATCTCACACTAACTGGCATTCCAGCCATTTTATGGTTTGAACTATCATTTAATTAATGATTATTCTATGTCAAAATAGATGCTACAGGCGTCCTTTCCAATAGAACCGGCTTTGCAAATCAGTAGGCATTTGAACAACGTGTAGCAATTTTGGGACCTCTAAGTTATGTCTTATGAATTCTACTGAACATTTGTATCAAGTTCAACTTAAATTCCAACTAAAATTAAGAAGAATTAAACAAGGAGCGAGTCCCATCAGAGGAAACAATCGCAGCCCCCAGGAAGCCCCCAGGGATCTGAAAACACACAGCCCCCGCGACGTCCCGCCCTCTATATATATATATATATATGTGTGTGTGTGTGTGTGTGTGTGTGTATATGTGTACAAATATATTACTGTTGTATGCCTACTTAGATGCATATGTGGGTACATGTTCGGCCTCATGATGTTTCTCGGGCCAATGTCTTTGAGTAACGGCACTTCAGCTTCAAGCCAGCCCAGGCTCACGAGACTCATGCTAGCTGTTCAGCTTCAAAGCCCTCCATCAGAAAAGATGGCGAGACGCGCAAAGTATAGTTGATGCCCCACATCAGGCTAGGGGTTGGACCCTTGCCCATAAAACCCTTAGGGTTTGGAATGGACCGGATTTGACGTCGCGCCCAAACTTCCCACAAGACTCGGGTGCACACAGTTCCGCTCGAATGAATGGATATCTACACCGCACCTGCCGATGCACAGCATTCAACAAGGGCTTAATCGCGCCGGTGCCCCCAATACATGTCGAAATGATAAACACCGAATGGGCAGACAGAGGGCGAGGTAGATACACTCCCACCCACCAAGGCAGGATCTCTCTGAACGTCCCCTTAGCACCAAGGTCTGGCCCAAGAGCGACATGAGCAGCTATGCATATCTCGGAGATGCCTGCAATCAAAAGGTAAAAGACGGAAGAGAGAGAAGAGGGAAAGAGAGAAAGAGAGAAAGAGAGAAAGAGAGAAAGAGAGAAACAGAGAAAGAGAGAAAGAGAGAAAGAGAGAAAGAGAGAAAAAGAGAAAGAGAGAAAGAGAGAAAGAGAGAAAGAGCGAAAAAGAGAGAAAAAGAGAGAGACATGAGAGAAAAAGAAATAAAAAGAGAGAGAGAGAGAGAGAGAGGAAAGAGAGAAAAAGAGAGCGAAAAAGAGAGAAAAAGAGAGAGACATGAGAGAAAAAGAAATAAAAAGAGAGAGAGAGAGAGAGAGGAAAGAGAGGAAAAGAGAGAAAAATGAGAGAAAAAGAAATAAAAAGAGAGAGAGAGAGAGAGAGAGAGGAAAGAGAGGAAAGAGAGGAAAGAGAGGAAAGAGAGGAAAGAGAGAATGAAAGAGAGGGAAAGAGAGGGAAAAGGAGAGAAAGAGAGGGAAAGAGACGGAAAGAGGGAGGGAAGAAGGGAGGGGAGGGAGGGAGGGGAGGGAGGGAGGGAGGGAAGGGAAGGGAAGGGAAGGAAGGAAGGGAAGGGAGGGAAGGGAAGGGAAGGGAAGGGGGAAGGGAGGGAGGGGAGGGGGAGGGAGGGAGGGGGAAGGGAGGGAGGGAGGGAGGGAGGGAGGGGGGAGGGAGGGAGGGAGGGAGGGAGGGAGGGAGGGAGGGGAGGGAGGGGAGGGAGGGGAGGGACGGGAAGGGAGGGAGGGGAGGGAGGGGCGGGTGAGACAGAGCGAGAACAACAACAAAAACGGAGACAAAGAGACAGAGAGACGCCAGACAGGGAGGGGAGACAGAGAGACAAAGAGACAGGGGGAGTGTGTGTGTGGGGGTGGGAGTGGGAAAGCAAACTTCACAGACTCGGCCCGATCTGCTCCGCCTCAAGGGGAAGCAAACTTGTGCTTCAATTTCAGGCCTTCCCCACAAAAGTGCTCTAGATCAGTACCATTCAGCACCCTTTGTGCTCCTCCAGCGATTGACAAACAGGGCATGCCCCTGCCTGCAAATGGTTTTCGGTGAAGCTACAACTGCCTGCGGGTTCATCCCTTCACGTGTTTGGTGCCACCTAAAATGGGTGTTGATGACCAACTTTAATGAAGCCACCAGAGCAAAATCGCGAATCATCTTAAATTGACAAATCTTGGTATGGTAGCAAACTTAACAACAGTAAAGTCAAGCAAATGGATGAGTTTCAATGCCATCTATGCCAGTACTCCGCAAGCGCCGCGCGACGGGAGGTCCTCCCCCACTGGCGGCAAAGGCGACAAGTCCTCGGAATCCTTGCCTCGAAAGCTCCTCCACACAGAATGCATCGCGAGCGGTACAAAACACTCTGAGTCATAACTTTTATAACTAGAACTTGGCATCTTAGGGGGGGTCTGCCCGGTACCAGAATCCCAGAGTTCAGAACCCCTGGCTGATTGAGAATGGAGGGGGGGCGCTACTCAATGGGGTCTGGACCACTTTGGGGAGCAGGGATGGCCAGGTTGATTGATCATTGATCCGGGGTCAACATCAGCTGCTTGCAAACGCAGACCTCACAGAATCTCTGAAGCTCACGCTGCAAGTTGACAAGGGCTAATCTTCTATGGTCGAACCTGTGAGCTTGCCTTGAAGGAACAATGGCCCCCAAGTAGCATACCCTGACAAAGATGGCAGTCAATGGTTCGGGTCCTTGCCCGAAAGTCATCACTGGAGAGCCTTCTGAGGAGTACATTCCCTGCTCGCAGAATAACAATTGGCTCAGCTGATTCTGCGCAATCCCGTGACCTCGGGCCCTCGGCCCATGCGTTCCACCCATTTCGGGCATGCACTTTGCGGAAAGCTAGATGTTTGAGAAACATCGCCTGTTGATGTTCGAATCCTTTCCAAAGCCCTTCTCCTCCTCTCGAGGCCGAGCTCGTACAATCGCTGCTGGATTCCGGCCATTCCTGGGTGCCAAGGTGTCAAGGTCGACGGACTGAGCCATTGAGGGGAACACCGCCCCACCCACCCCGCGGTTCTCAAAACCTTGTTCGACATTTTTGGAGGCGGTCTTAAAGGGTTCTGAGAATCTTTCGGGCGGGTAGGGAAAGAGGCCCCAACATCGCTTTTGAGGAAAGCTGACCTGCAACTATGCACGAAGTACAGCCATATGACGCGAGTGGACACATGGAGCGTCCCTGACATCGACTTGTCGCCAAGCTGCTGGTCTGATTTTCAACATTGCGCTCCTGCCATGCGCTCAGTCAGGCTCAGTCACGAATAAGGCAGAAATATTTCCGCCAGCTCGTCAAGAAGCCTGTAACCATGCAAGCTTACCGGTTGTTAGTGACAAACGCCTTTGGGCCCAACCAGGTATGGCTTGCCCAAGCAAATGGTGCAGTGACTGCCAGGGTTGAGCAGGTGAAACAGGATAAAAACATGGTACAACAATGGATGCCTTCGCTCAAGCATGGGCCACTGAAAAACAAATGAGATGCCAAGTTGAGCCTGGGGCGAACCCGTCAAGGAAAGGCCCCTTCCGCAACGCAGCGCGCTTGACCACAAAACCACGAAGCCAGTGCAAACACCTGGAAATCCAGAACAAGAAATGCAAACACAACATGTTAAAACTTGAAACCAGAAACAACTGCGGACAAGCACCAACATTCATCACACCCCTGTGTTCTGCGCAGGTTGAAAAAGCGGAGGATCTACATGCCCTGCAACTTCACGTGGAACCAACCAAAGCTGAGTGCCCCCAAAGAAGATTCTTTGCACATGGCCCATGGGGTTCCTTTACAGCTCCAAGCCGGAAGAAATCCTCAGGGCCATGAATCTTGGAGTCCGGATAGGTGCTCTCATTTTGAGACCTCAAAATTGCCAACCCAATTCAAACCCACATGGTTTTGTGCTGAAATGGGCCCACAGCTTGGTCTCCCCTTGCTTTCCCATGCAGATTGCTCTGCGACATCTGTCCTTTTGCCCTTTTCCAAGCAAAATTCGCGGACTGCGGACCAGGCCTTTGCGACATCTGCCCTTCTGCCCTTTGCCCAAAGCTCTCTAAAACCGACCGCTGCCCGCTGCCCACCGCTCCTTGGACCAGAGCCGCATCTCCGCCAGGTCCAAGGCCTTTGCAGGGCCCCTCAGCCGCAGGCAGCCCTGCACAAACCTCGCTGGATGCAGCGATCGGGAGATCGAGCGGATCCATCGGGGAGAGGGGATGGAGCAGCAGGCCACCCGTCCGAAGAGATGAATCCGAGGAGTCCCTACGAAATGTCCAGGTTGTACCGCACAAGGGCTTTTGGTGACAGAAAAGGTCTCTTGTGCACAAGCACGTTTTTAACAAGTGGCCTACCCAGAGAATCTGGGATAGACCAATGGCCTTTTAGTTGATGATTGGTGTGACGGAGTGGTTTTCACTTGGCTTTAATTCTTATCTAGTGTAGGAATCGACCCCAAGGGTCATGTTGACCGAGAAGGGCTGAAACGAAATGAACTCCTGTGACGACCTGGCAATGGGAGCGCCTACCCTATGCTTCCACTGACGGAAAATCACACAACATGCATTCTTAATGTCCCGGTCTGCAAATAGTTGCACGGGAGCGGCGTCGAGGCCCTCATAGGTCGGCGTCTGTTGACTCGTTTGCGGGGTCCTTCAGAAACAGTCGAGATTGGGCCACAGAGAGGCTTGAGTGTGTTCAATTAATGGTCCTTCTGTTGTGCAGACGGTGGGGAGGGAACGCATGACGGCCGAAACGTGGAAGCGCGCAGTGGCACCTCCCAAAATATCCAATAACTGCCAATAACCGAAAGGAATACAATGGAATGCACCAAAGAGGGGCCTGGCAGAGGACACTTTTGAGTTGGATGTATCTTTTTTTGAGGGCACCCATTTTGGGCCGGTTTCAAGGGAGACCAAAAGGAAACCACTGTTGGGGGTCCCTTTGTGAGACCCCATTTTTCCTGGCGCCCGACTCGAATCGCGGTGGCTTCAAACCAGAGAGTTCGACAACCAGTCCGTCACTCTGGGCATTTCTGACTTTGGAGGTCGATTGAGCGCTAGAAACCACGGTTTTTGTTTCACTGGCCAGCCTGGCAAAAACCTCCAGGCTCTCCAGATCCAAGCCACTACCTGCTTTTGCTCAACTTGATCGCACGACTCCCCAATTTCGGGACCCAGGGAAGCCGCGAAATCCCCGACGCCGCGCACAAGCCATTCAAGGCGGTTCACGGAAAGCACTGCTCCTACGAACCATTGGCCATCTATGTCTGGATCCGAAACATAGGCCCCTGAAGCATCTTCTGAAACCTTGAGCGACGACGCCAAAGAGTTCTATAGATTTCCCCTCGCAACCTCGAAAGACTTTGCAATGTCAGAAACAAGCCACGGAACACATGTGAGCCCAGTGTCAAAGGTTCCTTTGGAAAAGCCTGAATCCTTCCACGTCGTTGCCTTGCCTCGACAGAATCACCACTCGCTCCAATCGGTTGCCCGGATTTTCCCGAAAACCTTTGGGGCCATGGAGCTCGACGATGCTGAGACTTCCGGAATCATCCCGGTCCAGGAATTGAAAGAGGTCGTCCGCCTCGCCGATTTCAAGACCTGAGCGAGAGGAGGCTTGGAGCAAACCTGCTGGAACTTCGATGGACGCCAGTCTTTAGCTTCTGGAGATGTCAAAGAAAAGATGGTGGAACCCTGGCATGGCCAAGTGTCAACAGTAGGCCCGTTCAAATGGTTTTCTTCTAGCTGTCTATCAGGCAACGAGCATCCCTGTTTAAAGAAATGTGAAGAAGACAGCGCTGGCCGAATTATCAAGCAGCAGGGGCTGCCCCCCCGCCAAACACTTGAGCACGGCACCGATGGCCATCAGATACTTCTCCATAGCCTCGCGTCGCCGCTGCCGGGTTCCCACTGCTTACCCCGGCTGGCCAATGTTCAACGGGCCCCGCGGATCTACATCTTTTCTGCCATTTGAGAAGCCTAAGAAAAAGGATAGGCAGATCTTTGGCAAGCTGGTTCGGTTTCTTGCACGCGGGCCGCGACATACCTACTGCGCACACACTTGCACCACATCCAGGTTCAAAGTAGCTCATGTACACATGCAAAGTTCCTGCTGGGCCGCGCGCCAGCTTTGAGCCATGAGCGAAAGAAACCTAACTACCTTTCCACAGCACATCGTGTTTAACAGAAGCAAAACCGTGGTTGACTCATTGTCGCCAAAAGGGAAGGTTTGAAGCATTGTCTGATTGGAATAATGCAGCATGTCCAACGGGATATGTGCGCTGAAGGTCGAAACCACTCGAATCTCGATGCCCGCGATAGCGCAAAGCTCATCTGACGGTGGTTCACCAGAGTTGCACTACAACCTTGCGTCGCACAATAGGTATCTGGAACACACACACACACACAAAACAATGAAATATTGGACGTGTGCAGGCCCCAAGACTCAAACTGCAACCCTGATCGCAATACGTAGCTAAAAAATGCTGAATGCCAAAAAACAAACACGAATGGGCAAAAAAGTTGAGATCTCGCTGGCACACATCGATACTCCCACATCTGTCGCTCCCATTTGGGCTTATTCATTTGAAAAAAAAAGCTGCAAAGAAAACACGTGCTATGAATGTGCCACCGTGTTTTGAGTCTTGCATGAATGACGAATTTCCGGAGTCGCATATTCCCAGCTGTTTGGTGGCACTCTCTGAATCCCTTTTTGCTTGGAATTCCCACTGAAAAGTGGTCAGGGTTCTGGGCGGCTGAGTATAGGTTTGCTATATAGACCCATGGCAGGTTGCAGTTGTCTGAACGGAGTTGTGTTGGGAAGGGCAGGCATTGGGCATGAAACCATCGTTTTCTTGGAATATGCAGCTTGGGGGAGCTTTTCAGCGCATTCGTATCCCACGGCCCGCGAGGTGATCCAAATGCACATCCTGATGCAGGGAGCTTGTTGAACATGTCGTTGGTTTTCCCAAAAGTCTCTCCAACAGGGATGGACTTCAAGAAACGTTAGGATCCCCTAGGTTCCCAGAAAGAAATCCCTGCGGGATGGGGCCTTTTTGGGGCTTTGCCAGGAAAACTGTGTAAACTTCTGATTCGCCCAAAGCCCCACGGCACCCGACCCGCCGACCCGCCTCCGTCGTCACGAGCTGATCGAACTCCGCCTTGGACAGCTCACTGCCCGCCTGCTTCCCCGTCTGCACGAAGATGTCCGCGGCCATGCGCACCAACTCGTCCCGCTTCCTCCGCCGCACAAAGGTCCAACCCTGAGACCAAGCATGAGATGAATTCAGATCCTTGAAATGCAAAATCAGATCGGAGACCCCCAGAAACAAAAGCGATGAGGTTGGCTGGGATCTACAGAAACCAACAAAAAAGGCCACGATCCCGAGGATTGAGAAGCATCTGCACTCCTGCACCTCACCAACCTGAGTCAAGGTATCTCCATGGGCCCAGGTTAATGGCAGCCCTGGAAAAGATCACCTTAACCCTAGTCCATTGACCCTAGGCCATTGCGCCAAGGTCAACCTAGGTATAAAAATCCCTTGCCCACTTCCGATCGGGCGGATTGGCCAAGTCCAAACCAAAGAAGTATCAAGTCCGGCAACTGGGGGAACGAAGCTTACGCCAAGGCCATTCTTTCAGCTTCCCTCAAAAAGGGTGGTTTGGATTGGCATCCAAGCCGCCAGTTGCGTCATGGATTTCCAAGGGAGGCTACGGGGAAGGGGGGGCTATCCCTTATTAACCCCTTAAAAAAGGCCTTAAGGGCATCCGGCTTGTCCTGGCCTTTTCCAGGATACCCTTTCATGGTAGCCTAAGGATACCTGAGACAGGGGTTCAAATCCAAATCCAAACCACCAAACCACCAGTTCAGGGTTCCCCACCAATTAACATGGAACTTGACTGGGGGTCCTGGTTTGCACCACGTTCCTTTAAAGGGCCGGGTCCCGAACGTGGGGCTCCATATGAATTGGTGGGAGGGCAACCCGCTGGCAAGACACACATCCCATGGGCCCGAGCGAGGCGCATGTCCGCGATCATCTCCTGGGCGCCTTCCACCAGGACGCCGTTCCTCAAAAAAATGCCAAACCGGCCCCCCCCAAAAACCGCACACACAGATGCCCACAGAGATGCCCACCCCAAAACCAACCAAAAGTTGGCACGTTTGAATCGGAAGGTTCTCCTTTTGAGGATTGAGTCTTGAGTTTCCAGGGGGTAGCACCTTTCGCCCTGACCCCACCTGCCACTTGCCACCCCCCCTCTGCAGGCCGTGTCTTCTTTCGATTGCACCCCGTTTGGGAATCCAAACGGGGGCGGAGAAAAAGAAGAAGAGAAAGCGAAGCTACTCTGCGCATCTGCCATCTCGGCTTTAGCCGAGCCTCACCAAATTCAGCATCACCACCAGCACGAAGCCGACGAAGAGCGCCAAGACCATGCTGTTGATGATGTACCACCCCGAGCCCTGCCCAAAGACCAGCAGCATGTTGTGCCAGTCCTCCCCACACGGGCGGACGGGCGAATGGGCGGGCTGGCTCGGAGAAACCGAAGAGAAACGATGGTCTCCACTGCGATACCCTCTTCCCAAGAGAACCAACGAATGCACAACCCACGAAGGAAACATCAATATCATATAACCGGTCGCATAGCCAAAAGTCCTTCTGGGGGGAAGGGGCTTAGAGTTGAGGGGCAATAGAAACCACCAAGCGCAATACAGTGAGATGAACATCCGGCAAGCCCTCGTTGAAGACTTGGGAACCCTCTTGTGACTTTGTTCTTGGGAAGAGGAAACCCCCGTCCTCAACTTGGCTCATACCGAAGTTGAGGGTCCTCTATTTTGAGGCAAATTTGGGCAATTGGAAGAATGGGCGCTGAGTTTGCTGGGGGGTCGCCAATTGTGCAGTTCATGGCGCTGCTGATGCTACGACAACGCGGCCATATAAAAGCGGCGCTCAAACACAGGCCCTGATTTCCAGAACCGTTTGGACATTCCTTGTTTTACAGGGGCCCATTTTGGTGTTGCTGCAAAAGGGATCTAAGAGAACCCATTTTGGGGTTGCCTTCCTCGCATTCAACCGGGAGCCGGCTCGATCAAACCGTCCTCCCCGCCAAACACGGCCAGGAAGAGGGAGTTCATCGACGAACCCGTCGAGCCCCAGTATGCCTCTCGGACCCACCGGAGGACCCCTCTTCCCGGCCGGGCCGTTGGGTGGACCAAAGCTCTTGGGATATGACTGATATGACTCAAACGAGGCTCCATGGCTGCCCCGAACCTAAGCCAACCAGGGCCTAAGACTCAGATCCGGCCTACAAGCCTCCACAAGGGCGAGCTTTTGGGACCACGTCGGAATGGGAAATTGATGGGGGACAAGGTCGACGTTAGTAAAGGCACGACCCCTTTTCCTAAGCAAAGAGGAGGAGTTTGGAACACTACAAGAATGAGGGTAAATTTGTCAATTGGGAAAATGTCATTGTCTAAAAGGTGAAGAGCGAAAGGGCGAACCAAAACAGCGACCATTCATGTGACCGAAGTGCCGCCAATCGCAACAAAGCCCATAGCATCCCCACAATTGCGGGAATTTAAATTGGGTTGGATCCTATGACCAGGAGACACCACAAAGCACACGCAGGACCAACGCCTCTGGTACCCCATCACAGGATTGCCCTGCAAACCTCCCAAGAAGGCCTGCACTGCCGCGACTGAGCCAGCTTCCACAAATTGATCGGACACCTCGGACAATTGGCAGCGCTCGCTTTGGAGAACCCAGGGTCAATGGCCCAAGCACGGGATCCACAGCCTTTTCCAGGGCGAATCTGTTTGTGGAGCTCTCACCCGCAGAGAAACACTAAAAACACAGTTCTTGGGGGGGCATTTGGAGACAAAGGCATTTCCGCCGCAGGCCTTTTTCTGGGCCCAAAAGAAGATCGCTTCTTGATTCGAGGCCCCAAACGGTCCAAGCCCCTTGTTTGGCACTAAGACGATCCTCCCAAAATAGCGCGTGAGTCGTCCAAAACGCACGAAGAATTCCTTTTCCCCGCCATGGAGCGATGGTGAAGTAGAGCGCCACGAGGTAGAGCAGCAGCATCATCAGCACCGCAGCCCAGAAGAAGGAGGACAGGGACTGCAACATCAAGGAGAGCGTGAAGTTCAGCTCGGGCACCAGTTGAAACCTCCCCACGGAGCTTTTTGTTACAAAAAGCTGTAGCCGAAAAAGGCCATGGAGACAGAGTCTTGAATAAAAAGCCTAGGCAGCTCATGGAAGCTAAGTTCCATGATTGCGGAATCAGGACTGTGGGCGTGGGACAGGGGAAGTTGCGAAACTTCTGGTGACTGCCCGTATTTGTCGGCAGGTGTTTGTGGCCATTGGGGCCGCCACGGGCCAGACAGTCAAAAGCCCCAGTCACGGCTGTAAACATGGGTGATGCCTGAAACTCTTACGCATGATCTGCACGGTGGCCACAAGAGAAAAGCGATTCATCATGCATCAGGCAGTCTACCCTAGAAACACAGAAAGCAATCCCCTAATAGGGACGCCCTCGGGGCAGCTTCTTTCCCTACTGTGCACAACACCCACGGCTTTGCGCCAACTCTACATCTCGGTTCAAAATGGAGTGTTGGCCAATCCTAATCCATAATCCCCATATTGTACAACCACTACAAAAGGGGCCCCCTTTCGTAAACCAAGGCAAGGATCTTGCGGATTGCCTTTGCCCGCTGTTTCAGCATTCGAAAAAATAGGCGTGCCAGTCTCTTTTCGAGGCTCGGTCATCAAAGGAAGTTCCGAGCTCTATTTTCAAGAAATATAGAAAAGCCCTGTAAACAGCACCCCCACTTGAAGGAAACCACAGTTTGAAGTGCCCCCCTCCGCCTCCCAACCAAAAAACAAGAATCACCTCCTGAAATGCACCCGGCGGGAGAAAACCAACTCGAGCTGGGACCCAACTCGAGATGGGCCCGAGGCGCAGCCGCGCCATCCGCGCCACGCGCACCAGGCGCAGCACCCGGTAGAGCCGCATCAAACCCCCGTCCTCCGGTCTTGACGGCTCGAGCTTCGAGCGGCTCGACGAGCGTGTTCTCGTCTCAAACTCGGGGAACCCCAAAATCGCCCAAAATGGTGGGTGTCCGTGGGTTTTCCTCTAGAACCTGTCACGGCGAAGGAGAAGTTAGCAAGGCAAAAGGAAAAAAGAGGAAAAACAACTGTCAGAAGGCAGCGCGGTTTCAAAAGGCACGCATATGACAAAAGATTTAAAAAAAAAAAAGTTGGGACAGGGTAAGATCTAGGTCTGGCAATGCGTCGTCCACGCCGAACATGAAGATCCCGCCCAGAGCGCAAGCGGCGTCCACAAACATAAACACGATGAGCAACGCGTCGCAAAAGTTCCAAAATCCTGGCAGGCGTGACATTGATGGGGCCTGGGGCGGACATGTTCTGCCAGGTTTCTTTATTAAGGTGTGCCCTTTCTGGTAGTTTTGAAAGGGAACGCGGCACTCCCACTCCTTTAGGGGATCCAAACGAGCAACGGTCAACACGCGCTCATCCTGCCCAACGTGCCAAAAGGCTCAATTAGGAAAAGGCTCAATTAGGAAAACAGCAAAGCATGCTAATGCATGTTCAGAACGAAACAGTAAACATCTGCTCTCAACACACTAAAGCCTTTTGAGCAAGCGCGCACTTTCTAGGCTATCCGCAACCAAGGCAAAAGCCACATGTTGGACTCGGCGTTCATAGAACCGCCATGCCCAAAATGTGTTTACCCACGACCCCACCACCCCAAAACAACCCCGTACAATGTTCCATGACTACTGAAAACCATGCAAACAACTGGGTCGTACTTGAATCTAAATCAAGGCCTAAATCTACTAGTTCTTGCCAGCTGGGCATGCGGGAGTCGGACTGACTAGATTCCATGGCTGGCAGATTGTGACGTCTGAAGTGATCTGAGCAAAACGCCACTGTGCGGAACAAACTCGAAAAACCTCTGCGCGGCTCTGGACCCACCCCCGGCAAGCGATGACCCGTTCACTCGAACGGCACTGAGACAACATCCCCAGCTGAAAGCGGCCGAACCGCAAGGCGTTCCCTTCAGAAAATGGAGCCTTGGGAGTAGCGAAATCAAAGATCTCTCCATATGTGAGTGGAATTCTTTCGGTACTGTCACATGGACCAACGCCAGCCCTCAACCCTGAAATCTGGGACCTCTCGGACGCAATCCCGCCTGCCCTGCCTTTCCAATATGCCATGCCTGGAGCGCATCGCACACGGGGCAGCTGTTCTCTTTATTGGGAGTATCGGGTACGACGCACCGGTGCGCCCGGCACCAAGGAATATTAAACCAATACTAAACCAAATCCGAAGACTGGTGAGCCAGTACACAGGAATACTAAGCCAATACTAAATCAATTCCAAACAGTACGGGTCAGCCCGAAGAAGTCCGAACCAATTCTATACCTGTCCTAAGCACTACAAAACTGGGAGCCTACTTGAACAGGCCCCCACTCTTAGCCCAATTTGTTTTTAGGTTTTTCTTTGACCCCCCATAGTTGCTTGGAGGGGGGACGGGGGGCTCATTTACTAGTCACTCCCCACAATGCTCGGTGCGTTCGGTGTGCATCGGTGTGCACTCGGCGCATGCTGGGTGCACTCGGCGCACTCGCTGCTCAGCGCTCGGTGCGTACGCGCGCAGTCTCTGACCACGGCCGCAATGCGGAATTGGATGCGACATATGAAACACAAAGGTGAAGATAAACATGAGATTGACCTCTCCATGAGAGACGACGACCCCACGGCCAAAGCAACACGACAAGCCACACTCCGCGGAACGCAGCCCAGGAGCCCGCCTGATGCAGCCATACGGAAGCAGAGCTCGACGAAAAACCTGACAATCCCAAGGCGCTCGCGGCTCAAGTTATCAGCATGTCTCTCATTGGTGGTTTGGAGCCCGGTGGGGAGGTTCAGGAGGGGGTTGCCAGTTAGCCTCTACAAAAGCCGGGGGTTCAAACCACCAATCCAAACCACCAACTAAGGGCTATGCGAAGTTAGGGACCATACAACCCAAAGAGGGGTGAGATTGGCAGCAAAGTACATGGACTTGGCGCTTGTGGCGACTCTTGGTTCCCAAAACGCCTGACATTGCCGTCGGTTTTAGGGTCCTTCTCGGGACCGGCCCCCCAGGAGATGGAAACTTAGATTACCCACTCAAATTGGTCCAACCTATATGCCTTGCTTTGGACAAAATCAGGCTGGCCGTGCACGGGTTGCAGGAAATCAACCTTTGCTGTGATGCCTGAATGGGTTATCCATTTCTATGAGACCAGGTATCTATCGCAGAAAGTCGGAATCTCTAAGCCCCCACTTTCCACAATGGCCCTGCTTCAGCCTGCTATCCATTCCCCCGCGATCAAGTCCGCCTCTGGCCCGCAGGGGCTTGAAATGGTTTTGCACGCAACGCGTTGGTTGAAGCTGACGGCCAAGGCTTGGCACAGTTGGACAGGCACACAAGATGTGGACAAGCCCTGCTTCGCATCACCGTCCTAAAGCACACAGCAGCGAACGCGTGTTGACACGCGTGTTCAAACACTCGCATCCCCAGAGGATCTGGAAATACAAGGTCCTATAACCTCTGAGGGCCATGGCAGACAGATCAAAGGAGCAAAACACCGAAGAATCCAAGCATCGAGCCATCGAACGATCAAAGAATCCAAGAATGGCAGACTTGAACAACCGCACCGTGCAATCAACGCAGTGAGGCATCAAAGAAGCGAACAATCGAAGCATCAAAGAATCATCAAGGCATAAAGGCATAGAAGACGGAAGAATGAAGATGCCAAGCCAGGCATCTTACACAAGCCCTCGCCCAAAACGCAAGCTCCAAGGTGCACCCTCTCCTCAACCCCGACTTCAATCCTGAAACAACGATGGGAAAAAGGGCTACGTGACTACCTTCCTAAATATGCCTTTCTTTTTGAACAAACTGTAGTGCTGAAAGGTCATTCATTATCTACTCGAATTGCGATGCCACGTGGGCACGCCAGACAAATCGAATCGTATCTGCTTGAGATCCGGGTTGTCTTAGAAAACGGAATGCCTTTCGTGGTTGCGTGCTTTGCCCAAGCAAACCCGAAAAGAAACCAACAACCTGCGCTCCCATAGATTTGAGAAGCGACCATTGGCGCGTGTCCAAACATGGTGGAGTTCAAGGGACGCTCAAAGGAAATCGACTAGTCCCCATTCTTGGACATCTCCTGACTGTGGGATATTCGTATAACACCCCTCATGCGTGTGCGGGCCTGTTGAATCCCCAACGCCAACGCCCCCACCACAACCCCCACCACAACCCCCCCGCCACCCCCCGCCACCCCACGGCCCACCCCCTGCCACCCCCCTCCCCCATGCCCCACACCCCACCGCCCCCACACTGAAAACCACCGGAAGCGAGACACAGCATCGCCACCAGCAGCTCCAGCACGTCGAAGGCGAGGGACCCGGTCCCGTCGCTGTCCGTATCCTGCAGAAAGATTTGTTCCACCCCACAAACCCGAAGCTACCCTCATCGGGTTCGTGGGACCTTGAATGCTTGTGTTGTTTTTCTCTCCTTTTTGTTTGAGGGGGGCGGTCCCGACAAGTATAAAGTGCAGGAGCTCAGGGAGTGAGTGTATGGTGGCTAGTGGCCGCATATCCCATTGAAACCTTCAAAGTGTTGTTTTGGGAAGTGGAAACCATCTTGGATTCAAAACCCTTGGGTCGGGGAGACACCAAAAGGGGCACTCGCAAAAAAGACACACCTGGTGATCAAAGTCACAAGCACCACCAGCCCTAAACTAAAGGGTGCTTCATAGGGATCACGTCCCACAAGGGGAAATGAGCCCAATTATTCAACTCACCATTTACTACCTCGAGGCAGGAAAGAGGACCTCTTCTTCATCAGGGTTCGACATAAATGCGGCTGGGGGCCCTTTGGTGCACATCACTTACACCTCTCTAGGTCTTGCGGCAACGCCAAGGCGCAGTGTATTGGCTTGTTCACAAATCTGCCGAATCTGGCGTGCTTCGATTGGTGTTGCAGCTGGCTTGCTTCATGGTCAACGCATGGCACATGGCGCAAGCGGCATCCCACTATTTATGATCCCTTCCCCAACCAGTCCAGCCCAATCCACCATCCAGCCACCCTGAAAGGGAGGTGCGTGGAGCAGGCATCATCGAGCAGTGACTCTCATAAAAGCGGGATGAACCTCCACTGCACATGGCTGCAAGGCTCGGATGTTGACGTTTGCAGTGCGCAGAAATAAGTCTGAACCATGTGGAAGTGCGCAATCCCACGAGATGGCAAGGCAACCTCCCATAAAAGGGAAACACGAAAAAGGCTTCTAGTTGCAGCAAACTCCATCTCACAACCATACAAACACTGCAATTGCGTGACGGAGATGGGATATGAGGAATGACTCATGACGTCCGCACCACTTGGAAACGGGAATCCTTAGCAGCCCAGCAGTAAGCCACCCCTCGGCACCACAAACGAGAGCCGCTCGCAAGACAAGCATCTGCCCTGACGCCCACGAGGATGGCATTGGCAAGCACCACCATGGCGAAGAACATCTCAAAGCTTTGGCTCCTGGTTGGCTGACTGGCTGGCTGGCTGGCTGGCTGTCTGTCTGGCTGCCTGGCTGCCTGGCTGCCTGGCTGCCTGGCTGCCTGGCTGCCTGGCTGCCTGGCTGCCTGGCTGGCTGGCTGGCTGGCTGGCTGGCTGGCTGGCTGGCTGGCTGGCTGGCTGGCTGGCTGGCTGGCTGGCTGGCTGGCTGGCTGGCTGGCTGGCTGGTTGGTTGTGGGCGCGTCTTTTTGGAGGATACCGCTTTTTGGATAGTTCGAAGGGAACCAAAAGGCAAAACCCACCGCTTTGGGGGAGGTCCATTTGGCGGTTCTTGCAACAGTTGCTGGCAAAGGGCGGAGTCCCCCCGCTGCGGTCCTAACGAACACCTGCAGCCGCGTTTTCACGGGTCGCTGCCGGCTTTTGGTGAGGTGGGCATCGATGACGACGCCGATCTTCTGCGCAACCTTCGGTCGGTGCCAAGCAGTAGCCAGCAAGGGTGAGATTTGTTTGGCACCCGGGCCGGACGAATTCAAGGACCTTTGGGTGTAGCTGACATTTGCCTTGGTTCCGGAGAATTGGGGACCGCCTCCCCCCCCCCCTCCCCCCAAAAATTCGTGGATAACTTCCGAAACACAAATCATCCTTGAGGGAATCTCTCCTTTGAGGACGGACAGGACACCTTTTTGGACTTCTTCCTTCCACTCATACGCGTGCACCCGTGAACAGCAAAAGGAAACTCACCAAAAGAATTTGGCCGTTCCGTCACATGCCCTGCTTCACTCCTCCCAAAGCCCAATCCAGCAAACCTGCAGACAGCCCCGGAACGTCCCAGAACCCTGCGCACCCCCTCGGAAACCAGCAATCCAGCAACCCTCGGAACCTCCCACTGTGGAACCGACCACTCCAGACTTCAGCCGTTAGCTGGCTCCGGGCCAGGGTTCTGGAAGGGAAACAGGGGGGTGCGGCTGGGGATGTCACCTGGGTTTAGTGTGACTGCGTCTTTGGGGCTTGCCAGTGTCGGAAAAAATGAAGTCATTTCCCTTGAACCTGCCACTTCGAATCAGGGGCTGACTTTGATCCTGGTAAAACAACGGAGGCACCGAGGCGCTGCGTTGGGTTTGTTGGCCAGGCTCGCGCAGCTGGGCCCACTAATCTCAGAGCGCTGGCCTTGAGCTGAGATGCTCCGAAACCAACTGGAACGGAAGGCGAAGATGGCATCCATAGTTGTCATGTTTGTGTTTGCCAGGGAATACGGTTCCAAGTGATAAAGCCAAACATGCACTTTAACCAAAGAGCAGCGAAACTCATGCCAATCAGGGTTTACCTTGTCACCGAAATTCCTTTCGAGAAAACCAAGGGACATCACGTTTAGTAAGCCCCATTTGCGGAGAACCTGAATTCCGCAGTGCAATGGGAGATAAAAGGGCCCCCTTTCTCTGGGTCGATTCTGAAGGGAAGCCCTGATCCCAAGACAAGAGACGTAGGCCCGCCTAGGGCGACAATTCCCCCCAAAAGTTCCATAGGTTTCGTCGAGGATCCCTTTCAAGTGCCCCCAACACCTATTTCCTGCCCTTACCGTACGGGGGATCACCAGGTCCCCCAATTCTATTCAATAGCCTTCCAATCACAAGCTGAAAATGTGTTGCCATGCATGGAATCCCCCCCCCCCGCAATGTCCTGTTTACAGCGGGTGATTAGAGAACCTATTTGAATTCGCATTCTCCTCAGGCGGAAGGGGCCCCGGGGCCACAGGAAAAATCCCCTGGAAAGAGCAGTGCTGCAGCATACCAGAGAAGCAACCAAATGCAGAACTGGCACTCCAACAATTGAAGCTGACGCGGGGGTTTGAAAGACTACTTTCTTTTCGAGGGCCCCCTGTTTGTCACCTGCATAACGCGTGCTTCAAACAGAACTGGGGTCCTTCGTCCATGGCCTACATGAATCACAGCATCCCAACGTGAACTCCAATCAACAAACGTGCAACCCTTTCAATCTTAAGGCTCTACGTTTCCCCGTGCCGTGAGGCTTCCAGGATTCCAATGTCAGCGAGTTCACAGCATGGCTTTCTTACGACATGTGGCAATTGGCCACATCAAGGCCACCCAAGGGATAGGTGCAAGGGCAAAAAGCGCTTGATCGCCCCGATTGCTTCATCGTCAGTTGCATTCCAGCCCGATCTGGCATGGTTGAGCGGCCACTTGGTCGCCTACTTGGATGCATCAGGCCATCAGACTCCCGCCTGGGCTGTGGCAGGGGTCTTCCTCCATCTCAGTCTCCACCGGCTTTTCGCCTAAGAGTCACATGTGAATCAAGGCGGAAGCTCTGGAAGCGAGATGTTGCCCAGGGCAACCTGCAATCTTTGAGCTGTGGATCCACTCTGGGCCTCAGGTCGCCATACGAACTTCGAACCGTTGGCATCTAACCGTCGCCAGGTCGACCCTGGTTGCCGCCCCATTGATGGCAGCATAGATGCGTGTATCAAGACCCACTACATAGTTAATCGTTTCTAGAGTGCAGAGATCTGCACAGATGGCCGCAATCAAAAGATAATCCTCCAATTGGCTCAAGGTGGCACCGCAATGAAATATGGGTGCGGATTTAGTTTGGGATTTTTTTCGGACTTGTTTTGTCGGTTTTTCGTCCGGGCCAGTAAAATGTCGTATTTTACAGCATTTTCAGGCGAAATTGACGCATGTTACACTAGCCCGTCAACATCCCCAGCATCGTTTTCAACATCCCCCGCATGTCCGACCAACATCCCTAGCATCACCAACAAATCGTGGGCAACAAAATCGAAAAAGTAGCTGGCGGGTTGACGGGGTCAAAAAATGATGCTTCAAATAGGAGGTCATTTCAGTCCCTGTAAAACCAAAAAACAACTAAAAGTAGCGGGGAGGTTGGGGCCCTCCCATGATGTTCGAAGAATTGATGATTCAAATAGGGGTACAATTCAATCTCTGCAAGAAATCTAAAAAGTAGCGGGGGGGTTGGGGGGGGGCGGCAGCCCCCCCCATGATGTTTGAAGAAGTGTTGATTCAAATAGGGAGGAACGGGTGATGCTGATGATGCGGGAAGCAAAATCCAAAAACCAATGATGCAAAAGAAAAAACAACCAGAGAGGAACTGTGAAAGCAGAGGATGCGAAAAGCCATAGCCGCCAGAAGCCGCATAAACGCAAAAGCCAAATCGCCACCTGCCGAAGAGGAACTGGGAATGCAGAGGATGCGAAAAGCCAAAGCCAAAAAGCCACCAAAAGCCGAAAAGCCCAGAAGCCGAGAAGCCAAGAAGCCGAAAAGCCAAAAAGCCAAGAAGCCAAAAAGCCAAAAAGCCAAAAAGCCAAGAAGCCAAGAAGCCAAAAAGCCAAAAGCGGAAAAACACAAAAAGACTCCATGAAACAGGGACTTTCACAGGCATGACTATTTCCCTCTCGAACCACCGGGGGCAATACACAACGCCTTGAGCCGTTCCATTTAGCAAACAGTTGAAGCATGTCCTGGCTTAACGCTTCGGCAAATGGACGCATGGCCCGCACTGAACGTATGATCCGGCCAACCAGCCAATTCATGCTCAACATGTCGCTGCAGAAGCTTATATGTGCGAACCATCCCACCCAAAAAAAGGAAAAGAAAGGAGGCCGATTCCAAGAAAGGAACTGGAAGCATTTCCCGAACTCTGAGGGTTGCACCCTCAAGGTTGCAGGGCATCTTGGTGGAATTCTTCGCCAATTACCCCCAATTATCTCAATGAGAGTTGACCCCGGACGTATAGAACGGTTTCATTAATAAGTGTTCCCCTCCAAAAGTGAAAAATCTCCACTAAAAAGGGGACGCCAACCCTACTAATCAACCAGAAGTTGATTAATCCGGGGCCCCCATTACTGCCAATCGCCTCCCTCCGAGCGGCCGGTGGCACACTTGGCACCGATGGCACCGCTGGCGCCGATGGCACCGCTGGCGCCGATGGCACCGCTGGTACCGATGGGCCAGCCCTCAGCGTTTCAGGCGCTTCATGGGGAGCCCCAACCAGGAAATGCCTGAGGTAAGATACCACATTATTCAGGAGGGGATTGTGACAAAACGACTGCAGCGTGCGTCCAAACAAGAAAACCATAGGCCGGCTGGCTTCAACTGCACTCTTGCAGGTCGCTTCACAAGCATTCGCGTGCCAATTTGAGGTGCAGGCGCAGTCTCACAGGAGCACGTGACGCTCAAAATCGCTCAAAACAGCGCCTGCCACAAAATCCACCTCCAAAGCCCACTCGGGACCCGGGGCTGGGGGGAGGGGAGGAGGTCCTGGCAAGAATTTGGCGAGCACTCTCCAAATCGCTCAAAAACGCGTGCCTGCCATAAAGCCCAGCTCCAAGCCCCACGCGGGATCTGGGGGAGTTGGGGAACAAAATCGCTCAAAATCGCGCGTCTGCGCCGGCTCAGCACTGTATCCACGCATGTCAAATGGACACCTGCTCAAGCGCACCCGCTTAGTGCATGCCAAAATGGGGAGGGGGGGGGGGTGGGTGGGTGGGGGGGACTGGTAAAGCACACCAAAAACCTCGCAGCCTTGGCTCTACGGTAGCAGTATATACATACAATGCAGCCAGGGACTTCCAGCACAGTTGGCCCATCTGACAGCTCTTCTACAAGCAGTCAAAGTAGATATGATAGACATACTTCTGTTCACTCATGCCATGTCAGCTGCTTGCGGCAGCAAGGTTGAGCTAAGTAGCCAGGCCCTGGAAACAAAGCGGCTGCCTGCGCCAGACCTTGAATACCACATCTGGCCTCCACCACACCGAAACCTCCACAAACCTTCCTTGAGCCTACTTCAAACCCTGGATGTTGGTACAGCAGAACTGTGTGGAGATCAGGATGATGCTTTTCATGCGCGTGCGTTCCAAAATGAACCTACTCGTTTTGGACAGTGGCGCAGATTTTTGCATGGCACCACGTGAGTTTGGGAAGTTTGGCTGCAGGTCTACCATGGAGAAGCCTATTTTGCGTGATGCTCAAGGGGCTCATATCCACATTTCAGACATGAGGGTTTCGAAAATCATTACTCAAGACACTGAGGGTCACAACGTTTGCATCAAAGGCACATTTGCAGCCGGGCCAATCAAATCTCCTTTGTTGTCATTGGGAATCCTGCTTTAACAAGGGTCAACTTGCAGAGCAGCAATGGCAAGGTGTGCCGGGTGCAGAAAGGTGTGTGCATCCCCACCGACATGTGCAAGAACAGTTTAGCCATGAATGCTGAGATTCATACGGTGCAGGAGGACGAGCGTTGCGTTTTTGCAGTTGTGGGTGCATCAGTGAAATTGACTGGCAACAGCTCGTGAACAAACCTGGTTGTTGGAAAGTGCTGGCAGGTGAAATTCCGGGCATTTACCATGAGAACTGCCAGGCATTTCAGGATGTTCGTGAAAAACCCAGCTGACCTTCTGTTTCCTCAGGTTGAATTTCATCATCACACTGGAAAAATCATCTGGACCACGCTGTGCTGCCAATAAAGTAATCGCTTCTGCTGCACAATCCAGGGAGTTCACATTATCTGCAACATTCTCTTTCACCTGCCACCAACCATTCTGCTCCAGCAAAGTTGCACGTGCTGGAAAATACTGAGGCTCCCAGCCAGCCAGTGGTTGCAGTAGCAAAGCCTGTTACACAAGGACTGGAGAGCATCAAGATCAAGGCAGGAGATTATGAGGTGACTGAGAAATCTTCAAATTGTGAGTTGAGGGAAGCATGCAAAGTTTGGTCTCTTCCCATATCTGGTGACAATCAAAAACTGTGGAGGAGGCTGATGGCGCATAGCATAGTGGTGTACAATGAATCAGCGCTTGAGGTTGCAGAGAAGCTATACTCAGAAGGGTGCAGAGAGCCTGTAGCATTGAGACGGCCGGCCCATGTGTCAGTTGAGGATTTGGCAAAGCATGTGCGAAGCGTGTGTGTGTGTGTGCGTGCAAGGAACAGGGAAGACAGTCGCCCAGAAGCGAGAGCAGATCGATGGAGGTGTTGTGTTTTCCATGGACTATGGATTCTGTGGTGATTGCAGATTTTTTGCTGTGCATGATTCAGAGCATGGAAGCATTCTTGGCATTCCTGTGTGTGAGAAGGGCCCAAGAGGTGTGCGCTACATGATCAAGGAGATTGTGAGGCATACCATGGCATTTGCAGATGACAATCCATTTTTCAGAGTGATGGTGAAAATTCAATCAGAGCAGTTGTATTAGCTGCGAAGGTATGGAGAGCAAAATTGGGTTTAGCAAGCAGAGATCGTGTTGCAACTTCGAAGCAGGCAATGGCGCAGAGCGCACAATTCGCGAGTTGAGAACAGGAGGTATGACACTATTGGCGTGCTTGGAGGAGAAGTTGGAGGCCAAGGTGGACCATACACATGTACTAGCAGCATGGGCGATCAGGCATTGGGCATGGCTGCACAACAGATATCATGTGTCCTTGAGGAAGGCAGTGCGAGGAACAGCTTACGAGGCAATTCATGAAGAACCAAATTGCGATCCATACTATTGCACAGTTTGGAGAGACGGTGGCAGCAAAGACATTGACTGACCCAGTATAAAAGGGAAACTTGTTCCTTGGCAGAAGGCAGCGTGGGTTGGAAAGAGCGTGGTACCCAACAAGCACATTGTGTTGTTAGCTTCTGGAGCAAGTGATGCCAGGACAACTCGCAGATGGGGTGAGCCGTGGCAGAAAGCATGTATGTTTTGAGTGAGAGGCACTCCCTGAAATTATTCAAAGGGCGCAACGAAGACCAGCTTGAGAAATGGAGCCAAGGAGCGTATTCCTGGGATAGTTGCAGATTTGCCGGATGCACATCCAATTGAAGCAGCAGTGATTGCTTTGAAGCCTACAGTTGAGAAGATTGTGGAGAAAGGTGGAGAAACTGGAGATAGAGCTAAGGTGTTACCTCCACCGAGCAGTGCAGCTGTGGCAGGGCCAGTGGGGGAGGATCAACAAAGAGAGATGAGGAGATAGGCTAGCAAAAGGCCAAGGCTGGAGCCTAAGAAGAAAGCCAGGATAGAACCAAGCGGAGATCGACACTGCTGGAGAGATGAGATATGTTCAGATGCCAGATGAGGACGTCGAGGTGATGGCGGAGGACATATCAGAAGAGGATTGGTGGTGGACTTGGGATGATGAGGGGGATATTGGTGATGGAGGTGGACCACCTGTGCTAGACCATCCTGCAGGACATTAAGCATGGATGGGAGGCTTACATGCGCGTGCGAGATCACACGCGCGTGCGAGACTCGAGCGTTTCGCCCGGGCGCGAGCTATATATGAACGGGCGAGACCCACGAAGACTTGCCCAAAGTACCGCGCCTGCCACGAAAAGAAGCAAAACATGCGCGCCCGATCAAAATCACGTGCCCCTGCGAGCCGAAAACCACGTGCGCTCACGAGGTCGTGACCCTCGATAAGGCTTCCACGGGCCTGTCCACACCAAAGTGGCCGAGCTGGCCAACCTGCACCTCTCCACTGCCGAGGAGCTGTCTCGCCGTCGTGGCCGCCTTTTTGGCCTCATGGAGTGCATGTCATTGCGCGGCGCCCCAGGCAATTCCCAACCGAAGGTGGGGAATGAGGGCTTAGGAAAGCAAGCGTCCAAAATCCAAAAGGGAACTCTGCCCGTTGTTCCCTGCGCCGCTCAGAGGTTTGTGGATGCCGGGAGGAACTGCCGGCTCTCAGGACAGTTGTTAGAAGTGTGAGCATGCGAATGCTACCTGGACTCCTCCCATGTTCAGTTTGCAAGTCACTCGCAGGGGAGTGAACAATACACACTTGCCCCCTTTTCAGGGGCCCTTCTCGCCAGAAACGGTTTGCATATCTGAGAAATCCAAGGTGAACCTTTGGGCCCAGGCGAACCCTTTGGGCCCAAGCATGAAAACAAGGCCGCCCTCAAGCTTGGCCCAGGCAAATGAAGCTAGGCTCAGGGGAACCAAGTTCACAGAGGCGAAAATATGTTTTGCTTGAACCAACTAAAGCCGCATGTCTGACGCGTGAATGGCACTTCACCTCGTGACTGGAGGAGTTCTGCACTGCACCCCGATCACTTCCCCCCCCCCTCGCATCAAAGAAACAAGTATGTGCCCTGGGGTATAAAGTTGCAAACGAATATGTTGAACAAACAACCAAACAAACAAACAAACAAACAAACAAACAAACAAGCAAGCAAACAAGCAAGCAAACAAACAAACAAACAAGCAAGCAAACAAGCAAGCAAACAAACAAACAAACAAACAAGCAAGCAAACAAGCAAGCCAACAACAACCAAGCAGATGACAAACTACGTGGTTCAAACAATCGATAGACAAATGAACCCAACAAGGTGTAGCAGTCTGTCTATCTCTTCCCCCATTGGGCTTAGCGCGCGGAAGCCACGTGGGCGAGATGCGGTAGCTCTCGCTGCTGCGAACTGCGAGCTCCCTCCTCCCAGCGTTCGCCCTGAGTAATACCCCCCGCTCCCCACCATCCGCTGAGCACTAGGAAGATCCCTTTTGACACACGGGAGTCAGGCGGGCGTTGCAGGGAGAAGCGTAACTCAGGTATCTCACTTCTTCTCCCCCCTTGCTCCTGCTCTCAAAGCAAGTCGCCCACGTGGACACGTTCAACTCCCTTCTTCAAGAAGACCTTTCCCCCCTGTTGGAAGGGAGTGCAACGTCAAAGCCCTCTCCGTCCTGGTATCCTCCAGGATTCGGGCTTGGAAGGCCACCAGCTCTTGGTGAATGATCTCCTGAACCCAAAGCTGGGCAACCGGCTGCCCAGGGGCCCGCAGGTTCTCCCCAAGTGCAACACCCAAAGGGAAACGCAAGCCGACTTGCCAGAAGGATGGGCTTCAAGAGGCAATCCTGGGAGCCCTGTTTACCTGTCAGTTGGCTAAGGAAAGCAAACATTTGCCCTGAAGCTTATCTGGAAGAATGGGCCGTGCAAAAGAAGCCTCCAATTATCTCCAATTTGAGACTCGCCCACACATGAGATTGTGCAAGATCCGTGCCAGCAAACAGCACAGGCTTCAGTCCCTAGGAAAATACACCTTCACCTATCTAAGTTGTTGCAGCGATGCCTTTGGCCCCCCTGCAGCCAAATCTCTCTGAGCACATCTTGACTTTGCTGGTCGAGCATGACTGGCATGCCCCCAAGCCTCTAAACGTGCTTATCGAGCCGCCACATCTGCGGGAAGCGAATCGAGTAGCAAAGTCACTTTCGAGCCGTCGGCCACACCTCATCGTCATGGTTCAGCCCTAAGAGGTTCACCACTCGCACTCACCCCATGCAAAGTCTTGCTTTGCCATATGGGGTCAAAAAAAGGCACCAAAAATGGGCAGCCCTGGTAAACGGAACCAAGGACTGCGCCCTGCGGACCATCTCCTGGTGGCTTTTTGACTCGTACCCATAAAAAATTTTGGGGAGATCCGAGGCTTGAAGGCTTGCGTTCTCTCCTGGCGTCCCCACCCCTTGCTGGAATTCATGAATCCCCCCCTGGTGGTACATAGCTGCCCTGCGCACCAAGGATAGATATATATATATATATGTATGACTTATGCATTAATAAAAATAATGTGGATTGTGTGTGTGTGTGTGTTGATTTATGTGTGTGTGTGTGGTTACTCTAGTCTCCTGGTTCTTTCATGTGTTTATTGTTCATTTGTTCCTTATGTGTGTTTGTTGTTTTGCCTCTAAATACGCCCTTTCATGGATGTGCCCCCTCCCTTTCATTCATAGATGCTGAAGCCCTTTCCTCACTACCTAAGTGGATTGGTCGGAAACAGTCCAGCGAGTTGTTGTTTAATGGTGCAAAGTCCACTCACTCAAGTGAGTTGCACGCCAAACCTTCCCGGCTCCGGCCGCCCTCCCGATTTTCTAACGCACTCACCGCGACTCCCCGCTGGTTTCCCGGCGCAGCCTCTGCCTTGCTCCAGCGTCGCTCAGAGGAGCTGTGTCAAACTTCCCCGTCCGTGAGACTGGCTCATGAAGTCACCTTGCCCACAACTCGGCAAGCGACTGTTTTCCCAAATCACGTGCACGTGTCCCCCTTAAACATCACCCCAGACAAAACCTAAACCAAGTTTCGCCTCCCAAAAAGTGATCTTTGAACCCCAAAGGGAAAAATGTAAGGACGGGTCCCTCAGAAATGCCAGCTCGGGAGCAGAGCACCATAGATCGCAATCAACAATCTCTTGCTCTTGCAAGATTCAGATCCCCGCCTCAGTTGGGAGCCTTGTACGTCGCGGAGGTCTCTAGATCCAGCTTTCCGCGCAACTCTTTGGGCTTGGGCAGCTTGATGCGAGTGATGCCCTCCGTGCGCCCAGACAGCACCTCCTGGAGCTCTTCTGAGGGGTTCACGTCATGTCCCCCAACGAGGGCCATATGAGGGGAGTCTTTCAAAAAACCTCCGGCCTGGGCTCCATGGGAGGGCGGACCTCCGGATTCGTCTGCATTCCATGGTGTCCAAAGTATGGCGGAATGGACCCCGGTTAAAAAGGCGGCACCTTTCTTGTCAGGGTTCGGGGGGTCCATGGCAGCCTCATTCAAGGCCTTAGGCTGGAATTCGGCTGCGTCGTAACGTCGTACAGAGTTGTTTGCAGCTGCCACTTCGCTTGAGTTCCAGCGCGCATCTTCGCTGAGGAGTCATCCTTTCTTTTCCCTTTGTTTCCACCTTATCGTCACCTTTCCCCAGGCGTTGGTTGACACCCTAACTCTTCGTGCCTTTCGTATGCCCTCGTGTCAGCTCCAACTTCTGCCCAAAGTCCCGTCTTACTCCCTCGGTTGGCCCGGCTCGTTTCAGGGGTTGCCCCGTTCGATTTTGCAGGGCCTTTGGTGCTGGGTGTTCTGCGCTGCCCCTTCTGCCCCCTCTTTCGTCCCAAGATATGGGCTGAATAAGGACCAATGCTTTGTGGACATCGTTCTGGATTGGCAACAAGAAGGCAAGAACAGTGCATGTGTGTTGCTCGGTCTTGCTATGGCCTCTTTTTGACCAACTACCGAAAGTCTCCAATTACTCCCCCATCTAGCCAAATCAGAGTAAGGGGTGGGTAAGGAGCAAACCGCCTGGGACCCCTAACCCCCACCACTGCCTTTGTCTCCCTAAATGCCTCCCAAAAAGTATCAAGTCATGGAACTCAGGGAGTGAGCCCTTGATTTGACCAGCCATTGATGTCTGGTTCTGGAAACAGTGCCGCATCGGGAAGTTTCACCAGCGCGTGGCCCAACCGTGAGCACCAAACCCTATAGCGCCAATAGAGGGGAAGGGCCAATAGAGGGGAAGGCCTCGATTTGTTTTCCTGCATGTCCACCACTCCTTGATCCCCGCCCCACCCCCCGCCATCCTGCCATCCACCCGACCTCCCAGCCCATGGCATGTCCCCAAGCCCCTCCTCCAAGACATCATTGCAGTGCCGCGCCGGCACGTTCCTCGGCCGCGTGTACCAATGCACGCGAAGTCTGTTCCAAAGCTAGCTAACCTTGCAATATAAAATCAGCTTCCGGTGGTGTTCCGGTTGTTTCCCAACTACCCTCAAGAACCAGGGGTTCAACTCCAAATCCAAACCACAAATCCACCAATTGGGGGTATGACAAACGATCTACAAGTAGTAGTTCAATTCCAAACCCAAACCCCCAATCCAAACTACCCATGAGAAGGGAAACCTGACGAAAAATCTTCTGAAAAGGTTCTGGCGCGTGCCAAGCGTAAGGTGTGGCACCTTGGCGCCGCAAAACACCGCCTGCGGCAGCTCCACCAAAGCGCAGGCCACGTTCTCCTCGATGATGATCTCCTAGGTCAATGGCAGGGAAAACCACCGGTTGAAACCACGGGGAAAGGACAGAAGCAAGCGGAAACCACAACAACCACAGGGAAACAGTGACCAGCCTCCAAAAAGAAATGGAGGCGCTTGTTGAGCCGCCAAGAAGAAGGAACGTGTATATATATATATATATATATATAGTGTGTGTGTGTGTGTGTCCATTGGATGGTGCGGAAACCAAGGGGGAAATGGCCGTTTGGACATTTGAAAGAAAAGGGTTGGGAGCGTGAAAACAAAACAAATCCCACAGGAAGGAGACAGAACATCCAAAGAAACTCATTTTTATTGCTGGAAGTGGGGTGGGTGCACGTCAGAACTTAGCCGCACACCTTGGCCTTGGCGTGCCAAGGCTGTGAAACGTCGTCCAAAATCAGGGTCATTTTCAAAAATCATCTCTGTCCAGAGGTCAATCATTTTAACCCCCTCCCCCCCGCGACAACAGACGTTCAGCCACTATGTTCACGTCAGCTTCATCGTCCACCAGCTCAAAAGAAATGGGGCGTGCCCAAACGCGAATCGCCTTTGGCAAATGCACCCAGGGTCATCAAATCAACGCGACTTCTTTAGGCCCAAGTCTCCGTCATCTTGACTGCCACAAGGCTGCCCTTAAGTCTCTCCAGCTTTCTTCCTCGGCGTCAAGCGATGTAGGCAGAACGAATCTTGCAGCCCTGAAAGAAAGCAGTGCCCCTAGCGTATACCCGTATAATAATGCATATTGTTCTGCCCATACCAAAAGAATGACAATGGGTGCATACGGACCTATATCAGGCAAGGTGAGAAGCTTGGATCCATAGTTACATGGCTGATCGATTTGGGGGGGTCAGATGTCAGTTCATTCGAGGTCGGCAGTGCTTTCGGCGAACTGCAAAACCACGCGGCTGAGCCAGCAGACACTGCGAACGCTTAGGCTAAACTTGCCAAGAAGGACAGGTGGGATGTGCTGCCTTATCTTCCCCATGTCATTCTATCAGTCATGGCTTTTGGCTCCCCTTTTTCGGCGTCAGGTCAATTTGCAGAATGATCTGGTCGGCCCCCCCGCCCCCCCACCCCTTCACCCGCTCACCCACCACCGCATCTGCCCCCTCACCCGCCCCTCACTCGAGCGAAGCCTCGGGCCGCGCGGAAGCTCTGCAGCGACATCTGCGCCTTGGCGGCGGCGCGGTCCTCGTCCTCGCCGCCCAGGTAGAGCAGCGTCACGTGGGGCCGCGCCACCTCGGGCCACGTTCCCAAGGCGATCCCGCCGTTGGAACCGTTGGAAGTCGCGGTCTCCAGTTGCCGGGATCGGACATCGGAAATTGCCCAGATTCACTCCAATGGTTAGATGATGTGGTAGCAATCATCCGCATATCTTCAACGTGGCTTTCACCTAACCACGCGGACACACACAGTTCTAGATTTCGGGGGGCCTGCTGCGATTCATGTTTGACAGAACTGGCCCATTTACTGGTAGGTCACTCCGATGGAACCCTCGGGGTATACGTCAAAACACTTCCCCTGGTCGAGCCCCTTTGCTGGCTGAGCGCATTAGGTAAACCACAAAACCTACCCCAAAACAGCCTGCGAGCTGAAACGCGGCCAAGTAAATATCGATCCAAAGCATGTGTTGATGGAAAGCATGCAATACCTATGAAGCGGCTCGTTGAAGTTACATAAACTAATCGTTCTTTGCCCTTGACTCTTTGTTCGACGTAGCTGGGACAAGATCACGGAACTTGAGCTTTGCTTTCCAAAACAACTGGAGAGCCCCCACATTGTGAGACACGCCAAGGCCACCACGCGCACTTGTTCACCACGCCTCCACTATCTCAATCTGCTCACGCCCTCAGTTCTCCGCCTCGTCACTCGCAAAGCGCTCAGCTAGGAGATTCAAGGGCATAGCGCTTGGAAGCCGCTGACGAAATGAACTTTGCTGCAGGCAGCATCGGTCAGTTATCTTCATACGATGCGTCTTCAAACGCCCAGGCAGCAGGGAGAAAAGCCTGCCTGCAGAAAACGTCAATGACAGGGTTACTGAAAGCAAGGCTCACCAAAGTTGATTAGAAGCTTCAGTCATGATGCAGCAAGCACGGCAGACAAATTGGAAAATATCTTAGTCTGCCACTTTGCAACCCACGATCTCCGCCAAAAACGGAGATCAAATACTGACAAAAATCACCACAAAGATCTGGGCGTGCAATCGCTTGACGTGCCAAAGCAAATGTCCGGCTCTGGGCAGTATGGTGATTGCGACCTCCAAATTGCATGATAGTTTGCCTCCCTCTTCCTATGGTCCTCAGCTGGGGGATCAGTTGTTATCAGATTATCACCAGCCCTGCCTGCACGTGAAAACATGCTGGATTGCAACGCCTAATGATAAATGCTATGCGTGTGAAACCACGATGCACAAGGGCACACCTGCGTGACGTCCCCAGTATGCATGACACCCATGCCAACATGGCGTAAGGGTGGGATTCGCGCCGTGAGTCTTCTTATCAGTGGATGGTCGGACCCCCACACAAGCCAAGGCCGTAGGTGGTTTCAAGCAACAAGTGCTCAAGCCCAAACTAACCCAAACACTGCTTCAGGACATGATGTCAAAAAGAATCGCTCTGACCCAAAGGCATGCCCACAGGAAGCCGTCTGTTCCCATCCCATGAGTTGTTCCCATATGCCGGCCCTGCTACTCTAAATGCCTCACGGCGCAGGATTACGCTGGCCAGCTCGAAACTTCGCGCCACGCAGGCCTTGAAGACATGTGCCAGCCGCGTGTCTGAACAAGCGCGCCGCGGCAAGTCCCCATATAGACATCACAAGGCGCCTCTGACTGTCCACAGTTACCCACGGCACTTGCCGCTGACCCCTATCGTTGCGCGAAGTAACGCGTCTATTTGTCAACTGATTTGCATACACGAGCTTGGGGGAATCGTGTCAGCCATGTCCAACAAACTGTTCAAAGTGACCGGCGAAACATGCCAGAGCATCTCTTGGAGTCTTGGACTTTGCTTTCCAAGACTACTGGAGAGCCCCCAGATTTTGAGACACGCCAAGACCACCACGCGCACTTGTTCACCACGCCTCCACTATCTCAATCTGCTCACTGCCCTCAGTTCTCCGGGCCTCGTCACTCGAAACGCGCTCAGCTAGGAGATTCAAGGGCATAGGACTTGCAAGCCGCTGACGAAATGAACTCTGGCTGCAACAAAGCACGTTCACCATGCCAGTCTTGCAGAACAGACCTAGGGAGGAAAAAACCTGGAAGAAAAAGAGAACGGGGTTGCTGAAAGCAAGCCTCACCAAATTTGCCTAGTAGCTTAAATCACGATGCAGCAAGCACAGCGACTCAGTCGAAAAACACGCTTGGCCTGCCCCTTTGCAACCCGTGATGTCGGACAATCGCTTGAAGTGCCAAAGCCATTCTCAGGCTGTGGGAAGTATGGCGCGTGTGAAACGCGACATAAGGAATGCTATGCGTGTGAAAAGACGATGCACAAGGGTGCACTAGCAGAAAGACAGCGCCTGGCACTAAAAACTTTGACACCATACTACCACACCAATGCTGACTACTAAATATGACTGCTTCAGGAAGACCCTTTCCGGCCCCCATTGCCGTGTCTGGTTTTCTCTGCCCCACAATTTTGCCAGGTGTTAGGAAAGGGCGGTGTCAAAAACATGCCGAGCTTGCAGGGCCTCCTGAACACGCGCCTAGACCACATCACCCCAAGGAAGCTCATTCGCACTATACGGCCCAAGGTGGCGGCCCGAAAAGATATGTTTTGCCATGTCCTGGCTGAGCCAACTCGGCGCTGCCCTCTGCACCTGCCGCCCTGCGTGGAAAGGCACTGGTCGTGCCTTCCCTGATGCACTTTTGCCGAGAGGCAGTGACATCTAGGCAAATCTTTTTGCAAGCAAGGAAATCTCTCAGCCCCAAAACTTGTGACATCATTCTGTCAGAAACGTACCCGTCTTACCTGAAAGGAATCAAAGGGACACCCGTCCAGTTGCCCAGGTTATGTCTCGACTGCCCATCGATGCTTCAAGACGTCCAACCTCCGGGTGTAGACATCTCGTCTGAGCGCGGCCTCTTGCGACGGAACGGCCTTCAGGAATTGCTTCATCCTTGGCCAGCCCGCGACCCCAGTCAGGCTGCAACTGTAAACCCCCTCACTCCCCTTGACATGAGGGCCCTAATTCTTCACCCCCCTCCCCCCCCCCGCGACTAGTCTAAGACCAATTCAACCCCAGCCACCTGCGCCTTTGCTTGCCACCGACTGCCGGGCAAGCCTTCACTTTTGCGTCACGGGGGGTTCCCCCCGAACTCCGCCTTTCACCTGCCACTTCGCAACGAGGCGCCGGATGGTGTGACGCTGGTGCGTGGACGCCACCGGTGGAAGTTTGGCAGGGTCCTGGCTCGAGTGGCGGTACTGCATGGAGTCGAAAGACCGCGTAGGCTCCTGGGCGCATGACGGCCTGACGACCTGTTGACACCCTTTGAAATGCCCAAGATGAATCCACCACTTGGGTAAACCCATACACGGTTCCAACCCTCGGAGCCAGAACTTCACCCTGAGGGCCAAAACCCTTCCCACCTTCCCCGGCTTCTTAGGCTCGAAAAGTCCAACCCGAGTGCCAAGAAGCAGCTCAGACAAGGCGTTCGGTCGGATCTGTCTAGCCCGCCTACCTGGGCCTAGGGCGTTGAGGCACGACGGTGTGCCTCAAGCGCTTTGTATGCGCCTATTTGTTGTTCAGGGCTGCCGCGTTTTTCCCGACAGCCCACTGCTCGGAGGCCTAAAAATCCCCGACACAAAGCCATCTCAAAGCCCTGACACAAAGCCTTCTCAAAGAATCCCCAGGTACAAGAAGAAGCAACATTGGCCAACCAATCTGCTGCAAACACGCTCGAGCAGGCTGCCACGCCTTCCTGTCCGCAGGTCTCAAACGTTGGACCCCTCTGTGGTGGTCTAACCAGAAAGGGGGTGGGTAACCCTTCAAGCAGCTCTTTGATTCTTTACGCGGGTGCAGTCAAAAAGTCCCAACCTGCTGCAAACCAACTCCCCCACGTTAAGGAAACCGCCAAACTGCATCTGATAGGTTTGGCATGTATGTGTCCAAGAGGAAGTCAAATCCCAAAGGACAAACTGGCCGCATGCTTGCCTCGAGCCCCCCATTTGCATGGTAGCTTCCCCGCAAAGCTGCAAGATAGCACCAAATGTTGACCCAAATGAATAGTATTGCCATAATTATTTCATGTTACCACATGGACCCAGAAAACGGACCGACTCTGGGCCGAGAATCCTCAAAGTCGATGGAAGCTTCGCAGACCCGCTTGCCCGAGTCGCCCTCGCGGCCAAGCCGTCGGGTTCGAAAGGAGACGTGTGTAAACAAGTGTTCTGAATTCCTTTCTTGCCGGGGGGGGGTGCTTGGCACTTAGTCGCTTCCGAAGGAAGCTGGCAACAGCCCTTGATGCAAATACCGAAAATTTGGCATTAGTGGCCGACACCTCAGTCAAAGGTGAAGCCGCGGAGAGGCCAGCAAGCCCAACCCTTGCAAACCAAGTGTCCGCCAGCAGGCTTTAGGAATAGACTAGAACATAGACATATGGAGGAAAAATGAAAAAAGGTCCCACACAATGATAGCCCTCCTACATTAAAGCAATGCAAAGACTTTACCTTCTTCGTGCCCAGCTGGGTTGACCTCGCGTAGGGCTCGTCTCCATGCGACGGGATTCCCTAGTCAGCCAATGGCTAAGAGGGTCAAGGGCCCGACTTTGGGCCCACGTCCCAACATCATACCAATAAAAAAAAAAAACCTTAATGGGCAAGTTCACAAACTCCTTTAGGTCCTTGGGGTGGCTATGGCTTGCCCAGAGCCTACCACCATCCGAATCAGTCTGCTTTTTGAGGCCTCGCAGCCCCAACGCTGGAAAAGCCTTATTATGGGGGGCGGTTCCCCTCAACCAAGGAAATGGTCCGGTTTAAGGGGTTTCTCACAATTAGGGTCCTCCTCATTAAAATCGAAGTCAGCATGAATGTTGACGCCGGTTTAAACCCCTGTTTATTAGTGTGGGCCTCCAAAAGTGATGAATCCCCAGTAAAACCAGGAACGCCCCCGTATTAATCAAAGCAAGTTTAGTAAGAAAACCTCCGTTACACAAACAGTTGAAACCTGCAGTCTCGTGCAAAAAAGGCAAGAAAGTAAGCAAGAAATACAAAGAATAAATGCAATGGAAATAGAGAAGGACGGAATTGTGTGGTAGGCGCAGCGTTTAGCGAGATCGAAGGCTGCCTCTGTTCAGCGAGCGGGTTCGGTCTGGCCGCGGTCTAGCCGCAGGCTCGCCGCGGTCTGGAAAATTGCCCGACGGCACGGCCACGCAAGCGAGGTTTAAATTCCTTGGCAGGCGCTGCACTTTGGCAGCCTGAGGTGTAGATGTCGTGGCAGGCGCCGCATTTTGTTCCCATGGCATCAGAATTCCTGACACGCGCGGCACTTTGGAAAGATATCTGCGAATCGCATTGGAGTGGACGCGCGAACTGCTGCGTGCCGATTCTGTGGCAGGCGCATGATTTTTGCACTCTGAGGTGCAGATTTCGTGGCATGCGCAGCACTTTTGCAAGGTCAATTACAGATTTTGTGGCAGGCGTAGCAATTTTGCAAGGTCAAAGCAGATAGATAGATAAATAGATAGACAGATAGATAAAAAGCGAGAGAGAGAGAGAGAGAAAAAGAAAGAAAGAAAGAAAGAAAGAAAGAAAGAAACAAAGAAAGAAAGAAACAAAGAAAGAAACAAAGAAAGAAAGAAAGAAAGCAAGAAAGACAGAAAGAAAGAAACAAAGAAAGAAACAAAGAAAGACAGAAAGAAAGAAAGAAAGCAAGAATAAGGACAGAAAGAAAGAACGAAAGAAAGAAAGAGAAAGAAAAGATAAGATAAAGCCAAAGAAAGAAGAAAGGGGAAGAGAAAGAAAAGAGAAAGGGGAAGAGAAAGAGAAAAAAGAGAAGAGAAAGAGAAAGAAACAGAGACAGAGAAAGAGGAAAACAAAATGAGCAAGAGAAGGAGAAACAAAGAAAAGAGACGAGAAAGAGAAAGAGAAGAAAAGAAAGAAAAGGAGAAAGGAAAAGAGGAAGAGAAAGAGAAAGAGGAAGAGAAAGAGAAAGTGGAAGAGAAAGAGAAAGTGGAAGAAAAAGAGGACGAGAAAGAGAAAGGAAAAGAGGAAGATGAAGAGAAAGAGAAGAAAAGACACGAGATCCTTAGAGAAGAGAAAGAAGAGAAGAGAAGAGAAGAGATGCGCCAGGAGAACAATTCATCTCCTATGGGTACATGATTGGGTAGAAACTTCCGTCATCCATCTTTGCTGGAGCATACCTGGCAAACAGGGGTATACTCATCTGGGGTCAGCTTTAGGAAACAAGCGTCACATCATCGCCTGGTCCAAGAGTCCTGATCCCTGTCATCCGAAGCTGTAGCTTCCCATTAGAATTTAGCAGAAGCACCCAAGCAAAAAAAATGAAGAGCATGGCAGCACACTGAAGAACGAACCCACTGTCCAATACAAAGCTTCCAGTCCCAGCCTGAAGATGATGGCACAAAAGCAGACCCACATATAGAAAAAGCCAAAGTGGAGGAGGAAACCCCCTCCCACATGGCAGCTCCTGCGGCAGCACGACGAAGTAATTGTCACGGACTCCTGCGAGGAGTCCGAAGCATTCAGCCCAGCTAGCTCAGTCGAGACCGACCGTGGGCATGGATGCCGAGGACAAGTACTCAACGGGCATGCTGCACGAGCAGTCAAACTGAAACCCATATGGATGTGGCTCAACATTAAACAACTGGGGTTACGCAGGTTTTAGCCCTTGGCTCCACTTGCCAAGCTGACATTTTGGTATTCTTTTTGACTCACAGCCATATTGGAACAGCGGCTCCCGGTGGCATCGAGCCAAACAACACATTTTGCCCACCTTCACTCCAATCGCCCAAGCGCGCTGGCGACCGACCGCGTCAAACAGGCCAAACGAAAACTCTGCGTGCTTCTTTGTCTTTCCTGCGTTTGGGAGAGGGAAGCGGGGGGGTTCAAACCCCGAAACTGTTCGGAACCAACTTCGCCCCCGAAGCCGAAACCGAAAGCCGCCTGGGTTGATCTCCGACACGGCGCTCTTGGACACGGTGCTGGCCGCGCAGCCCATGGCCTGGAAGTGAGGTGTCCACAGCTCCAGGCTGGCAGTGTTGTGTTTCGGGGACGCCCCGTGTTGGTCAGTTTTGACGATTTTTCTGGCAATACTAAGATTCACAAAGCTGAAGTAGGGGAGGAAAATCATAACAAATGCCAAAGAAAGGAGTCTTCTTGAGTGACCTCGTTTTACTTTTCGGGTGAGCTTGCCACAATGTGCTAAGACCCAGGATATGTGGACCCCTACATGATTCATGGGGGAGGCGTGCAACCCTTTTCCGAGGCAATTCAGATCACTTTCGGGGAAAACACCCATGATCAAAATGTGCAAGGTGATCCGAGGCCAACATTCCCAGATTGTTGGAAACTCCCTGCAAGACATGGTGTTGCGGGATCTTCCGGCACTCTACATAAACTAATCCCAATACAGCAGGTCTGTGAACTGAACAGGTTTCATCATCGTCATTCACGCCCCATGCCGTGTTAGAATTGTAGCCTCCCCTAGCCGTGCACGTTGATGATTGCAAACTTTTCGGGCAGCCTGGCCTGCTTGATTCAAGCTCGCTGGCAGGTTCCCAACCCCTCCGCCCCACGGCCTCTTTCCAGCTCACTGGCCGCTGGCAACGCTGGAAGCCAAGTGACTGCAGGGACAGTGCGTAAGCCTCTTGCGAGGAAAAGGCTTCCCAGACCTCCCACACCGGCGTGTTGCGCAAAGCGGCGCTAAGAACTGCGTTCAGGAGTGCCTCCCCCCTGATCTGGCGGATTTTTTGGGTGCACATACAAACCACAAAACCTGGTATAACGTGCAGAAAACATTTCGGCCCTCCTTCCCATCCCATACCTATAAGGAAAGGTCACCCTAAACACGTTGCTCTGGGAAAATCTCGCAGATCCAACAAAAATGCAAAACCACAAATCGCAAGTTGGAGCCCTCCATATGTGTGGCTCGTCTTTTCTAAGGGGACCATGGTATTGAAATTGTCTTGGAGGGAAATCAACGGGAGCTTGAGGGGTGCCAGGTATTGTTTCCTTACAGACACACCCATGATCCTACTTCCTGAGCGCATGCCTCGCCCCTGGCGAGCCGCCGGCAGAAAGCTTCTAGGCAGCACGCCCTGCTGTGAGAGCACCTCTCGAACGGGCTGACGAACCCACAAGAAGGCACCCTCAAAAACGCATCTTCATTCATCGCAACTGTCCAGCAAGTGCAAGTAGTTTTCGAGAATGGGCGATATAGATGTTGGTTTCCGCAAGCTTGGAGGCAGTGTGTGTGTGTGCCGCTTTCCTGTGCATATGTCTATGCCTATGTATATATATTTATATATAGATACATATCTGTGTGTATCATATACATGATCAGCGACATGAAAAGCGGAGAACAAAGCAGCAAGGTGAAGAAGCGTGGGGCCAAAAGTGCGGACAAAGCGGCGACGAACGGAGAGAGCGGAGAGAAGGCTGCGACCCAGGGAGCCGGCCGTGCTAAAAGGGGGGGTCCATTGCAAGAAAAAGAACGTGGCTTTTTTCTTCAGGAATCAACGAGCTACAAGCACTTCCGCGCGCCCTGGACAAACTGATTCTGACAAGCAAATGTTTGAATGAGATCGCAAACCCTTGTGTTTCGATGCCGACCCCGGAGAAACAAACCAATGGCGGGTGGCCCTTTTGGTTTCCATTTGAAGCTTTGAAGGGAGCGTGGATTGGTTGTTAACTCGCCTTTGGCCGCAAGAAATGCTTCAAGGGGAAACTAAAAGATCAGTTTAGGTCGATTTGCTTTGGGCAAGAGGGGGCGGCTGCCTCTTGCTTACCCCGCTTATCCCCAGGCCCCAGAACTTTAAAAAAAAAAAAAAATGATTCGCCGTGGGGCACATGGTGCGATGCCTCCCGACCCGGCCACGTCCGCCTTCAGCACCTCCGGCAGGTCGATCCGCCAGAAGAGCGGCACCGGCCGCGGCGGCGCCGCAGGAGCTTCCTACCCGGGCGCTTCGGGCGCCATTTTTGGGACCCCTCCCCCCCCCAAAAAAAAAAAGAAGAAAGAAGAACATCCGTCATCCTGGATCGCCAGTTGCTTTTTTTTGTCCGGTACCCTATCTAGGATGTTCCAACCAAAGCTGCCTTCGAATTGGAAAGACAGCTTGGGTTTGAGTCCCTGCGCCAAACCACAAGTGAGTTTGTCAAAAATGTGGGGGCGGGGGCGAACATGAGAGGTGTCACTGCACCCTTAAGCTCCCTCAACAATCCCAATGAAGGTGTTATCAAAACGCGACAGAAGCGACTTTGCTCGTTGAATGGCTGTGCTCCCTGGTCCTTTCGAATGATACCGGCAAGGCCACATGGCCCGGTGTCAGGAACGTGTTGTCGACAAACTCTGTGGGAATATGTCGTCAAAGGGGCGGCTGCACCAACTGACCTCTTAGTGCCCATGGCACTATAAATGACATTGTTTGATCCTGCAAGCAACCATATTGAGCGAAGCTCAAAATTCAAAATGAAACATCATGTCATGCCGGCATTGCACAATGGTTACACCAAAGCGGTGAATCTCAATCCCAACCACGACCCCAAATAGGCCAGCGAAAGCCTTTGCCGTGAAACCTGCCTTTCCAGGTGCCAATGGGCCCCAACCATCATTGATCATTCGAAAAGCCCCCTGTTCTAAAACAAGAGAAGGCCCCGCCCATTATTACATTTCTCCACCTATTTCCCCCTGCTTTTCCCCCGGACCCCACAAACAATTGCCTCATTTCTCTGCCCAAAGACCTTGATTTCCAGCTTTCCCTAGGTCCTCCAGTGGAGAGGTTAGAATAAGGGTACCCTTTTTTCTGTAGTCTATTTTAGTACCCGCCCCCAAAAAAGAAACCGTAAAAGGGCCCCTAGCTGGGGGACCTAGTTCCACCAAGGCCCAGCGCCTGGATCTCCGCGGACTTGGCGCGGCGCAGCTCCTCCGACTCCAGGCGGTCCGCCTCCAGCGCCCGCGTGCAGTCCTCCAGCCACCGGCGCTTCGCCTCCCGCGCGCGTCGGTCACCAAGCGCGGCGCGCCAAGAGAGACCCAGCAGCTGGGTCCATGGAACCCACCAGGTGCATCTACGAAAATGGCTTTGGACCAAACAAGCCGAAATGTCACATTTCATTTCGCGGATGGGACAGGGAAAGCGAAGGGAGGAGGAAGGGAAAATTAGGGAACGGCTTCTTCCTGACTCAATGCTCTGGTAGCTGCATCTCTTATGACGGGTTGCATCTGTCATACTAAAGGAAAACCTATACTGAGTATCCGGGAAAATGGGAGGAAATCTCATAAAAAGGAAAAGTTCAAGGACCACCTCTAAAGGGCTAGAAAGCCCTTTGTACGGAGGCGCTTTCACCAGGCGGGGGAAGGATGAACCTTGTAGGGGGGCCCTTCTGATGCTGTGCACGCGAAAGAATGCGAAGAGGCAGGGGGGTGGCAGCATGCCGGCGAGGGAGCACGCTAGACGCATACAAAAGCACGCAGGGGCGGCGCCGGTGCATGCAAAAGCAAGCGCCTCTGCAGATTAAAAGCCAGGTGAGCAGCGGCGCATGAGAAAGGTGGCGCCCACGGGTGCAAGGGCCCACGCCACAGAGGAAAACAGAACAAAGAAAGAACGGAAACCATGGGGGGGGTCCTCCCGCACATCAAGGAAGACATGCCATTCAAGGCTTTGGGGCGCTGAACCCTCCAAGACAAAAGCCCTGGCCGAAACTCTAGGCCTGCTTCTCACCACCCGTGCTGCTTCAGCCGGAAAAAAAACTCCCCCATCTCCCCCAACCGACGAGGAATTGACGTTGAGCTGGAGGTTTGGAGGCGAATCATTCCGAAACACCACGCGAAGCTGACGCGACTTCTTGAGACGTAATCAAGCGCGTTGCAAAGCTTGGGGTGGAAAAACGCGGAGGGCCCAGAAGGCGAGAATGCCCTTGGCTCAACCTGTTCGACCCCTTTCCGTCATCTGGAGAATGAATTGAAGAGGTGCTGTCGTCTTCCCTGGACGTCACAAGGTGAAGCAGACACAACGCGCACTGCAATTTGCTTGATACCCGGCTTCCCTGTCGCTCAAGAGCCCCACCAGACACCCCCCACATCCCGCCCACACCCCAAACCAAAAAGACTTGAGCCCAGCAGTTCTTTGAAAAGCCAAAAATGCTCATCTCCCTGGGGCTGCTTCCTTTTGAGGACCAAAAACGCGAACCCCGTCGCTACCCGCCTGTCCGCTTTCAGCTTCCTCCGCGCGGCCGGGCAAGGAGCCCTTCCGCTTCGCCGCGCGCTTCGTGACGGCTTTCGCCTTCGGCTGCGCCTCAGCAGGTTCCAAACTCAGGCGAGTCAGGGTCCAAAGGCGGCTAAGAACCACAAGAGTCTAAGACTCCTAATTCTCAGAAGGCCCAACAGGCTCACAGGGTTCCAAAGATTCCAAAGCTCCAACGGTTCAGAAGGTTTAGAAGGTTCAAAAGGTTCAGAAGGCTCAAAAGTCTTCAAAGGCTCAGAAGGCTCACGAGGTTCCAAAGGGTTCGACAGGTTTGGAAGGCTCCGAAGGTTCAAAATGTTCAAATGGCTCCCAGGGTTCCTTCCAAAGGTTTGAAAGGCTGCGAAAGCTCAGAAGGTTCAGAAGGTTCAAAAGGCTCAAAGCGGTCGAAAGGTTCATTCAAAAGTCTCCAAAGGCTCAAAAAAGGCTGAGAAGGTTTAAACAGTCTCCAAAACCTCAAGGTTCAAAAAGTATCCAAAGTCCAAACAGGGCTCAGAAGTTTCTCCGCAAAGGCTGCTCCAAAACGGAGCCAAGGAGGAGCCAGGAAGGCTCAAAACGGTTGAGGGCAAAGCGAACGCGAATAGCTTCGCCCCCACACTCCATCATCACCGCGGAAAGACGCGAATCAGGTTCGCAAGCAAACTCAATCAGAACCCAAACCCAGCATGGCCGCTCCCATCGCGCCTGCAGCAAGCCCTGCACCACCGCGAGGAGCATCTCCGTGGCCTCCTCCTCGTTGCCAGCCTGGGCCACCTCCACGCAGTCCTTGACGTCCCGCCGCGTCAGCAGCCACCCCACCACCTCCTGGGGAGGTGGCCCACCGTTTTTTCCCCCTTTTTTGGGGGGGCCTACCTGTTTTTGGGGGAGGGACCGTTTCTTGTAGTTTTTTGGGCCTTCAGAAGTGACACTGCCAAGGGACCCCACCAAGAAAGTGCCAAGTTTTTAAGTGGGAAGATCGAGTGACTGTCCTTCTCCATCTCTGCGAAGTCCCCGAAACCGGGTCCGGCCGCAGCTTCGCCCATGGCTAGGTGAAACGGGGGCGGCAAAGCGGTTGGTACAGCTTGCACGTTGATCAGGTAGCTTTTCAGAGTCCAAGGGCGTGACTTGATAAGGGTGGGCCTGCCTTCCGCCAGTTCACGATGCAGCTGGCCGGGGGCATTTCAGCTTTTAAACGTTGCCACTGGCAAACTTAACCCATGGCTGGCTATCGAAATGAAGGGCCCCTTCTCAAAGACCTCTTCGCAAAGACCCCTTCGCAAAGAAGCCCACAAGACCGAGTCCAGGAACGAAAGGCCACCCTTCTTTGTGACCCAGGAAATTCCTGTGAGCACCTCGCACCTGGAACCTCGCCGCGGAGCCGTGCAGGGTCAAAGGCTGTGGCAACCCTCTAAGGCAACGCCTTAGAGGCTGTCGGATGTGCTTCTGGGGAAAGAACAGTGGGGGCTGATGAGCAAACTTTCGGCTCATTAGTTGCAACATGGATGCTTGCCATGTCAGCAGCGATTCAGTCCAGCCATCCTTCTCACGTTCAACTCACTGGTGATATTTGCCCGGGCTATACAACACTCACAACAGGAAGCGCTGATCCCATGTGAGCTCCGCCCCAATCCCGAGATGTCTGAAAAGGGGAGCTGCGGGAACTGAACCCGAGACCGAGACAGCCACAAGGGGGGGCCTGTCCTATCAACTTACTCCAACGATACAGGTGGGCGTACGGAAGATCCTGCCGTGAGCTGTGACTTGGCGCAATTCACGCTGAACGAGTCTACCTCCTGGCAAGATCTAACCTTTGGAGGTCCAACAGAAAAATCAACCAGCGTCTAACAGATCAAACCCAAGAAACACATTGCTTGCTCAATCCATTTGAGGGTTTTGCCTGGTTTGGGCAAGGGCCAAATGCCCAGACCCGCAGGCCAGCCGCGAAGAAACCACGCGCGGCGTGGCGCCGCCTGACCCGGCGCTCCCTTTTCGCCGGCCAACGTGTGTTGCCCGCAAGGAGCCGCAGGCCATTGCCTGCATCGCGGGATTCTCAACCCTTTGGCATAGTGAGAGAACGGTGTTGTTTGCGGCCCCCTTGTCGTGCAAAAATGGAAAAGGAAAAGGACTGAAGAACTCAAAAGCAGAGAATGCAGGTGAGAACAGTGAAGATCAGGCAGTGGCTTCATGATGGTTTCTTGCTGGTACGGGGCGTTTGCTTTGGATTGGCGCTTCGAAGCTTTAACTTTGGGTGATTGCATCGCGCGCATCTGTGTTGACGACTCTTGGCCTGAGGAAAAGCAAGAGTGGGTGCTGGTTGAACTTGTCTTTTCGGCTTTGAAGTCACGGTCTGGGGTTCCGTGGGTTTGGGGCCCGATGTAGGCAGGGCGGAACTCTGAAGGACCAGTCAGTCAACCAGCAAAGCACCCGCCCCACTCACTCTGCTGACGGACGGAGCTGCCACCAAATCCCAACCTATCCAGACTTAGCTGGTGCCGGCTTCAAATGGGAAAGGGATACTTTTTGAGGTACCATTTCTGGTGTAGCGTTGTATAAACGAAACGAAAAGGCGCTGACCCCCGTCGATGTGATGCACGCAGGGGAGCGACTTAGCTTCAAAGTTCCCAGGTTCGACTGATCTTAAGGTCGCTTTGACATCACGCTAAGGTCGCTGGCACCGCGGCGCCTGCTTGATCTTGAGCTAATTTCTGAAAACTACCAGCAGGTCATTACAGAGACCGAAAACATAAACTCCCTGCGTTTGTTCACCTCATGGATGCCATGGCCACATCTCATCAAATCTCGGCTTCCATCGCTCTCCACTCCACTTACCCCCACCTCTGCAACTTAACACGGAGCCCAACTTCCATGCCTCAAAAGAAGATCCCCTAACCCACACACACACACACACACACACACGCGCAGAGAGACGCATCCCTCAAATCCACCAAATGGATGGCTGGGTGTCTGTCGATCTGAGTCGCCCAAAAGCCCACCTCGCCTCACTCCGCCAGCTCCGCCCGCACCCGGCGCCACAGATCCCGGCAGCTCGCCGCCTGCTCCGCCAGCACCGGGCAAAGGCCCGTGCCCAGCTCCTGGCGGCAAGCGCAAGTGGAAGCGAAGCGTGCCCGGGTGGAATGCTGCAAGACATCTATGTTTGCTTGTTTGGTCACGCAACAGTTGAATATGTATGTACATATATATATATATATGTGTGTGTGTGTGATGTGTATGCACATGCATATAAATGCTCATACACAAAGAGCACAACACGCAAACAGGTGAGAAGTCAATTTTCCTCTAAACAAGGAGAACCCTGAGAACATGTACGGCCTTGGTTTGCTTGTTGCGGCCTTCCTTCAAACACCGGAAAACGAGCGCTTTGACTTGAGAAACATTGAGCATGTGGCTTTGCTTGGTTTGGCCAAATGCTCTTCGCGACCCCACATCTGCCATGCAATGATCTCGGTCTTCATGCTCGCAATCCTTTCACTTGCCCTCAGGCCGCATGCGAGGACCGCGCATGCAGCGGCCAGGGTGACGTGCTTGAGGCACGTCCGACACGAACGGGCGCGCGCGCCTCAACCGAGAGCTGGCCCTTATCTGCTCAGCCCCGAAAAGCTGACACGCGCAGCAAATGCGCCAGTGTCAACGTCTCCGGGTTCCTGGTGAACACGGCGGCGCAGCCGCTCATCTGCCAAATAGCGCAGCCGCTGAGCGCAGCTTCGTCGGCTCGACGACGGCCGACTGACCTCGGCGCCCTGGCCAGAATACCACAGTGCGCAGCACCACAACGCCTTCCAAACACAGAGGCGAACGCGCCTGCCGCCAGCCCCTGCGGTGCCCTCTGGGGCGCAGACGTGCCTCCCGCAATGCAGGCATCCACATCGAGCAGCTCCGCCGAATGTGGGCGCTGGAGCTCATCCATGCAGTGCGAACTCGCGTCAAGCGCGCAGCGCGCGACCGCAACGGTCTACGGTTCCGCCGCAGCCACCAAGTTCTGAGCCTGAAGCGGCATGTCTGCTTCCACGCCCGTAGGAGGTCCGTGACCGAGAGGTCATCAAAGCCCCAAACTGCGTGCCAACATAGGCCACTGGACGGTATGCCATGACACCTACAATCTGAGACAATCGCGGCAGCAGGGCGGTATGCGTGTTGGGAATCCACAAATGGCACAACAGCTGGGAGAAAAGGCCTCGCCCGCAGCAAACGCCGCCAACCACGAGACAAAGCCGACGGAAACGGTGCCAACTCCGCACTCCTCCCCACCCCACAAAGTCAAGGAACAGCCCCAGGCGAATTCTAGACCGCAGGGGCTGGAGGAGGAGCAGGTCCATGGCATCGGAGAGCGCATAGTACCGGGCCCAGGCTTCCCGTCGTGGCACCCCGATCAAACATGCACGTCTTGTGTCGCGAGTTCTCGGTACATGCCTGTCTGATGTGTCTTGGACGTCCGGCACGTTTCTACGATATGAAGGCTGCTCTGGTTTCGTTTGGCTTTGGGTGACCTTGGCGCGCTCCTATCTACGGTCAATCTCCATTTTCTTTTGCAGCGGTTGTGCAACATGCCGTCTTTGGAGCGCACGTTGACAAATGCGTGTGGGGATCCTAGGGCGTTGCCACTTAGACTTCACTCGCGCGGCTGGGGCCACGATCTGGGCTAAATTTGTGTTTCGAGCGAAACTCGTCTTTTGCGGACCCGTCTTTGGAATCCATGTTCGGCAGGCAGTCCCATTTTTGGGGCTGAAGCTGAAGTCCTCAAAGGTAATCTGTTCCTATATGGATACACATGCATTCTAGCAAGAAAATGTAGATAGATCTCTAGCTAGCTATAGCTAGCAGCTAGCAGCTAGCTTGCTGGGTCGATAGCTAGCTAGGTGGACTGATAGATAGACATCTCTCTCTCTCTCTCTCTGTTTGGATGCAGCTATGTTTTTGACAGAAACGAAGCTGCACTCGGAGCGTCCTCAGGGCTGGCACGGCTAAGGAGCCGCAAGGCAGCACTGGTGCCGTGGCTCTCTTCCAACTGCCTTGCCGATCCGGCGGCAGGACAGTGTCTCAGGGGGCACTCCCGGTACTCCTGAACTGTGCGAGTTTTGGCTTGGTTCCACCCAAACAGAATCCGGGGGCGGGGTAAGGTCATGGGCAGAGCTATACCTCCATGGCTCGGAATCCCCCCCCCCTGACATCAATTCCTGATTCATTTCTCATAAGAGCTTCCTTACACACGAGGTTGGTCTTTGACCATTTAGTCATCCTGATGGGCTTGGAGCGGCCAACTGGAGCTTGCGCAAGCCTCGCACCTAGCCTTTCCCCGCAGGGCAAGTGCTAGAGCCCCCGAAAGCTCTTGACCATGCACACCAACATCCCCAATCTCCCAAAACTTGACTTGTGTTGCACGTGTGTTTGCACTGTGCACTGTTAAATGTGCATGTGCAGATTGACCCTTGGGCATACAGTTGTTGTTTGAACCAAGCAGAAGATGGACCCAAACAAATCTACACCGCGCCTGTTGCCCTGTAGTTCAAGAGGAGTGAATCGCGTACGCTTGCACATGGCATGGGTTCGTCTGCCACTACAAATGACTGCAAACTACAGAGAACCTTTGCGAAGCGAAGTCACCCCTGAAACTTGAACTTGGGAGATGATACGCTAAATGCACATACGCATGCACATATGTACATATGCCAATATATAGATAGCTCCCATAAATAGAATGTGCATACTATACTAAATGTTTAGAGGGAAATATGGCCATGACTACAAACGATCTACAAATACAAACATACATACCACATGCATATGCAAACGTACTCTGCGTCCTTCTCTTCTCCACATGCCACCACCCACCTTCAGCGCCCCCCGCCTGCCGCAAAGCCGGGCCTCCAAGTCCTTCAGCTCCTGTGCCTGGATCCGACGGGCCGAGGGAACCCAAATCGGCGCTCCTCAGCGGCCCACGCCCCTTGGAGTTGGTGGCCCTTTTGGTTAACCAATGCCTCAGCTTCCTGGCTGCGGTTGGGCAACTTGCAACGTGTCTGGTTGGACTTCGGTGTTTGATGGTTCAGGTCAGCTTTCTGGTGGGATTTCTTGTGTTTTGATGAGTCAGATCAGCCTCCCAATTGGTTCGGATCGGCTGCCTCTTTGAGTTGGTACCCCTACCAAAGGAAAATCAATGGGAAACCCAAGGAAAATACAGTTCCCCCTAGTTGGTGGTTTGATTTGGTGGTTAGGAGGTGTTCCTGGGGTGGTTTCCCAGTCATCTACAAGAACCAGGGGTTCAAATCCAATCCAAACCACAACCAACCTGATTTTCGGGTTGTCCATGAGAAAAGAGAAAAAGAAGAAAAACAAGAAGAAAAACAACACATCACCCGAAAGCTTAATTTCAACAAATAGGGCTGTCCATGGGTTGTTCGTCCAAAAACCTAGGGGGTCAGAAAGTGCACCAGACCAGGGCTAGGCGGGCTGTCCAGGCGTCTAGGATCCTTGAGGAAGAATCATCCTGGTATCACCCTCCACGTACAGCTTGATTCATTCATCCATGCTGATATGCTGCTATGATGTTCCTCCTTCGTTCTTTTCTTGAACTGGCCCTTTGTCCTGGGCTTTGGCGGATGGAAAGAAGGATCCCGGAAGGAGTTGGGAAGTTGCTGTTACCACAAGAGCGGTTTGTTCAAGCAACAGGCCCTAGCATCCACAAACAAGAGGCGTTCGACATAGGCACGCTCCCTCCCCCAATTCCATTTCTTACGGGTGGTCACAAAGCAACTTTGACAGGGCGGTTTCCCCAAGTGACCCAAATGCCCTCTAACATCGGAAATACAACTAAAAAGCGTAAAAAGTGGCGTCTCTGCAAACCCCAAACTGGAAAGCCTACCCTGGGACGTGTATGCAGCCACTCCCCCCAAAAATAAACATGGAAGTGGGCCATAGCCGAAGAATCACGACTTTGCAACGGATGCCTCGTGATGCCCAGCCAGATTCACCGCAGGCTGCAGGCCCGCCAAACGAGACAGGGCGAGTTGCGCTTGGTTGGTGCAACTTGGGGATGCCACCAAACAAACCATGAACAAGATGGACAGGAAAATCAAACCCAAGGAAAGCCCACATCGCAGGAAGAGAAACAAGAGCATCAACTGTCCCGCCTGTTCTGAGGGTTCAAAGGTTGAAACCTCCCCGAAGGCACTGGTGTGAGCAGACGCTCAGGTTCAGGTTGACACGCGTCTGCTACCGGGCTTCTAAGTGGACAAGGCAATTTGGTTCAATTTCGACGTCGACATCAAGTCAGATGTTTGTCGGAACGCAATGCCCCCAAAAACAGTGTTGGCAGGGTGGGGTTGAGGAACCCAATGCCAGTTTCTCTTGTCCCCCCTACAAATCCAGAGACTCTCTCCCACGCACAAACTCATACCAGACCAGAGCATTTGGGGTCGAAACTCGGAAGCTCCTCCACCACCTTCGGTCACCTATTTTGAAATCCCTTTGGCCTGGTCGTAGTCCTCCTCCTCTACAGCCTGCTGCTTCCGCGACCGCACCTGAAGCGAAGATCCACCCCTAAAAGCGGGTGAAACCTTTGCCCGAGTGGACCCTTCCCCACAGGGAATGAGCGGAGAGTTGAGGTTATGGGATTACTCCAGACAAAGTATAAGAAAAAGTGAATGACCTTAAAATCCAGAAGTCTTCAAATGAACATCAAAGGCACAGATCCTGAAGTCTAGAATCCAATGGATGATAAGCAGAGGAATTGTATTCAAACAAAGGCTCCGGGGTTTCTTTTTGGAAATCACATATTTCCAAATCACGCCTGGAAATTCCCGGTGGGCTTTTTTTTTGAAATTCATGCCTGGGGGGTCCCGGTGTTCTTTTTTGAAACCACCTCTGGGGGGGGGGGGGGTCCCGGTGTTGTTTTGTTGAAATTCACGCCCAGGGGGTCCCGGTTTTTGCTTCTTCTTCTTCTTTTTATCACGCCACGCTTGGGGCCCAGGCGGGATGTACAAAAAGAAAACACTAGGACCCCCCCACGTGACGTCAAAAGAAAAACACCCAAGGCAAAAACAAAGCGGAGCCCCAAGGCGGAAATTCTAAAGACAAAACACCCCGGCCCACAGGCGTGAATGCAACAAAAACAAGCACCGGGACCCCCCCCAGGCGTGATTTTAAAACACACAAAAAACAAACAAAACGGTTCCTCAAACAAATAATTGTAAGATGAATCATAACAACAATTAGTCAGAATAAGATGAAATGAAGAGGTGACAAATAGACAACAAATGAACAAGGGCTTACACAGCAATGAACTTTCTACTTGGGAAATTCGAAGGCTGCCAATGGACAACTAATAGCGAGTGAAGGAAGCGATGGGATGATAGAGAGATGTCCAAGATCGTTCTTGTCCCCGCGGCCAATCCCATGAAATTCCTTCCCTCTCTCTCTCTCTCTCTCTCTCTCTCTCTCTCTCTCTCCTCATCTGCTCTCGTTTCCTCGTCCAAGATGCGAGACGTGGGGGAAACCAGACCCTCTCTCCAACTCGCTCTTCCATCGCTCATTTCTTGCCACAAGCCGACAACCTGATTACTGGGGGGTCATGAGGGCCCTTAGAATCAATTAGCCCCAATGATTCACTTCCCGTACGCATGCGTCCGAATCTTCTCCATTGCAAGACCTGGAAATCCAAAGTTTACCTTTCGGAACCTTGACTAAATATGGATGGGCCTTGGTGAGAAGAAGTTGGTCATCTAGAAAACGGTATGGATGCGCTTTCTGTGGATATCACCTGTTCTTCCTTCCTTTTTTAGAATTATGTTCGTACTCTTTTAATATCCAACAGGGGGCGTATCCACAGATTCGCTACATCCAAACTGTTTTCTAGACGTATGGCCAAGGGGGTACTCTCGAGAAAAGAATCACCCTTTTCCGCGCTCCTCCTCGAGCTTCGCAACGTCCACCTCCCGCGGAGCCTGTGAAGCCAGGGGCTCCCTTTTGGCGGGTTTCAACGGAGAACCAAAAGGAAAGCCCACCATTTGGGAGGGGAGGGTCGCCCTAAAAAAAGACAGACCCATCCTGAAAAAGTCCATACCCTGTGCGCTTGCTGTCAGGGGGGAGACGATGTACTAGTCAATAAGTAATGCCCAGTGTGCATGTTTTGGACTTGGCGCTCGTTTGGCGGCTTGTTTGACGGGACATCCCAGGGAAACCGAAGCCGGTTACATGCTGATACGGGTGCATACTTTGCTGCTTCACAGCTTAGGTCACACCAATGTCTGCATCAATCGATGGCGGCAGCCGCAAGTTTCAGCGCTAGAGTGATGTAGGCAACCTTGAGCTATGATTTTCCCTCAGGTTTAAATTGCCCGAGGCCCCTGATAGAAAACTACGTGACGCTTTCTTGGAAGGAGAGGGTTGTGTTTGTGGGAGGGTGCTCGGGCCCATTGACTCAAATGGCAAGGGCAACCCTTTTTGGTTTCCCTTCAAAACAACTAGAAGAAAAAGAACAAAGAGCAGGGACCATGGTATGGCGCTTTTTGCGCGTTTGAGGCTCCCAGCTTTCCCAGTCTCTAAAACAAGCAATCAAGACGAGCCACCCATCTGCTACGCTTCAAACCCCCCCCCCCCGGCCGCCTGGGCCTTCGCCGCCTCCTTGGCCTTCTCCAGGCGCCCGGCCACCAAGGGCTCCTGCTGCTTCAGCAGCAGCGCCAGGTCAAAGTCCTCATGCGCCGCGCGATCGATGCGCGCGATGGGATCCGAAAGGATCTGGGCAAGAAACAAACAAAGTGAGTGTTGCCTGGTCTTTCTCTGCAAAGAAACGTGTATATATATATATATATATATACGCGTGTGAGCGTGTGTTTGTGCATCATTAAAAAAAAAAAAAAAAAAAAAAAAAAAAAAAACATCTCATGAACGATGCATCAATCTGGCTCCTTGAGCCCGTTTCACTCCCCAATCGGCTTACTCGGCATTGACTTGTCCTGGATCTGGGTGGCAGTGAGCGCAAACCAACCCGGCCCTTGTGGAGACGCCCGGAAGAAACTGTCCAAAGGCTTGCATGGACTGAGGGTTCCAGCAGAGATTGCCCCCATAAAATCACCCCCAAGAGAAAAGACTGATCTCAACGGGAGCTTCCCCCTCGCCCCCCTGTTCAGGCAGACCGTTTGCTCTGGTTCCCTCCAGAAATTGTGCCATTGCCCCATGGCTTTGGGCCCTTACGGTGAAATGTCCAAAACTCAGCCATGAGGGGCTCCCAACAACGGCCGGCTTTGGGAGCACGAGCCCGGCATCTTGGCGTGGGCTCGGCGAAGGCTGGCCGCTGGCTTTTGGAGTTTGTAATGAAGCTATGCTTCTTTCCCCGGAGAGGCCCGGGGGGGAGGGGGGCGGTGGGCGAAACATGTTGGCGCCAAAGGGGTCTGATCTGACATCCCTCTGGTCGCGGCCAAAGGTTTCGAGGGGATGGGGCTCCCGTTCCTGCCGAGTCGCCATGTGACTACCAATGGTGTTCCAGGATGTTTCGCCCGTCCGTTTTCCATGCTGCAGGAAGCGAGGATAAACAACCTCATTGCAACATAACATAAGTGCTAAGCAGTGGTTTTGGCGTGGACGAAACCCAGAAGATCAGTGGAATGTTGGGGGGCTGCAATTGCAAGAGCAGAGGAAACTTGAGAACCGCATTGAAACCAACAAAATCCATCAATGCTCAACAAGCCGACTGAAAAGACTCCTATGTGCGCTGTCAACGCCTTATCCACCAAAAATCACCCGCGCAAAAAACCGGCCCCGCAGCTGGCTGCCAAGGGCCCCTCCAACAAACAGAAGGAACCTGCAGGCCGCTTCCCCCGGTTTCGGGGAGCGACTCCCCCCAGAGTCGGCCTCTCTACGGGCCAGGTCTCCTCCGCCTCAATGGCCCGGCGCTTGCAACACCGCAGCACCGCGGCTTCCAGCAGGCCTCGGCCGATCGCCGAGCTCGAGCTCAAGGGGGTGCCTCACAAGAAAAATGGAGCCCCAAATCACACCCCCTGGAACCCTGACAAATGGAACCTTGGCGAAATGGCACCTTGGCAAATGGAACCAAGGGCTCCCACCCGCGGAACCTCCCTCTCATTTTGGGCCACACCTTTTTGGCTGAATTTGGCGGGCGCGGGCCTTTCTCAGGGTCATCCCGAACGTCCCATGAAAGGGCTCCACATGTGCCTTAAGTCGTGGGAACCACCCTTGAAGGCTCAAACATTTTGCAGACCCGTCGCTCCATGCGACCGAAGCCACCGAAGCCGCCAACCCGCTCATCCCCCACCAAAAAAAAACACTCCTCCACCCCCCCTCCCACCAACTCTCTCCTCCCCCTCCCACCCCCAAAAAAAAAAACGCAGGAGCGAGCTTCGTCCCAGCGGCACCGCGCCCAGGCCTCGACGCCCTCCACAGCCTCCTCGCCCTCGGTTTCACTCCGCTGCCGCTTGGCTGGTGGCTCGCCGGCGACGTTCTCGGCGGCGTTTTCGTCGGCCGGGCGCTCACTTTGCGCGGCTGCTGCCTGGACCAAACGTGGCTGCGCAACTCAAGAAAGGGGCGCTGCACTCCGCAAAAGTTGCAGCGTCACCGCATTTTGTCTTTGAAGACAAGCTGAAGAAGGGGGAACCCACCCAACGCGCGAAGCAGCCTTAAACAAACTTTTGAAAATCCCAGCCAACAATCCAACGCAATGGGATTAACCAGCGAGCACGGACCTTGGCTGCCACAACATGTTTACATGCTCACACATGGGTTTGCATCTTCTGGCGCCATGCGACTCTATGCGTGGAGTGCCTGCCGGCTGGACTTTGTGCGCAGCCTATTCCCTAACATCGACACTGGTGTCAGGTTGTCCCTCTCCCTCGTAGATGAAACTTGTTGGCGGAATCCATTGAACAACAGGGATAAGTGATCCACAGTCAAAATCCCTCGAGACACCCAATCAACACGAACTCAAATTTGCCTCAAACACCCTCCGGATATGTGTATGCATCTATAAATATATATATATATATATATACACATATCTCGCTCTCTCTCTCTCTTCCCAAAAAAGGGGGACCCCCAAAACAAAGACGCCTCCATCTGTGTTTTTCCATCCCCGGCTCCCAGCCCCCAGCTCCCGGCGCTTCGCGGCCGCCTGGCGCGCGTCGCGGAGGGCCTGGAGCTTGGCCTCCGCCTGCGCCAGCGTCGGGCCCACCACCCCGGCGCTGTGCGCCTCCCGCACCGCGGACCCGAAGACCAGCTCCGTCTCCTTGGGCGGACGGCGCACGCCGGACGGCGGACGGCGGGGGTGCGTGGACGGCCGGGGATGGACGGATCCAGAGACAAAGCGGGGAAAGCTTGGGGCAAGAAAAAGCGGGGAAAGTCCGCAAACAATGGCACAAGCTGCTATGGGCTTTACGGGAAAGCCCAGCGGAAAAAGCGGAAAGCTATCCGGCAAACGAATTGAAGAGGTTGCCATAGTGGTTTGTTGTAGATCCAGAATTGGGAAAGGCGGGGAGATGGACTTGCTCAACTGACAAGTGAAAAGCTTTCTGGGAAACCAACCGGAAAATGGCTGCTCTGCATTTGGGAAAATATCCAACCAACATTACCCATGTGGCTGGGGCTGCAACCAGAATCCCTAACCTTTGAAAGAAACCCCCCTCAGGTGAAGATAGAAAAATCCAAGCCGTTAAAAATGGTTCATAGGGTGGAACGAAACGCCGGGGCGAATCCAAGCCGGACTCTGACCGAGGACCCCTTTAAAACGTCATGAACCCCCTGGCAGCTTGTGGGTTTCCAGGAGCTAACTGAAGGAGTTCCCTCGCCATTCGCAGCTAGGCTCCTCATCAGCCGCCTGCAGCCCCCCTACGAGCTCCATGGCTGCCAGCAGTTCCTGATCAATGGGTCCGTCTCATGAGGAACGGGTGATATAGAAGCTATCCCTTCCCACAAAACAGCAAGTCTTCCAAAAGGTTCTCACCAGCCATGGAGGTTTTAGTAACGGAGGAAAGCTGATTCACAAAGAGTAACCCGAGCCCTGCAAGGAGAAAGGACTGCGATCTGGACCCGGAAGCCAAAGCTTGCGAAGTGTAGCTATGGAGTGCCTTCACCTCCGGCTGAACCTCTTTTTGGGCCACCCCGTGGAGCCCCTAGTTACCACTATGTTCTTTTGGTTCTTAAAGGCTGGTTCCCTTGATTACCTGCTATACAGGAAAATGGGATCACTGGGCCATGTTCAATTGAGTTTCCTGGTGGAGTGATGTTTTTCAAGAGGACATACAAGAAACCGCTCCTTTGCAGCCGGGAGATGTCCGAAGCAAGGTGGGGTCGCACAGCACCAAACCACGGCCCGCGTTGGCGTGCAACCCAAATCAAACAAATATGGATTACCATGATGGTTGCAAAGCCTGCAGCTTGGCAACAGAACGCAAGAGCCCAGTCAGCCTGAACTAAAAGGACAACTGTGCTCCTGTCGCGGCCTGACACATGGTTGGCAGCGTCACTATGCCGCATGCCCATGTCTGACGAACTTTTTTAAATCGCGTGCGATCTCCGGAACATTTGACACGATTGCGTCTGCAGCCTGCACATAAAATCACCCTCCATTGCGGCCGAAACTGCCATCGACTCAGCTTTAGTCTTTTGCCTGCTACTCCAGCTTTTAAATCAACCCTCAGACCGCTTCTGTCAGCATTGTGGTTGGCAACGTCTCGGGATGTTTTAGCCTTCCAGCGAGCCCAAAGAAACCGACATACAGCATTCGTGCCTTAGCATCCTCCATGGCTGATCCATTCAACAGCCCTTTGGGCACAAATCATGGCTCCGCGTTCGGTCTGCTCAGAGTAGGGAGTAACCAGATGTGTCAAAATTGGGCGACCCCCGAACAAATTGGAATCCTTCGGTTTCCGTTGCAATCAACCTGAAAATGCAGCCTCAAAACCATACCAGGCGTATAGCGAGGCCACGGCACACCCAACTTCCCTGTTCAGAACCCTCTACGAGACTCTACGTCTACATTACATGTTTGGATTCCAGGCTTGAAACGGAATGCTTCTCTCAGGCCAGCTTGGGCAACTTGGGTGCTTCTTAAAGGGAAACTGAGAGACAAACCACCATTTTGGAGTCCCCTACAAAAGACGCACCCAATTCCATGTTGCCCCCTTTCGAAATAGCCCGCCAAAGCCACACCCTCTCGATTTTCCCCGATGCGATGCTTAAGGCTCATTCCGCCAACGTCAGTCTGGGGTTTGGGGAGGTTCCCCCTTTCAGAAGCTCGTCTTGGCCATGGCGTTGATTCCCAGGGTCTGGCTGCACCAAGCAAGTAAGTAAATCAGTAAGTAAGCAAGCAAAAGCAAGCAAGCAAGTGTGCCATCCTCAAAGTGGATAAGACACTGGGTTTCCCATTATTTCACAATGAAAGTCACCCCCTAAGTGATTGGTTAAAGGGGAACGCCCCCGAGTTGCTGACTTTGACAAACCCCCAGTCAAATTGCCCCCCCCCCCCCCCACCGGCTTCGTTATTTCTCCATTCGGCCAAGGGACTGGCTGCTTCGAAACCCCTCCTTTGCCCCCTTAAACCTGCGGCTCGTCTTTTTGTTGATTCCCTTTCTGGTTTTTTGAGGGGGACAAAAGAACAACCTTTTCAAAAAGACATTGTCTGTAGTGCCTTCTTTTTGAGGTGCCAACTTTCCTTCTGATCTCTCCAACCTTTACGAGACACACCCCTTGGCCCCCCTTGACCTCCCCCGGACCGGTTGCAAACCGAGGCGCCGCCTCCGCCGCCTTGGTGCACAACGCCGCCTCCGCCGCCTCCAGCGCCTCCGCGCCCAAGGCCCGCGCCTGCGCCAGGGCCTCCCGGAGCTCCGCCTCGCTGCCGGCCAGCGCCTCGGCGGCTCGCGCGGCTGGTGCGCTCAGGCGCGCGCTCGGGCGCGCGGGCGCGCGCGGGTGGAAAGGGCGGGTGGAAAGGGCGCCAAATGGGAGTTGTTGGTCTTGCACGGTGGGCGTCCCTCTGAAAAATACCGGTTTCAGAAAAGAACGCCCTCTGGTTCTGGTTGAAAAGTGCCTCTGGTTGAAAGGGGCTACCTATTTGACCAAAGAAGGTTCACTCACTGGAGAGATGTGCTCGGGTTGGCCAAATGGGCGTTTCGGATCATGACGCTTGACAGACGGCCAACTTGCCAAATGTGTCCACTGGACATTGGTGGCTTCCCTTTTGTACCAGAAGGGGGTACCCAGAAAAAAGCACGAGAAACCCACTTGAGATTGGGAGCAAAGATCGCCGTTGCACACTGCCAGGAAAAGAAGCTTGCAAAAAACTACAGCAGTGTTCAGAAGGTCCCTGGATTTGTTCACAACCAAAGCCGAAGCGAGGGCGTTCGAGAATCGATTGGCTGGCTGATGGCGAGCCAGCTCTTGGCTGGTTTCTAGCCAGCTAGTTTGCTTCGTCAGCGAGTGCGACCATCAGCTAGTTAGCTTTCTGGTACTTGGCCGAGCCTGTTGGCAAACTAGCTAGTTGAGTTGGCTACTGCAACTAGCTATACAATTACGTTGGTAAGCTATTACGTTGGTAAGCTAGCTTGTCAAGTCGTTGATTGGTTGGCTTGCTAGTGACCTGGCGAAGTGGTCAGCCAGCTCGAGAGAAAGCTAGCTAGTCAAATAGGTGACTATCTTGTTGGCTCGCGTAAGTAGTTAGCCAGCTCAATGATAAGCCAACTAGCTATCTAGCTGGTCAGGTTAGCTGGCTGGCTGCCTAGACAATTGGCTAGCTGCCAACTACTTAATTAGCTAGTTGCCTCATGAGCTAACCATAGTCCGATAGTGGGTAAGTCAGCAGATTCAGGTATGATGTCTTCAAAAAGCTGTCTAACAAATAGCGAATGATGGTGCTAGCAAAGAAGTGTAGACCAACAAAATTCACAGAAGTATTGATCACACCATTATGTCCAGTCAATTGCCGCTTGCCAGGGTAATCTGTGTGTTGGTTACGTTGCGTACCTTCTGCTCAAAACGAATGTCTGCCCAAACGACCTGAAAATGAAAGGTTAACCTTTTGGAACCTCGACTAAATATGGAAATCAGGAAAACGAAAAGGTTGAACATCGATTTGCTTGGGGCCTTTGTCGGTTTGCGTTTGGATTGAACCCCTTGTGGGTTCCCCCCCCGCCCGCGCTGAGAAGCTCCAAAATCCATTCGGCTCAAAACCAACAAAACCACGAGGTGTCCCCCTCCTCAACCTCCAAACCAGCGGGCTCCAGCTCCAAAAAAACAATTCGGCTCAGCGAGGGAAGCTGAGGAGCGACGGCAGCCCGCCTCCTGCAGATTCTGCTCCGCCTGCAGACGGCCCAGCTGCAACTCCGCCTCGTCCAAACGCTCCTTCGGACGCTTCGGGGACGGGGGACGGGGGCGTGGGGTGGCGGTGGGGTGGGATTGGGGCCTGGGCAAAGTTGGGCTTGGCCGGTTCTAGGTTGAAGAATGTGGCATACCTAATTTTGGGGGGCAAAAGGTACAGAAAGGATGAATGAAAGTGGAATTGTTTTTTGAGGGCTCAAGACACTGCCCCTCTCTGCTCCCGTGACAATTACATAAACTAGGGGTCGATTGCCTGCTATTTGGCCACACCCTTTTTTGTGTTCACATGTTCCCTTTGGGAGTTGGTGCACATGCTCGTGATATTCGTCCGCTTCGAATCTCCGACATACCTTCAGCAAGTCAAACCCGAGGTCTCGGGGTGTCCCTTCAACTTCTCAGCTCCGAGAGGAGTCGCGCCCACATGATTCTCTGATGCTCTTGGTACGTTGGGTGTTGAGTAGTTTGAGGCTCGGTTTGGGGCGAGGGTGACTTTTAGAAACAACATGGTATTCAGCTCGGCAGTCATGGGGAATCACAACCATCTGGGTATCACAATAGCTCCTGCTTCCACTCCTTCACTGAAGGACAGTCCCGTTGACCAGTTTCTCACCCTACTTGCCCGAAGCCAAGAAAAGGCCGCCAGCGATGCTGTTGGAGCGACTAGTGGCCCAGGTGCTGTCATGACACTTGCATCTTGGCCCTCCAGCCCCCGCCCCCCCGTGGAAGAAAAGGAGCGAGCAAAACAAGAAAGCAAATCCGCACCTGAGGAACCCTGACACAATCCGACAGGTTGATCTTATCTTTGGCAGCCCCCACGTACGAATCAAAGAGCACTTCAAAAGGGCCCTGAAAGGGGTCGGGCGCGTGTGCTTTTGAAACAAAGCACAGCTTGTTTGATCTTCCTTACTAACACCAAAAAACCACAAAGAGTAGATCCCGCGCCAATCCCATGCCCATCGTTCCCCACATCTCTCCTCGGGCACCTGCGCCTCGCGCGCCGCGTTGAGCGCCCGCTGCAGCTCCGCCACTTCGCCGCTGGCCAAAGCATCGCCCAAAGCGGCCCCGGCCTGCAGCTCCCGCAGCCAACCTCGGCGCGCCAGGACCCCCCCAAACAAAAGCTGGGTTTAGGGTTTAGGGTTTAGGGCCACCTTGTGTTTCCTTCTTCTAAGCCGACCAGAAGGAATTCCCCGAAGAAGGAGGCCTTCGTGGGGAAGATCGTTTTGCCCCTCACTGCAATTTGCCGCCACTTGGGTAAACCCAAATGGCCCAATGCCTTTATGCAGGTGATGACAAACCAACATGCGAGAGTTGCACCGTCTACTTGCACACAGCTGGCCTGCCTCAACAAAATAATTCACTTCGCACCAGGGATGAATGAAACAACCAGTGAAACGAATTTTGTCCATGCACAGGCCTTATCAGGCCAGTGCTGGGTGCACTGTTGTGCTTTTGGTTTTCTGAACCAACCTGCAAAGGGCACCAAGCCTCGCTTCCCAAAAACCCGGGTATGGTTGCAAAACACAATTGTTTTGTCTATTTTTTCGCAGCCCCACTAGAACCAAGCTACTGAGAAACAACAAAAAGAAAGCGCCAAGAACCGCAAAGCTCCAAAAAACGCCGCCCGCCCGCCTCACCCACCGACCACCGCACGCCTCACCCACCGAAACTTCGACCGAGGGGCGCTCGCCCTCCTCGAGATGGGCCGGGGCCACCCTGGCGGCGCACGCCGCCCCGAGGGCGATGCGCATCGCCGAGGCGCTGCGGGTGGCATACGCCCGGCGCAAGGCTTTGGCCGCCAGCTCCTCGGAGGAAGGGTGGGGGGTTCAGGGGTAGGTTTATAAATTTCCGGGTTTAGGCTCAGGCTTCTTCAGCTAATGCCAACAGAAAGCGCCGACCCCATACCCTCTTTCACAAAGTAGAAACTCACCCGATAGATTGGCCCCTCAACAGCCACCCCTATTTGTGGGAAGAATTAAGCCCGGTTGCAACCAAGTGGGGGTCCAAATCACTTTTGAGGATCCAATTCCGGCATTCCGCCAGGTTTATGAACCCCTGCAAAAGCCCCCAGCGCTCTGTCCAAAACGGGGCGCAAAACAGTGACGGCATTCCCTGGACTGCGGTCTCAATCTGAGCAAAGCCCCGAACATCCTGGCTTCAAAGGAGCACACCCACGTACCCACCCAGCTTCTCTCCTGAGGCGTGTCGGCGGCCGCGCGTTCCGCTTTCACCATCTCGACATCTGGCTCCGAGGCTGGAGACTTAGCCTCTTCCTCCTCCGGCGCGGCAGCTGCTTGCTCACAGGGCGTCAACAGCTCCTTGGGGACCTGCGAGGCGCGTTTGTCGTCGGTGCTGCCCGAAGGATACGCTCCTCTTAAAACAAATGGGCGGAATTTCACCCAGCATGATGGGTAGCCCAAAAGCGCAACATATTATAGCGAGCGCGGCATAATAATGTCAAATGCGGTCTTTGCCTTCGGGTCTTTGCCTTCGCACACAATACAAAGTCCATCAAATGCACTGAAGGGCAAAGTTTTGACCGTATCTATCGTGCAAGTGTGCTCACGCGAGTTTGCTCGCGCAAGCGCGCTGGTGCGAGTTGGTCGTGCAAGTGTGCAAATTGCTCCGCGCAACTGCTCTGTAGAAGTGTTCTTGCAAAGCTGCTCTCTGCGCGACTGCTCTGCGCGAGTTGCTCTGCAAGGGGCGCTCTGCGCAGGATGCTCTGCGCTGGATGCTTAGCGCAAGTGCTCCATGCAAGTCGCTTTGCACCACAAGTGCTCTGCGCAACTGCTCTGCGCAAGATACTCTGCATAAGTGATCTGCTAAATTTGCTCTGTGGAGGCGTTCCTTGAAAGCTCTGCGCAGCGCTGTGTGCAGCTTCCTCTGCGCAAGCGCTCTGTGCAAGTATGCTGCGCAAGTGGCTCTGCGCAAGTGCTCGATGCAAGTTGGTTTGCGCAAGCGCTCCACGCAAGCTGCTTTGCACAAGTTGCTCTGCGCAAGTGCTCTGCGCAGGTTGCTCTGTAGAAGTGGTTTCGAAAGTTGCTCTGCCAAAGCGCTCTGCGCAAGTTGCCCTGCGCAAGTGACCGGTGCAAGTTGCTCCGCGCAAGTGCTCTGCGCGAGTTGCTCTGTGCAAGTTGCTCAGGTGCTCTTTGGAAGAAATCTTCGCGCAGGTTGCTCTGCGCAAGTGCTCTGCCTAAGTTGCTCTTGCTGTGCGAAAGAATTTGTGTATGTCACTGTATGTCCTTCTCTGACATCCGCATGCACAAAAAGAAGTAGCAAGAGTCGTTAGCTTTTGCACATCGACCACGCCGGTCCCCGCATAAGGGTCATTTTCGCAGAGGGTTCGGTCCCACCGCGCCGCCTGAAAGATAACTTTAGTCTCTCGTGCAAGTGTGCTCGTGCAAGTGTTCTCGTGCAAGTGCGCTCGCGCAAGTGCGCTCGCTCAAGCGTGCTCGTGCAAGTGCGCTCGTGCAAGTGTGCTCCTGCGACTTTGATCGCGCAAGCGTGCCTGTGTAGGTTTGCTCGTGTGAGTGCGTTAGTGGGAGTTGGCTGGCGAATTCGCCGGAAGAACCCTTCGCAAATGCTTTTGGAAACAACCTGCCATTTTGCTCTGGGGGTTCTAGCGGTTTTCTGGAAAGAAGCCTCCCTGCAAAACATTCCCTAGAGATACGCATGGGTTCCACGTTCATGTGCAGGTACAGCTCACCAGCCAACAGGGTCCTCACAAAATTGGCACCAGTAGCTACTGTGTAATTAAGGGCCTTGAGGGGTGCAGAAAGTGGAACCTCACGAATCTCGGCGAAGTGCTACAAATCGCCACCCCGCATGAGGAACTCAAGCGAGGAAAGTTCATGCTTCCCTTCAAACGACCATCCATGTCGTTTCAAAACACCCCATTTCAATTAAATGGTGCAAATCGCCACCATCGCCCAATCCCTTTTCCCCTATCCTCCCTGAGGCCACTTGAGGCGACCTCCCCGTCCATTTTACCCAAGCACTTGAGTTCTTTCCCGCCTCGGCATCGGGGAAGTGCTCCGCGACGAGCTGCCTGAGCCCCGGCAGGGCCAAGGAGATCTTCTCCCCGGGGCCCTGCAACAAGATCACGCCTTGCATCGGACCATCCACGGCAAGTCGAGTGGAATGGACCCCGGATTCTTGCCTCCCATGTACCCCTTGTGTAATGTAAGTCAAGGGGCACTAGAAAAAGCACAAAGGTTTGGAATTTGGGGTATCGATTTCACCTAGACAGCAGACCCACTGGAATCACCCAATTTGGGGTGTTGATTGGCTCTACCTTGTGGAAGTGGCCTTGAGGGAGGCCCGAAAGCTCTCAACGTTTGCCAGCGCTGCCTTTGGTAGCTTTGAACAAGTCCTCGTCCCTTGGGCACTGGTCAACGTCGAAATTGCAAAAAGCATCGGTCCGGGCAAAATGTATCCTCTGGGAAAAGGCGCGTTCTCCACTTCCATTTGCTGGAAGGCAGGTAAATAAGGCAACACCTAAGCATGGAAATACTGAAAGTGTTTGACAAATGTTTTGGCCTCTAAATGAAAAGGCCCGCAACACCAAAGAATGAAACGTCCTTTGTCATTGCTTGAGGGTTGGTCTCCAAGGTTGGTCCCCGATTTACATATGACATTCTCAGAAGCAAAAGCTTCAAGAGGGCCACTCCTGACCTTATAGGCTTCTGCTGTGTCGATCTCACCATCCTGAGGGTGCCCAATCCGATGGATTCGAGGCCAAGGGTTGTGCTTTCCCACAATCCGAATTTCAGTTTGAACGGGACACCTCGACTTCTTGGACAACCAAGGATTCAAGAAATCCTGGGTCTATATGTCCAACCGTTTCTGTCACCGCCATGCATCGACATGTGTCCGCTGATCTTCATGGGAGGAATTGCTCGTTTGCCCCGGTCAGTGAGCTTGCTGTTCTTTTGGGAGGCCGATGATTGCTCGCGGATGCACAGGCGCTTAGGCGGTTTATCCCAGCACTAGGGTTTCATCCATACCAACTAGCGTGGATTTCACCCATCCACAGGATGCGTGTCTTTGTAAAGGGTACCCCGAAGCCATGTTGGCGGGTCCCAACCTCAAAAAACGACATATCATCCCCAGGCCATGGATGGTTGAAAGGCAACATGACAACCCCAACCAAAACCAAACACAAACAAGTGAAAAAGCGGAAAACCGGTCAGCCTTCGGCCTGGCGAGGAGAGAAAAAAAGAAAGATCCCTTTTGTTCCGCGCTTCCGCGCCTCTGGCCGGCTGCGCTGCCACGATGAGGTGCCCATGGGAGTCCCCCAGCTTCCGCAGCAGCGGGGACAAGACCCGGAGCACGTTCTTGGGCCAGTGCGCCTCACGTCCCGCTTGGCCCGCTCGGGGCACGTAAGAACGGCATGCCAAAGGACAAAAAAGGCATGAAGTGTCGGAATTGTGGAAGGGGGGGGGGTCTAGCTAAGGAGAAAAAAAGGCATGAAAGGTCGAAAAGGGGTCTTGAATGGTCAAAAGGGGGGGTTAGCTATGTTCTGGCTCAGCGGGCGGGTGGACCACTCTTGGAGGGCGGTTTGAAAAGAAGATCGAGGAAAACTGAGCATTTGAAGGATCCCTAAAATCTGATACATGTTCGCACCCATCACCGTTCAGCCTCTCCCGACGAATCAAGGCGTTGATGATACAGGGGAGAAACGATGCATGTGACAGTCAAGCGACGCCCCTGCCCTACATGACAACCATGTACATGTGGGCCACGAAGCTGCAAAAGCGAGGGATGTGTCGCTCGCCTTGTCGATGCTGATCACTAGCTCCTCTTGCCCCATGCTGCGAGCTTTGGCAGCGGGACGATTGTCAGCCGGAAGGCTCAGAGAATGAGGGGCAATCTCGTACCCAAACGAACCGGGAAAAACTGGCTAATCTTGCGGAACCTTGACGAAAAAGCAAACCAAACCCAGTGAAGTAATAATGGTAAAAGGTCACTTTGAGTAAGTAGTCACCGAAATCCGATATGAGTTCCAAATGCAGATGCTGGCTGCCCCCAAAACAGAAGGGTTCTGAATGAAAGAAGGGTTGGTCAGCGAAACGGTGATTGCGATTCCAACCCATGAATGAACCAACTGCAAGTCGATGGACTCGCGAAAACTCAGGTGAATTGAGCCAAATGCGCAATTCGCAGCAAAACACACGGAGCGAACAAAGGCAGCCTCAAATCCATGATGTCATTCAGGGCAACGCACATGCAGTGGGAAGCCATTTCTGACATGGCTTATGGAAAACTTGTCAACCTTGGGAATTCTTCAGATTTGGAGTCAGGTGTTTTCACGTCCGCAAACCTTTCTCGGCACGCGTGCGCTCTCCGGCTAATCGGAAAGGATTCAAGCCCTCGCTCTTGAAGGGCTGATCACCAGGGGCAAACAGAAGGCTTCAGATCTGAGCTAGGGAGTAAGCCAAAGAAGAAAAAAGCAAAATTACAGCAACCAAAGCAGGCTTTTTTGAGACAAGGACCGTGGGAGATGGGCTGCGAGGCCAACTTCAAAACTTGGGGCAACTCCCACCCAAGGAACCTGAGACAGACTCATCGAAGACAAAGGGGGGCCTGGCGAGATGAGAACAAAACTGCCAGGAATTGGAGTCAGGGTCCAAGATTGAAGTGGCTTCTGGTGGGAGCGGCCCAAGCGCGAAGCATGAAATTCAGTCCGCCTTGCCGAGAGAGCAAATTGAAGCGACCCGCCTCAGCGCACTGCGGCCGAGGCCACTGTCATGTACCCTGGGGGCCGGTACCTCATGTCTTCGAGCTATTTGACCCGCATAGCCCGCACATTCAGTTGGCTTAACCCTGGAACCCTAGGGGTGCAGCTCGGGTGCAGCTCCCGGTGGCATGCAAGACGCATTATTTTTGGCTTTGTTGACAGTCTCACCAACCATACGGCAGTTGGCAGTCAGTGTTGGGCAAACAGAGGTGAATCTGCGCATTCGAAGGTTTGAATTTGTGTAAGACAGGGTTTCCCCTTCGTTGGGCGCCAATCATATCTCTTCACTCCCACCAAGCGCCTCGTCACCGCCGCCGACGATCGCCTGGCCGATCCAACCAGCGGGAAAAACACACCAAAGCTGGCCGATCCGCCCATCCGAGCGCAAGGCTGGCCAATAAGAAAATATGGCAACTCTTAGGATCTGGGCAGCCTGCGGGCTTGCAGGCAGTGACAGCCCCAGCAGCCAGCACGGGCCAAACAAGCGGTTCCTCAATACCAAGTACTACGATTCGGGGATTTCTGCGCACGCTTCTTCAGGGCGCCTTTTGCGGGCATGTTTTCAAGGGAAACCAAAACGTATCGACCGATTTTCTGGCTTCACGTGACCCGTCTTAATCCAGGGGGCCCCCCCACAGAAAGCCTTGGGCCCGTTTCAAGGCCGGCGCTCGGCGTGGAGCTATGTGCCGCCTTCTGCGAAATGGGTCGGTCTTTTGCTGAGGGTGCTGAACCCCGGGTCCAAAATGTCGCTGCAAAATGGGTATTTTTTGAGGGTACCCTCCTTTTTTGGGGGGGTTTCAAAAGGGAAACCCCCTTGTGAAAGGGGGTGGGGGTCCAAGAAACAAGAGACACCAACATACAATCTGCAGATGTCATTTGAGCGCCTTTTTGAAGCCACCGCAAACCATCACCCTTGCCGCATCCAGCGGGCACATCCTCAAAGAGACCCCGTGTGCATACTTTTGAAAAGAGGAGACAAAGAACCAACTTGTGTTGGATTGAGGTGAACTCCCTCAAAGACTCATGGTGGCTCACACAGCAATAAGCACGGCTTATGCAAAATGAATCCCTTTCTGTGATGCCAAAGTGGACTATTATCTCTGTGCCTGCTTTGTCAATTGCAAGGCTACTCCCTTTGCCCCTAGACAGGGTTCACCGCGGAGCCTACGTTTCGGCTGTACCAGGTTCGAACTAGCCCTCATCAGGCTTTGTGTATTGAATCGTTCGCTTCCATGCGGCAAACAAATTTTGCATATCGCGAAAGAACCATTTAGGAACTGGAGCGATGCAAAATGCGAACATCAAGAGCGAGCCCTCTGCAAACTTTGGGTGCTGCGAGTCGCTCTTGCTTTGGCGCGGCGATTTGAGCCTGCGCATCGACACCGAGATCTCGAGGAGATCTTGCATTGAAATCTTGCAAAGGTCCTGTAAAAAAGACCTGCGCAAACACCTTGCAAGCATCCTCTTTCACACATCCTGCAAGAGATTTTGCAGAGATTCGCTCCAAGAGATCTTACACAAAGATGCCTGCCGCGGATCTGTGCATGGGCCACGCGACCCACGCGACCCGCGCTTGCCGTGGAGAGAGGACCAAACCCCGCACTCTGCGCTGTACACAAAGCTCCTGGCCAAGGAAACAAAATCAGCGGCAGCATGGGCAGCGCAACCACGCCAGCCAGGCCAGCAGCCGCCTGCGCCGGCTCGGCGGCTGCTGGACCCGCCCGGCACAAGCACCGAGCTGGCGCCGGGCCAACTCCTCCACCGAGTGCTCAAACGCCTCCTGAAGGTTCCAGTTGTGCTTTGCGCTGGTCTCCAGGTAGAGCATGTTCCATGACTCGGCGAAGGCAAGCGCCTCCTCCGCAGACACGACGCGATATGCTGCACGGTCGGCCTTGTTGCCCAAGAGGAGTAGCATCAAAGGCTCGCCCTGACGCCAGCCCTCCACATCCCGAATGCAGTGCCTGAGGTTGTTGAAGGACTCTCTGTCACTGACGTCGAAGATGAGGATCACACCTTGGCATCCACGGAAGAGGCCGCCAAAGCCGCAGCCCACGCGATACCGGCGGTTGCCCGCGGTATCCCAGATCTGCACCTTGGCACTCAATTTTGGTTTGTCCAGGCGCCGGGTCTTGAAATCCACTCCAATGGTGGGGACATGTGCTTCTTGAAAGGGCTCGCCGGCAAAGCGCTGCATGATGCAGCTTTTGCCCACGCCTGCTTCACCCAGCAGCAGCAGTCGAACCATCACATCGTACTCTTCCATGGCTAGCCAACGTGGAACTGCCAGGAACCGGCTAGTCCAACCACCCCTCAAGCTTTCAACAAGGGGTACACGGAAATAACCAGGGATCATGCTCAAAGATTTTGACGATGCCAAAATGGGGGGGGGGGGTTGGCGAATGCCTGCGGAGAGCCAGGAGAACTCTTGCGTGGAGACATTCTGCGGATCTTGTGAAAGACATATCGAAATATGCCAAAGAGATTCTCAAAAGGTGCATCCAAATGAGACGTCAAAAAGACTTCATGCCAATCCCATAGCAACACGGAAACAAGTGTGAAACAGGGGCATCAAAATCAAGGGACCGCTCCAGGATTTTGGCTCATCATCTCCCCTGAGAAACCGCTGAAAGGGAAACCACTCAACAGGCGGTTTATGCCTGACTTGGAGCCACCCCAAACCACCTCCCCCCAATCCGAGAAAACCGCTTAAATGCATCTGCGGTTTCCAAAGGGCACCGGGAAGAACATGTGCCCTTCTTTTTGTGTGGCAGAAAGGGAAGCCAAGAGGCAAAGCCACCATTTTAGGGGTCCCCGAAAAAAATAAGACACAGCCATGTCATGTTCTCCCCTTGGTGCTCCTTTACACCGATGTGGCACATAGCCCCCCACCCCGCCCCCCCTCCCCCTGCCAGCGTGCAGTCCAAGGGGCGGCTGTCTCTTCGATCCCGGCGATCCCGGCGATCCCGGCTGCGGCTGCGCTTGCGGTCGTCGCCTCGGCGCGCTTCGGGCGGCGTCGGCAGGGTCCATGGGACAATGGGACCAGGGCTAAGCTTTTCAACGGAAAAAGGTCCAAAAGATCG